TAAATTATTGTATAATGGAAAATGGAGAAAAGTCCAATATGCTCAATATGTGACAGGGCCTACAACTGACCACTAAAAACATGCATTTTTTAATTGTAAACAAACAATTGAATACCTGAATATGAAAATTTGGGCCCAAGTCCGTATTTTTGGCCAAATTGAGTTAACCAGTACACTTCCGATGACGTGTATACACGCAAAGGTTAAATACCGGCCAAGCGCACATTTATTCCCTTTAATACTTAAGTCCAAGAAAAGATCCCCTTTTTGTTCCATACGCAACACGAATTTTTCTTTAAACATGTAGTCAACATAAAGACTAATAAAACAAAAACAAAATATTGTGGCTATTCAGCTTGTTCATGTCTAACAGTAGAATAAAAGAAACACTGAAGTTCATGAATGCCTTTGAGGGCTAAAATTTTGTGACGTATGAGACATTAAAGCAAGCGCCCATTTGTTTATTTGCAGTTTGGCAAAGGTGGAGGTGCAGCACAATGTGACGCAGAACACAGTAGTGCCGAAAAAAAGTTAGTGTTCATTTTTATCAACTATTAACAACCAACCACGTGATGGGCTCTCGACCAATTGGAATGGGTAAACCGTCTTAGATATTTATGAATATAAGTTCATTTTATATCAATTTTCTCAAGACTTGTCTCATAAACTTTGGCCCATTTCATATTCAGGTATTCAACTGAATTCTAGAATAAAAAAATATATACTATCAAGCAAAAACAAATTGTAGTTCTATAACCGCAACATTGTTAAACACATCTTGATCTAAACCAGAGCTCCATATGAAAATTACCATAGCAATATTTTTATTACATAAACCATGCAAGAATAATTGATTATAATGACATTTAAGAAGGTATGCAGTGTGTATAAAGAAAATGAAAAAAAATCACCTCATGCTAAAAATGTTTAGCATGTAAAAATATTTACAAACTGATGGCAATACCGTGCACACTGTATATTTAATATTTTCAAAAAAGAATTACCATTCAGAGTAAAGTTTCAAAACAGAAACAAAGTGCTACCTTTTGTTATTACGTTCTCAACATATGTAGTTTTAAACAACACCTGAATAATCTCTGTCATCTGATTGGTGGACCGTTGATCACATGTCAATGAATTATTTGTCCCAACGCTTGGCGCGGCTGCACCGCAAAAGTGAAGTTATATTCAACGATGAACAGAACTTCCCATGACTGTTGGTGGTGGCACTTTGACAAAAATCCGTTTCACAAAAAGTGCGGGCAAATTGGCGGACGTTACATGAGAATCTCTGTTTAATTTCCTAACTGAAGATGAAATATTGGAACTTGTGGGTGATGCTGACATTGCAAACACAAAGAATAAAATGTGCTGCCAAAAGATTAGACGAATTTGAGCATGATAGTTTTGAAATTGTCGAGTACAGTTAACCGACACAAATGGATGAACTTGGATGAATATGATAAATGATAGGCTAGTTCTGAACTTGTCTAACAATTTTTTGGTATTGAAAGTGAACCACCAGTTATTGCAATAATATAGTATAGAACGTTGATATAAGTACCAGCTAACGAGTCAACCCAATCAGATGACATTGATCTATTTACAATGCAGGTGTTATGTAATAAAACAAATGTTTCACATTTGTGTAATGGAAAGAATCATTTCCTTCGGTGACAGATGGAATATTTACGTGACCTTTTTCAAATGCACATGTCGCTTTTTTTTAAATTAAAATAATTTCCCTCACATTTTTGTCATCAAATTAATTGCACGTAATTGGGTTTCAAATTGTAAGGCTCTAACCTTGTTTGGTTAAAATTCTGGAAAAATTCCAAAGATAAAACTTAAGTTTTTATTAAAATTTTGGCAATATTAATTAAATTGTTCAATTGAATTCAAATTGGTAAGTGTTTACCCAAATGCTTTCATAAAAAGTTGTAAAAAACATACTTTCTCAAAAATGAAAATGACCAGGGCTTCAAATTGGGCAAAATTACATTTCTCATGAAATCAGCAGTTTTACTTCCAACTTTCATAGAGTCAACCTTAGGACAACTCCGTAAATCCAACATACATTGTACTCTGACCACATGATGCACATGTACAAGGTTGTTAAGGTGGTGGGTACCTTTTCTGTTATTGTTTTCTACTCATTAGCTTAGACATCACATTACAAGTGATGTTTCCCATTCAATTTTCCCAACAGCAGCTAGAATGTCTGACATGCACGTCTGAATTCACAGAATTGCCCCTTAGGTTTTTACTTAATTAGGAATTATAATTAGCTGGCATGTGTAACCTTTATCGGCAAGTTTCAAGTATTTTGAGTAAAAAAAAAAGCCACACATTTGGCGAAATCTTAATTTGAGGTCTCAAATGCGAAATACATGTGTACAAGTTCAATTTCCTCTTTACAATCTCATCCAAAAATTGTCTTTGTTTTTTTTATTTCAATACCTTCTTGCCAATTTTCAGAAATCCCAGTATGCAATTATTTGAAAACTATTCACAACCATTACAACTTGAGATACATAAATATCAGTATTAAACCTATTTGACATTCATTTGCATTGCATTCTGGCTATGGATGACAAATAATCAGTTATTTATGTATTTGTTCCCACTTAATTATCACCTCATAAATGCATAGAGTATAAAAAAAAATAACTTATCAATATCATTTTATTTTAGAAATATAGAAATAATCTTGATATCTTTATATTAACTGCTTTGCAATGTCCAGGGCCAACTTGGAATCTTATTTCAGACGTTTGTCCTTTTTTTTAAGATCAAGCGATTATTGCTTAAAATAAATTTGCTATGCACTTTTTGTTTCTTTTCTGTATATTTTTAAAACAATACTTTTCTTAACGTGCCATTTATTAATGTAACTTTAAGATTAAGGGGCTTATCTTTTTATCAGACTAATCATTTGCATCCACGTTTTAAGTTGATTTCAGTTTTACAATTACTATTAAACATGAAGATTTTAAGATCACTTTTCCCTTCAGTAGAACGTATGATTAAAAACACTAATTTATGATTCTTTTTTTTAATTAAAATATTTACATTAGTTTTTGTAATCTAAGCTCCAAAAGTACCTTTTAAAACTTTTTATTTCTTCTCCTTTTTGAGCCCTTTTGACTTTAATATTTTGCTTTCCATTGTTTTTGAGGCAATCCAGCTTTGAAAAACAGGCAATATATCATACAAGTTCCCATGTAATTTTTCAAGCGCCTTGCAGCTTTTTGATAGGGCTTTGCTGTTAATGGTTAAGAAAGTTAATGGTTGCCATGCAGGGGAATAACCCATTTGTTTCTCCTTTTTGTGCTCTTTGATTTGAATTTGCTTTGCTTTCCATTATCGGGTAAATATTACACTATGAAACAATATATTTGTGGCAATCCAGCTTTGAAATTAGGCAACATAATTATCATACAAGTTCCCAAGAAGCAAGTTTTCCCAGTCCTTGCAGCATTTTGATAGGTCTTTGCTGGTTAGTGGTTAAGATAGTTAATGGTTGCCATGCAGGGTAATGACCTCAAAATACTGCAAGGGTCTTTAAATTTTGTGCAGTTGATACAAAAAGACTTTGGCATGTGCTTTCATGCTATATTGCATTTGCGTTCAAAACTGGATTTATCCTGCCAAGGCAGTTGCCTAATATGGAAAGTTGAGTTGTACTTTAGTTAGCTTTGACCTTACGTTTGTTTATATTCACTGTGCTTCCTATGTTTTCTACTTAATTGTAAATCAGTTAAAGAATTACATGTAGTTTTATATACATCTACATGTGTGTATTTCTTGAGCTCTTTACATATTCCTTTGAGTTATATTTCACAAGCACTGACCTTATGTTTAAGTTTTATTCTGTTGTAACTGTTTTCTTTTTTATTTCAAATGAATTTGAAGACAGTTTTAGGAATTTATATTCCCTAAGTTTAAATATCCTCAATACCATTTAAAAATTGTTAAATTTTTGCTTTTATTAACACTGATCTCAGGTTTGGGTTAGGTTTACTGTGCTACTTATGTTTTCTAATATTAATAACTCAATTTGAAGACTTGAGTCTGGGCATTTACATCCTTCAGGTTTAAGCATCATGAATGTTTGAGGTTTATTTTACTTTTATTTGCATTAATTGGGTTAGGTTTACTGTGCTACTTAAGTCTTCTTGTTTATTTGAAATCACTTTTAAGACTTAATTCTATAGGCATCTAGAGAAGACTAAAAATCGTTTAATCTCTTGTTTATGTATTTTTAATCACATTACTCTTATTTAAGATTTCACTTGAACTTTATGTTATTACTGTTGAAAGTATTTCGATGCAGACCCCAAGAAAGTTGACCCTAGATTTCACTGGTATTTAAGTCTAAAACATAATATTGTTTGACGAACAATGTAAATCAGAATTAATCAGTGCAAACCAAGAGTGGCCTGGATGTCATTGGACAGTTCTGGCGTAATTCCTTCACTTAAAGATCAGCTTTTTAAGGTGGTTCGTACTTGTGTACAAATTGCTTGGTTTGTCATCCATACCCAAAGATGCAATGCGAATGTCGAAAGGGATTATTTTTCTTCGCATAATAAGCAATTGCAACATATAACATTCAGAAAATATGAGGGCATCCCTTTTTGTTTCTATGGTTCTCATTGTTCTTTTTTTCTGCCTCTGAAGTAGGCAGTGTCACTTTGCAGTTAAGTTAAAATCTGAAGAAAAATACAATTCAACCTATTATTCATTGATGCAAAGTATGCCTTGTCTTATATTTTTATGCCATTGTTTTATTAGTTTAAGGTGAATTCACATCAGTTGCGTATCCGGTGGGGGGGGGGGGGGCAGGGCAGGAGGGCACCTTTCCCCCCTAGCGGAGTTCTGATATCAATTCCAAAACAGAAAACCCGCTCAAAAACCATTACAATGCAACGTGCAAAATGGGCATACAATGAGAGATGGGTAGGCCTACAGCCCCCCCCCCCCCCCCCCTTTTTAAAAATTTTACGGAGGCCAAGTATCCCGAGAAAAAAGTCTACATTTCGGGGCGGATGTGCAATTGCCCCCCTGACATCAAAAGCTGGATATGCTACTGATTCACATCATCAGAAATGAGAACCATTGAATAAAAAGAGGGACGCCTTAATAGCAATTATTAAGCATCAAAATTTTGACCAAATAAATCACAGCTTCAAAATAATTACAATATCAAACATTTAAAAACTCAGCTGTTTCAATATTTCCCACCACCACTTATGAAAATTCTGATGATGAAATTTCCGTCAGTCTCAGTTCAACAAAAGGTTGAAAACATGCACAATGATTTCTCTAAATGCACAACAGTCACATGTCAACACATGACTTTGAAAAATACCTTTGAGGTAACAAATAACAATTCAACTATCAAATATTTGAAAACTCAGCTGTCTCAATATTTCCCACCACCACTCATGAAAGTTCCTATGATGAACAGTTCCATCGGTCTTCCATTCATCAATGTTAAAAGCACGCACAATGGTTTCTCCATAGGGTCCAGTGATCACGCGTCGTCGACACAGTTTGGGAACTAAATCCCTTTCTTCTTGCAAGACAAACACAGACATCCGAATCAGCAGTAGTTCATAAGTATGGCAAACTTGAAGCAGTTCTAATTAACTGTCAAGTCACATTGCGAGAAATTACGCGGGTTTTAAATTTTATTCTTTTCGCGATCCACTTGAATAATGTGCACCAATCCAGTTCCTTCGTGGCTCCGAAACCTAAAAAGTTAAATCTTCAAGCTGCAGTGGTCGAGATGAAGGAGGGGTGCCGTCTGGCCAATTATCGCCCTCCCCCCAATGCTCATTTCCATCTATAGTGTGATGCTGTCCAGATTTATCCAAATGCGCACAACTTCAGGAGCGTCTTCCGATCGGTCCGAAATGTAAATTCCTGACTACTAGCCGAGCCTCTGAAGCCCCCATCAGTCTGCCTTCCAGATCCACCTGAGAGGAGCATTAATTGTCTCTGCTGAAGTCTGCATGGCTGATCCTGATGATGATCATAATTGCTGTATGGTCCATCTGCAGAAAAAGATACAAGATAGAAACAAAAGTGGTTCGTCAGAATGTTTATAGGATTGTCATATAGGATTTAAGGACTGCAAAGAATTGTTTACATGCCCCTTAATCTAAAGCGATTTAAACTTGGGGGGGGGGCAGAAGGGCATTTTGGCATGGAAATTTATTCTTTTCAAAATAAGTTGTATGTAATTCATCATTTTTTGATGAAAAAATAAATTTCCTTGAAAACTTTTACAACCATAAAATTATGAAAGAAATGATTTATGTTTGGCTAAGATTTTATCAATCAGAAATACATTTGTAGGGGATCATGTGTCGTTGGTCTCAAGAGGACAGTTGGTATCTCCCCTCCAATTTCAGCTAGTGATGGTGACCCAATGTACAGCAAAAGTTACCGACCTCCCTCAAATGTGCACTCCTGTGCAAAGTTGCAGCCAAACATGTTTTTCATTTGAAATGGCTTAATTGTAGCTCACATAATTAAATTGGCATTTGTGCAGCATTTAAGAGAAAGGATGGCAAACTATGCACTGGTTGGCAAAAATGATGTAGAAATTACAAAATGTCTGTCTCTCAATTCACTTATACTTACCCCTTATTCCTGACTGATGAGGCTGAGCCATGATGGTTGCTCCCAGTCCAGTGATGTGGCATTGAATGGTGCCAGTAGTCTACAACCTGGAAATTTGACAAATTTGGAAATGTCACAATCATGTCATTTTCATTTGGTTGAAAGTTGTAGCTAAACATGGCAAAACAGTGATATGATGTAGCAATTAAGAAAGGTCTGCCTCCCAAACACTTATACTGACCTCTACGAGCCAAGGTGGGTGATATGAGAGGATCACAGTCCTTGCTGATCTGTGCCTGGTAGATCTGACTGATGAGGCCGAGCGTTGTCGCAGGAAGGCTGATATGATAGAGCCATGATGTTTGCTCCCACTCCGGTGATGTGGTGTTGAATTGTGACAGTAGTCTACAACCTGGAAATTGGACAAATTAGGAAATGTTACAATCCCGGTCTGGTATTTTTGTTTAATTTTTGGCTGAAACTGATGCAAGCTAGGATACTGTACTAATTCTCTGTGTCAATTAAGTCGCAGGCTTATATTCATTAATGTACTACAACATCCTTCCACAGATCGAGGGCAAAACGTAGGAAATTCCTAATGATTCTGGGTTACAAGAGGGCCATGCAAGGGGGGGGGTAAGTCCAAAAGACAGTGTCCATGAACATGAAGAACAGTTGCAAGTGAATTGCTCTGAAAAGCACAAATGGAAAGTCAGTTACCTTCCAACGCTGATAGTCCTTGCTCACAGTTACTGCAGCAGATATCTTGTATCTGGTGTGTTTCTCATCAGTCTGCTTTCTGGCTATGACTGTACATCTGGAAAGGAAAAAAAGGAGCAAATCATCAGTGTCGGACAGAAAGCATAAACCAGACAGAAAGCATAAACCTGGTTTAGAAGAATTATTTCAACTTTTTGGATCTCTTTCGTTTTTAGCAGACTAGAATTTTTTTTTAACATAAAGCAGTAGCTACCCCTTACAGTCCTGAATCCTCCAATTAATAATTGCACACCCTAGGGAGTTAGGGTTAAGGCCAACTGTTTGGACACAAAGGGAAACTTAAGATGACTGAAAACTACTGCTGATTTAATTGTCTCTTGAAGCTGGTTTGATGCTCACCTCTGACAAGACACTGCTGCATCTTCAGGCCACCCACAGCAAGATGAATAGGCCTATCCTGGTTAGATCAGTCAAAACAGGATACCACTCTGCACAATCCACAGAACAACATCCAGAATCCACAGAACAACATCCAGAATCCAGGGGGACAAGTCTTGAGGCATGTGGCCTAGAAGAGCTGCAGAGAAATGGTTACCTCACCTGGGTTTACATGCAACCTTGTCCCCCTCGTTCTAATCTACCACACAATCCATCGCGACTCCACTTGCAAACTGTACAGCAACATCCGGGGGTCTTGTGCATGTTCAAGCCTGCATACAATGGTTACCTTACCTTATGAACATACAATCTTGTCCCCCGGCCTCTACCCAAGATGTCTGGTCCTTCGGTCTGCCCATCCCAACTTCAGTAGACTTCTGCAATCCAAGCGTCTTGGTCATGCTCACAGCCAGATAACGTCTCAAGGGATCTGCTGGCCTACATAAACAGATCAAAAATATTTCAAGTTAATGAAAGAAGGGAAACCCTTTTAATTGCTCAGCAAAAAGCATTGAGTCTCCCCTTTACATACCGATGCAGTGTTTCTCTGAATGTTTTAACCACTAAGGGCAAATAACCTTCTTAAAGAACAACAAACCACTGTCGACAAGAAATTGGCATCTGACAACAATAAAGCGATGCAACTTAACAATTAAAAAAACATCACAGTATGGGAAGTGTGTAGTTGTTTTTTCTTGCCAATATTCAAACCAGCATTAAGGGATATATTTGATTATTGAGTTGATGATCAAATATTCAAATATTTTTTATATTTGGGACAGCCATAGTAGAAAGATTGGCATCAAGTGGACTTGGGGTCTTCAGTTATCCTTGAAATTGTCACAGAATAAACCCCAAATTCTATACAGGAGATGACAGCACACCACTCAAAAAAGAAGACAAAATACCTCAAGAGATTCCAGAATGGGGCATGCCTCCACTGGTAGTGAAGATGGTGAATGCCGCTGATCCCAACATCAGAAGGTCATCAGAATTTCACTTGTCCAATATCAGAAAGTCACTGTTCCCAAAAGTTAAAGTCCATCCTTCTAAAGAAGCTCATCCTCCAAGTGTCAAGGTCCCCGAAATGGCATAGGCAAGTTCTCCAACTGTGCTTCCAAGATTATGGTGGATTGTTGCAGCAATTTGCACGAGTACACAATGGAGAAATGCAACGCTCACAACAACAGTTTGTATATAAAGTTCGTTCTCCGAAAATTTCTGCATGGTTGCCTCTGTTAGTGAACTTTAGTCCAAGTCACACATGCTGATGAGAAGTTCCTTGTCCTTTACCTCAGTGATGAGTCGATGATGATGATTTGCCTCCTTCCGTAAACATCTGTTCTTCACACTTTTCTCTTATGACATGTTTTTAGTTCCCTTGTTCCAGCAATGCCGTCTTTACGATTTCCAAGTTTGTCTTGAACATTATCAAAAGTTAATCCAGGGGCAACTTATAGAGGTGATTCCAATGGTTCTCAGTGAACCCGGATGGACGTAGGGATATAGAAGATCCCATAGTCCTGCTGGTCCTGTGTTGGGAATCTGATCCCGTCATCTATGCCGTCTGGAGGACATAGGGATATAGAGGAGGACATAGGGATATAGATGATCCCATAGTCCTGCTGGTCCTGTGTTGGGAATCTAATCCCTTCTTTTCAATGTTTTGCTCCAGACAAGCATCCTAGTGTCACCAGACAAGGGCCCGTACCCATGACGGCCACCCAGTACATTTCGCATCTGGGTTTTTGCCGCACTTCTCGGTTAGAGACCCAGTGAACTCCACCTTAGCCCTAAAACGACATAGGGATATAGGTGATCCCATAGTCTTAAGTTATTAGATGGATATAAGCGTGATTCCACTGAATTATAAATTTGAGGTTTGCTAGAATTTTTTTTTTTTTAAACAGTCCCTATGGGAGTACGTGTTTATGCCCTAAAGGCGGAGTGCTACTTGTATTAAATTAAATTTGTAGAGCCTTAAAGCGATGGAGATGGGGGCAAATTCCTTAACCTATTCCTATTTTGTTTTATTGATAACCACTCTAAAATGTCTGTGATGATCATTACAACTTTAGCTGTTCTCCTCCCAGGAGTAATATTGAATGTTGCTTAAATACGTATTTGCTCCCCAGGGAGGTGATATTGGATAACCCCCTTCAACTATCACCCAAGATCCGCCCCGGATGGACATAGGGATATAGAAGATCCCATAGTCCTGCTGGTCCTGTGTTGGGAATCTGATCCCATCATCTATGCCGTCTGGAGGACATAGGGATATAGATGATCCCATAGTCCATAGTCTTGCAGCCCATATGCTAAATTTGAGCCACAACCTGTGGAGAAACCACCAACATTGATATCATGCACGATCACAAACACATATTTGAAAATATAGACAAAAAGCAAAATAAAAATAACTCAGCCGTCTCATATTTCCCACCACCATTCATTACAGTTCCATCGATCTTCAGTCAAAAAGTTTAATAGCAAGCACAGTTGTTTCTCCAAGGGTCCCGTGTGTTTACAGCGATCATGTGCTCAGATTTGTTTACAGTTTGAGCATTGCATCCCTTTCTTCTTGCAAGATGAACGAAGACATAAATGTCCGCAACAGTTAATTAATTAAAACAGTACAGTTCTCATTAACTGTCTAGTGAAATTGCGAAAAATTACGCGGGTTTTCAGTTTGGTTTGTTGTGCGATCCAGTTGAATAATGCGCACCAACCCAGTTCCTTCGTGGATCCGAATCCTCATCAGCGAAGTCTCCAAGCTCAAGTTGTCCAGGTGGGTGGGGGGGGGGGCGCCATGTGTCCAAATTATTGGCCCCCCCCCCCTCAAATGCTAAGTTTCATCTGTAGTGTCTGATGCTGTCCAGATTGATCCAAATGTGCAACAACTTCAGGTGCGTCTCCCCATTGCTCTGAGATGTAACTTCCTGGCTACTGGCCGAGCCTCTGAAGCCCCCATGCAGTCTGCCTTCTGGATCCACTCATGAGGAGCATTGTCTCCGCCGAAGTCTGATGATTATATTTGATGTATGGTATACCTGCAGAAGAAGATGAAAGATAATTAACACTAGTGCTGATCGTCAGAACAATGTTACCGGACAAAGCTCATATAGTTGATCATAAGCCATAAGGAATTCAAAGAGTTTTGCACATGCCACTAAATCTATAAAAGCAGTTTTTGACTTTTTTGTGAGGGGGGGGGGGGAAATGGAGTGTATTTTTTTTGGCCTGGAGTTTCATTCTGTTCATTAAAAGAAGTACTTTGGTATGTAATTCATCATATTTTCAGAGTAAAAAATTGTTTTCTTTGTGAACTTTTACAACCATTACATTGGATGTCTGCCTAAGATTTTATCTGTCAGAAATAGGGCATCGGCAGGCCTGTCACTAGCCCTGAGCAACCTGGGGGGGGGGGGGGGGGGGGGGGGGCCATAGTCCCAACTGGACCCACTACCATAAACAATACAAAAATACATATGAATAGCTTTTGCCGTTTGGGAGGGGGGGGGGCACAATTGCTCATCAAGGGGAGGCACCCCCCCCCCTCCCTTGGCAGAAGACCTGGGAATCTGTGTCGTTGGTCTCAAGAGCAGGCTTTTCAAGTTCAGGCTTTTATTCAGATATTTAGCTGTCACCTGAATGTGCACAAGTTACTCTTTTGATATTCTGAACGCAATAAAACAAAATGCTTTCAGAGTAACAAATGATTTGAAAGATCTTGGCGGGATTAGGCTAAAAATTCAGAAATTCCAGATACGATTAAGGATAGTAGAGGCCACGCAATTGATAAAGTCCAAAAGACACTGTTTATTGCTCTTATAAGCACAAGTGCAAAATCAGTTACCTTACAATGCCGATAGTCCTTGCTCACAGTTTGTGCAGCAGATATCTTGTGTCTTTCTCATCAGTCTGCCTTCTGGTTGTGACTATATCAGAAAAAGGAAGAAAAGATCCAAATAAAAAAAAATAAGTGTCGGATGTCAAGCAAGTATTTCAGAGAGAAAACTTAACCTTGGCCCAATTTCATATAAACCTTAAACACGATTTCACGACATGGATGTGCAAACGGTTGCTCGAGAAGGAGATTTCCACTGTTCTGTCACTCAGTTAAAGCAATCATTTCCTATGAGATAAGCTACGGTCACTGCTTATGGTATATCTATGAATTATGCGGAGCCTCTGCTAGTGTTATATCGTGTTCTTAGCAGTGCCATGAAATTGGGTCCTGGATTAGAAGAATTATTTGCAAGGTAAAACATTTTTTCAATATTTTATATTCCCTTTTTCAAGTTACAGACTTTTATAAGTGATTTGGGACACTAATACTGACCCCTCTGAGAAAAGGTGGGTGATATGAGAGGATCACAGTTCTTGCTGATATGTGCCTGGTAGATCCGACTGATCGAGGCCGAGCGTTGTCGCAGGAAGGCTGATGTGGTAGAGCCATGATGTTTGCTCCCGCTCTGGTGATGTGGCATTGAATGGTGTCAGTAGTCTACAACCTGGAAATTGGATAAATGTGGAAATGTTACAATCCTTGTCATTTTCATTTATTTATTGGTTGAAAGTTGAAGCCAAACATGTTCAAGACACTGTCTGTGGACGTGAAGTACAATTGATTTTAAAAGCGCAAATGCAGAATCAGTTACCTTAAAATGCTGATAGTCCTAGTTGACAGGTACTGCAGCAGATATCTTGTCTCTGGTGCGTTTCTCATCAGTCTTCTTTCTGCCCATAACTATATCAGGAAAGGAAGAAAAGAACAAAAAAAGATCAGTTGTAAAAAATTAAGTGTTGGATCTCAAGCAAATGTTTCCAGAGAGAAAGCTTATAAAGAACAATTAATTTGCAAGGTAAAACGATACTTCTACCGTTTGGATTTTGTTATGTTTGGAAGACTATGAACTTTTTTAACATAAAACCCAACTGTTTGGACAAGAACGTAAACTTTAAGACTGACTGAAAACTGCTGCTGATTTTTATCTAATTCTGTTGAAGCTGATTAATCTAATGCTCACCTCTGACAAGACACTGATGCATCTTCAGGCCACCCACAGCAAGATGAATAGGCCTATCCTGGTTAGATCAGTCAAAACAGGATACCACTCTGCACAATCCACAGAACAACATCCAGAATCCAGGGGGACAAGTCTTGAGGCATGTGGCCTAGAAGAGCTGTAGAGAAATGGTTACCTCACCTGGGTTTACATGCAACCTTGTCCCCCTCGCTCTAATCTACCACACAATCCAAGCGACTCCACTTGCAAACTGTACGGCGGCAACATCCGGGGGTCTTGTGCATGTTCAAGCCTGCATACAATGGTTACCTCACCTTATGAACATGCAATCTTGTCCCCCGGCCTCTATTCAAGCAGATCTGGTCCATCGTCTGGCCCGGCGGTGAACTAACAACTTCGGAAGACTTCTGCAATCCAGACATCTTGGTCACATGCTCACAGCCAGATAACGTCTGAAGAGTACCTGCATAACTGTCAACAGATCCAAATTGTTCAAATGAAAGAAAGAAAATTATATTTTATTGCTCAACCAAAAGCACCGAGTCTCCCTTTTACCACATGGCTTTATGAAATATGAATGCAATGGTAAGGAAAAAGAGGACATCTATCATCAAAAGTACGTTTGATGATTTGCAGTATGTTAACTGCCAAGGGCTTTAACCTGCTAAAAGGAAAATGAACTGCCATTGACAAAAAAGTTACTGTCAACAAAAGTGGCATCTGACAATAAAGCGCCGCTAAAAAATAACATCTCAGTCTTGTACATGCACAGTTATTTATAAAATATTTAAACTGATAAAAAAATTTGTTGATGAATAGCTGGGACAGCCCAAGTAGAATAAATGGCAATTTTGGTTTTCTAATTATCCCTGATATTTTTAAAGAATGTTAAATTGTTTAGAGAATTTTTACTTTAACATAAAGCAAACCAAAAATATACAGTTACCTCCAAGTTTCCAGAATGAGACATGCCTCCACTGGTAGTAAAGATGGCGAATTCCACTGATCCCAACATCTGAAAATCATCAGCTTTCCTCGTTCAACATCAGAAAGTCATTGTTCCCCAAAGTTCAAGTCGGTCCTTCCAAACAAGCATCTTCATTTCAAACAAGCTCATCCTCTGAGTGTCAAGTTTCCAAAAATGGCATGGAGTTCAAGGGGGGTGTGTCCTTCAATCGTGCTACCATTATGGTCAAGAGTTTCGCAGCAGTTTTCACCAAGTCCACACTGTTGGGTTAAAGTCAGATCCATCCTTTTTATGAAAGTTGCTGCAGTATTGACCCTATTGTTGTTCCATAGTCCACATCAGACATGTTGATGATAAATTCCTTGTCCTTTATCGTAGCAATGAGTCCCTCGTTGGTTGACGATTTTCCTCCTTCCGCTGTGGCTTACATCATATCTGTTCATCACACCATCCATCTGGCTGAGCTCTTCTATAGTTCCCATCCTGACGATGTCATCCTCATAATTTCATAGTTTGTCTTGCACATTGTCAAAAGTTTATCATGGGGCAACTTGGAGTTAAGTTTAAGAGTTTCCCCATAAAGACACTCACATTCTTTTACATGTCTTGCTCTGTACTGGCCATTGTCCCAGGTATGTCCAGGGCCAACTGGAATCAATTTCAGAATTTATCTTTCGTTTTAAGAACATTAATTGTGGTTATAGCTTTAGGCTATTTGTCAGTTCATTTCTTGTTTAAGGTTAATCGTAATCTTTTTTTAACAAAATCTCTTTTAATGTGGTGTTTAAGTACCGGTATAAATTTTAGATTTAAGGTGTTCTTTTTGTCTTGCTGATTTTGTACCATTTTGATAATTTCTATCCAAGTATAGTTCCATTCCAATTTTCAATTTAATTTTAATTTTAACATAATTTCTCTTTCCCTAGAACTAGAACATGTAGGTGTGAAGTTTAAATTGTGAAAAATAATTAAGCTGCTTCAAATTACTGCTCACTGACTGGATTGACCCAAAATATACAAATCAAAAAGTTAAAGAGTTGTGCCAAAGACGAAATATCAGGCCGCTCAGAGTTTAAATTGTACTTTTTTAGTTTAACCTACATTTATTTAATGCTCTGAAAGTATTTGTTGAAGTCTTACAATTTCTCCTCCATTCTGTGCTCAAGTCACATGTAAAGTTGACTTGATTTTTTTCTTTTCCATAAAATCCGTTAACACTACACATATTTAAGAATTTTTTTATAGCAATCCAGCTTTGAAAACCAAACTATCACACAAGTGAACTCATGTTCCCAAGATACACGCAATTTTGTTCAGCCCTTGCAGCATTTTGATAAGTCTGTGCTGGTTAGTGGTTAAAGTGTGTACCTGTTATGGACATTGGTTAACCCTACTCTGCATTGTGTGCCGTGCTGTTACTTGGGTCAAAATTGGTCAGAGTGACCATTGGTGTGCTAAAATTATACTATATTGACTATTGGGTGATATGTATACCTGTTATGGCTTGTGGTATGGTGATCTGTTAGTAGTTGCATGCGGGGAATGACCTAAAAAAAAACACTGCAAGGGTCTACACTTTAATTTGCAAAGTTGATACAAAACGACTTTTGGCATTCTTGGATGCTACAATGTATTTGCAATCAAAACTGGATTTACCCTCCTAATTTAAGAGAGTTGCTTTAAATTTTGAGTATATTTTTACATGTACATTAATTAGGTTTAAACTTAGGTATGGTTACATTCATATAATGCTGTTTAACATTTCTAATTTATTTGAAAATGTGTTGAAGAATTAATGTTAGCCATTCATTTTTTTGAGGTCTAAACATAAGATTGATTCCTTTTGTTGAGTAGTGAGTTGCTTTTTAAAATTAGAAGTTTAATTTTCCTATGTTATTAGCTTTGGCCTTAGGTTTGGGTTAGGTTAAATCAATTTGAAGACTTAGTTTTATGCATCTATAGTCTTGACGTCTAAACATCATGAAGATTTAGTTTATTTGTTAAAAGTGATTTAAAACAAATTACTCATGTTCCATTTCAGTTTAATTAATGTTATTATTAATTTCAATTTAGGCCCTAAGAAATCTGGCCCCAGACTTTACTGGTACGTAGGCCTAATAATAGAGCACAATATTGTTTGACGGGCACAGTACATTCATGAAAAACCAAGGGTGGCAACTTTGTTGGAAACTTCTGGCATTGAATCAGCTTAACGGTAGTTCATCCTTAGAAGCGTTCATGATAGTATCCACAATTCATTGGCTTGCAGTCCATCTCTGTCATGATAACCATCTGTAAAATAACAAAAGAGAAATCGATCAGTTTTCAATCTACATGTATATAGTTTCACATGTTGAAAGGTTTTGCATATTCACTTCTTTCCTTTTGTCTCTATTTTGGGCTGTCTTTCAGATCTGAAAACTCAAGAGCCATGCACAGAAATGACAACTTGAGATTGAAATTAGGATTCCAAGAATAGACTATGCACCCACATAACATTTAACTTTTTTGACGATCACATTGCATTCTGGGTATGAATGACAAACAAGCAATGCAGAAGTTGAACTTGATCTGTATTCTGGTTGCTAATTTTTCATGTTCATATTTCATTTTTCATGATGGCCAAAACTTGAGGGGAAAAAAACGATTTTAAAAATATTCTACTTCAGTGCAACAGTGTGTGAAATATCTGGATATATAATAGGGAATCAAATATTTCTTTTAGTTCACATAGATTGTTCACATATACCCAGTATACACTGTGAATATCAAAATACGGCCCACATTGCTATGGCTTACTGGAATCACCAAACTAGGCGATGTTTAAACCAACAAGAGTGCCACGGACAGATGACCAGCAGGGTTTCAATTTTTTGATAGAAAATTGGGGTGAAACAATATACATAAGGACATGGGCGTCGCCAGGATTTTTTTTAGAGGGGGGCAAAAAATTTATTTGCCAAAAAATGCTTGTATTTCTCAACACATTCTCGATTTATCAGTTTTAGAGGGGGGCAGGGACATTTTGCCCCCCCCCCACTCATTAAATTTACACCACTTTGTCTTCGCGCCTCTTTTTTTTTTTTTTTTTTGCTTTTCCAGGGGGGGGGGGGGGGGGGGGCAAGTGCCCCCCTTGGCCCCCCCCCCTCGCGACGCCCATGCATAAGGACAACAATCCAACAAATGGTGAACACCTCGATGCACATCATGTGCACAGTGATCAAGTGTGACATTCACAGCATTACGTTTAAGACTACTTCTAGGACCCCTGTATTTAGGGAGATCCTAATGTGACATTGTGACCAGTTTTGGCAGCTAACAACTTTTTTTACCCAATGCTTTCACGGGTCCTACTAAAATGCGTCAACAAGTGTCAACAAGTGTCAACAAGCGTCAACAAGCGTCAACGGTCGTCAACAAGCATCAACAAATGTTGTATATATGCTATTGAACACTAAAAGTAGCTTTATATGGTAGTAAAAGCAATAAAGAATATCTTAATGAATATCAATTAAAGTTAAAATTATTTAAAACTTGTTTTTTGAACGCAAAATGTATGATGAGTTTGTCAATTAGTGTTGGCCGCCATCTTGTTTGGATGGCGCTCATGGGCATCACGGAGGGGGGGGGGTGTAAATTTAATGAGTTGGGGGGGGGCAAAATGTCCCTGCCCCCCTCTAAAACTGAGAAATCGAGAATATGTTGAGAAATACAGGAATTTTTTTTGGAAAATATGTTTTGCCCCCTCTAGAAAAAAACCCTGGCAATGCCCATGATGGCGCTCTACAATTCACGCATGCGTAGTATGGCTCTGTACACTTCAAACATGCATAGTACGGCTAGCTTCAGGTCAACAAAAGGCGGATAACACAAACTCGACAGAGTTGTTGTACGTTTCGTGTTGAAAACAAAACAACTTTTGAAATAGTTTTTACTTTAATTTATACGCTGAAGGTGTTCTTTGTTGCCATTTCTACCATATAAAGCTGTTTTTGATTTTCCAAAACTTCTACAAAATTTGTTGATGCTGGGTTGACGACCGTTGAAGTTTGTTGATGCCAGTTGACGCTTGGCGACTCTTGTTGACGCATTTTAGTAGGACCGTGCTTTCACTCTATAAGTAGTAGGCCTAGTCATGGTGGCACAAGACCGCAATCATTTTTATTTTTTTTGCGGGGGGGGGGGGGGGGGGGGCAGCAAAATAAGTAATTTGGGGGCAGCATAGAAAAATCACTGGCCCGGGAAAAGAAAATAAAAACCAAAAATAGGTTTGGGGAGGTGTTTGTTTGATACTTGGGGGCATGGGCGTCGCGAGGGGGGGGGGCAAGGGGGGACACTTGCCCCCCCCCCCCCCCCCCCCGGAAAAGCAAAAAAAAAAAAAAAAAAAAAAGGAAGAAAAAAAAAGAAGAGAGGCGCGAAGACAAAGTGGTGTAAATTTAATGAGTTGGGGGGGGTGCAAAATGTGCCTGCCCCCCTCTAAAACTGATAAATCGAGAATGTGTTGAGAAATACAATCATTTTTTGGCAAAAACATTTTTTGCCCCCCTCTAAAAAAAATCCTGGCAATGCCCATGCTTGGGGGCGCTGTTCAAAACAATTAATGTACTATGCCAAATTTAGGGCCATTTCCAAAAGTTTCCAGTCTTAAATGCATTCTTTTTCTTCTTTGAAATCAGTGGTTTTCGAGGATTATTTTATAAAGGGAACTTAAGTCCAAGAACCATTTGGTTGATAGTCTGGTTCCAACAGCCAAACATCATGACGTTGAATAGTATTACGTCAGGGAACCAGACAGTTGACAGGTGCCGTGAGTATAGCCGCAGCATTTTTTTTCTTCTAAAAATGGAACATTCTATGCTGAAAATGTGTGTTTCAGGGCCCTATTCCCCTCCAAAAAAAAAATATTTTAAAAAGCTCCAAACGTTTTAGCCCCACTAGTGTGGCCGTCGGTATGCTGCGCTGAACCAAAGCGCAGCATACCGACGGCCACACTAGTGGGGCTACAAACGTTTGTGCTCCAAAGAAAATAAAGGTCATTCTAACAGGCAATTGGCATGCATTATTTTTACAATAATAATATATTCACCAAAACGTAATTTTTGAAGGCCAGAAAAGTGTTACAGTTTTTAAGCCCAATTTCGCAAACTTACTTTGACTGTTCTTACGGACTTCGAAAATTCTCTGTGCCCGCGAATTACGAGTGTGTATAAAAATCATGTGCGAATATCGTCTGGTAAATCCCTGGTCCCTAGCATCGGTATGATTCCGAAAGCATTCGGAGGCGCGCACCAGTTTATTTGGACAACGCCCATTCGCTGGAAAATCATGTGCGAATATCGTCTGGTAAATCCCTGGTCCCTAGCATCGGTATGATTCCGAAAGCATTCGGAGGCGCCGGCGCACCAGTTATTTTGGAGAACGCCCATTCGCTGGAAAATCATGTGCGAATATCGTCAGGTAAATCCCTGGTCCCTAGCATCGGTATGATTCCGAAGGCATTCGGAGGCGCGAACCAGTTATTTTGGCCAACGCCCATTCGTTGGAAAATCAGTCAACCATCCCCGAAGCGATTCCCACACAGAACGCCATGATTTTCAATGTACAGTATGTGGGCGCGAACCAGTTAGTAACCTTCCATGAAGCCATTTTGGGTAGCCCCGTTGGGTTGAATTTTGTGAAAGAATAAGTTAAAATTCATTGCTCAGAAGTTTGCGTTTTTAACACAACAAAAAATACCCCTCAAAAAGTGTCATGGAAAGTGGAAAAAATGAAACTTTCTTTCCTGGAAATGAGGCCCTAGGAAAATTAACTCTCGACTCGTCTTTCTTACACATTTGCTTAAAATTACAAAAATTTAAATATCGCACATAGTTTTCACTGTAACTAATTCAGAATTACCTAGGCCCTACAGTGTACGTCTACCTAACTTTCAAGACCAAAAATTGTTCATTTTGTAGGCAAAAAAGTAGAAAACTTACGTTGAATGTTGTGACGGCTTCACAAGTTCTCCACCCTCCGTGCCCGCCAATTTTCGAATGTGCAAAAAAGGGACGCACATGGTCCCTGGTTCCCTATAATCGCTGTGGTTTCGGAACCTTTTGGGCGTCGCGAACCAGTTATGTTAATTCTTCAGCGCCATATATCACTGACAATCATGCCTTCCGCGCGAAGTGATTCCCATAAACATTGTATATGATTTCGTATGTATGTTGGCGCGAACCAGTTATTTTAAATTTGCATAGTTCCATATCACAGTAATCCTCCGCAAATCGATTTGCATAAAATGTAGACCTGCAAGAGACTTATTATGGGGAACTGATTTCGATGAATTTTGACCACCAAACAATTCTCCAAAATTTCCAGTTTTTGGGGTGAAAAGAAATCGAATATTATCTTGTTTACACTATAAATGCAAGATACCTTGCAGGCTTTTAATACCTGGGAAACATCGGACTTTTCCCAATTTTCAATAAATGCAAGGTTCATCGGTCAAACGTTATATATTTTTTTTTTTTTACTTTTGCCCAATTTAAGTTTAAAAAATATCACCAGTCCGTTATGATTCATTCAGTTATTCCCATGATTTGAATTTATTTCTTATATGCTTTTGAATTTTTAAGTAAAGATATGTAATAGCCTGAATTAATTACTCGACATGAAGTTTGCTGAATTAAAGATGAAAATTCCAAGATGTCCTGAAAAAATTTTTTTATGAGTTTGCAGGATGTATGATCCTAAGACAACAGTATTTGAAAGTTATATTAAAAACTTAAAAGTGGTTTCATTTAAACAATATTTGAAAGTTATATTAAACACTCTAAAAGTGGTTCCATTTAAATTGGAGGGGGGTTCACAAGCTTTTCATAAATATCTTATTTTCATCTCTGAAGTGGTCATAAAGAAGGCTTCAAAAAATACAATTAAAGAAATAAATGGAATACAGTTATTCCGAGCAGATCTGAGGGCAGGAGTTTTGATATGAAGGTGGAGGGGTGAAGGGGGAGGGGTGAAGGGGGAGGGGGGGTGAGGGTGAGTGAAGGCGTGACTGGGGGCGTGGCTGGGGCTTTCCCCAGACAATGTTGTAAAGGTTGAAATCTATGTTGCTTTCTCCAGCATTCCAAGGCAATTTGAGAATTTAAGGATTTTAGCATTCAATTGATGATTTGTGGCCCCATTTTACTAGTCCATGGGTTGAAATGGGGGGGGGGGGGGTTCCCAACCCAACCTAAGGCAGGCCCGGGGCTGGTGGGTCCGGGCCCCACTTTGCGAGCAATTTCCCCCCCCCCCCCAACAAAAGACATACATGTAATTTTGTATGGTAGTGGGCCCCATGGTTGGTACTATGCCCCCCCCCCCCAATACTCAGGGCTGGCGACAGTGCATTCCAAAACCATTATGGTTTACCATTGTATGTATATGAAACACAGTCATTTCAAAGCAGAGTTTGAACAGTTTGACCTCACCATCAACTCAGACAACTTGGAAAAAGCGGTTTTGGCGTTATATTTGATATACAGTAACTGGCAGTCAGTCATTAGAGACTACGCAGATGTAAAAGTATCAAAGGAAAGAAAATTTACTTCACTTTAAAATGGTTCCACTTTGACAGTGCAAGTTCACTATCTTCACATACTAAGGCCCCCCAAAAAAATATTCGGTCTCTGGTCAGACCAAAGTTCCGGAATTGACGCGGGGACGCGGCTTTTTTTTTCTTTCTTCAAGCTTGGATTGTACAGACAATTAAGGTGGGGTACTATTTTGCTACTTGGTGTCCTCATGTACATTGGTGTCCTCCATTATTTGCCTTGGTGCTCCCGATCATTTGCCTTGGTGCAATTTCCCATTCCTTGGTGCTCTTTGGTAAACAAAATTGAGGAGGTGCGGCTGTTGGAGCTACCGCGGAACATTTTGGAAAAAAAAAGATTGACACGCATGATTAAAATCGACGCACGCGCTGACCAGAGACCGACTTATTATTTTTTTTGGCCTAACCCATTATTTTTTAATTACCTTTTCTTATATGCACCCTGTATAAATATTAAATATTGTAATACATTATAATTAAACAAAACAATGGATAATATAAACCTTCACATCAGGATCGATTCATGTAGCAGATATAAATAACAGCAGGAAATTTGGTGACCTAAATACATGAATAAATATATATTTCCACTGAGTAATTTTACACTGAAAGACTTGTGTTAAAGTCGTCCACGTTTTGAGAAAATTTTTATTATGCCAACTTAGCAGAAGTTTGCAATAAATAATTACATTCAGGAATATTTTATCTCAGATCCCACAACCAAAGCTTTCACAAAACACTAAACTAGACAACGTGAAATCTGGCTCTCGGTGTCACTTATGCCAGTGGCTACTAGAGGCTTATGGCTGGCGTGGTACCCCATACCATGTCCCATGGGCTTCGCGCAGACTGAACGGGGGATCCTGACCACCTTCATCTGTGATATCAACTGAAAAGAAAGTGACAAGAGTATATAATTATCCTTGGAACAGACTTGATTGAAAATGCGTAGTAGATGCCTTAAAGTCCTAAAACACATTCTATGTTTTTTTTTCCTGCCAGACGTGCCTTCAATAATCAGGCCAAAAACGATTGGCGCAAATAAGCCCATTTTCCCCGAAAATTTCTTTATTTTGGTCTTGATAGCTGAAATAATCAGATAAGGCATCTTGAAATATGTTTATCTTGCATCAAAAGGTGTTTATAAGTTGTTTTCTGATAAGTCAATTTTTGACCAAGAAAATTTAATCAAAAATGTGAGGCTAAACCCCTCGTCATTTTCTTCAATTGATAAATCTGTTTCAAATTGCAGGAAAACCTTGAAGAAAAAGAGTACACAGGGTGCTCAAAACCCATTTTGAAAAAATAATGATACAAAATTTATCCCTTTGGTTGATTGAAAAAACCTCACAAGATAGTAAGCATCGAAAGTGAACATCATATTGACACAAAAACTTTCTTAAAATAAACCCAAAGAAACGGGTGAACCAAATGGCGTATAACCCAGATTACAGATTGAAAGACGCACATGGTCCCTGGTTCCCTATAATCGCTGTGGTTTCGGAACCTTTTGGGCGTCGCGAACCAGTTATGTTAATTCTTCAGCGCCATATATCACTGACAATCATGCCTTCCGCGCGAAGTGATTCCCATAAACATTGTATATGATTTCGTATGTATGTTGGCGCGAACCAGTTATTTTAAATTTGCATAGTTCCATATCACAGTAATCCTCCGCAAATCGATTTGCATAAAATGTAGACCTGCAAGAGACTTATTATGGGGAACTGATTTCGATGAATTTTGACCACCAAACAATTCTCCAAAATTTCCAGTTTTTGGGGTGAAAAGAAATCGAATATTATCTTGTTTACACTATAAATGCAAGATACCTTGCAGGCTTTTAATACCTGGGAAACATCGGACTTTTCCCAATTTTCAATAAATGCAAGGTTCATCGGTCAAACGTTATATATTTTTTTTTTTTACTTTTGCCCAATTTAAGTTTAAAAAATATCACCAGTCCGTTATGATTCATTCAGTTATTCCCATGATTTGAATTTATTTCTTATATGCTTTTGAATTTTTAAGTAAAGATATGTAATAGCCTGAATTAATTACTCGACATGAAGTTTGCTGAATTAAAGATGAAAATTCCAAGATGTCCTGAAAATTTTTTTTATGAGTTTGCAGGATGTATGATCCTAAGACAACAGTATTTGAAAGTTATATTAAAAACTTAAAAGTGGTTTCATTTAAACAATATTTGAAAGTTATATTAAACACTCTAAAAGTGGTTCCATTTAAATTGGAGGGGGGTTCACAAGCTTTTCATAAATATCTTATTTTCATCTCTGAAGTGGTCATAAAGAAGGCTTCAAAAAATACAATTAAAGAAATAAATGGAATACAGTTATTCCGAGCAGATCTGAGGGCAGGAGTTTTGATATGAAGGTGGAGGGGTGAAGGGGGAGGGGTGAAGGGGGAGGGGGGGGGTGAGGGTGAGTGAAGGCGTGACTGGGGGCGTGGCTGGGGCTTTCCCCAGACAATGTTGTAAAGGTTGAAATCTATGTTGCTTTCTCCAGCATTCCAAGGCAATTTGAGAATTTAAGGATTTTAGCATTCAATTGATGATTTGTGGCCCCATTTTACTAGTCCATGGGTTGAAATGGGGGGGGGGGGGTTCCCAACCCAACCTAAGGCAGGCCCGGGGCTGGTGGGTCCGGGCCCCACTTTGCGAGCAATTTCCCCCCCCCCCCCCCAACAAAAGACATACATGTAATTTTGTATGGTAGTGGGCCCCATGGTTGGTACTATGCCCCCCCCCCCAATACTCAGGGCTGGCGACAGTGCATTCCAAAACCATTATGGTTTACCATTGTATGTATATGAAACACAGTCATTTCAAAGCAGAGTTTGAACAGTTTGACCTCACCATCAACTCAGACAACTTGGAAAAAGCGGTTTTGGCGTTATATTTGATATACAGTAACTGGCAGTCAGTCATTAGAGACTACGCAGATGTAAAAGTATCAAAGGAAAGAAAATTTACTTCACTTTAAAATGGTTCCACTTTGACAGTGCAAGTTCACTATCTTCACATACTAAGGCCCCCCAAAAAAATATTCGGTCTCTGGTCAGACCAAAGTTCCGGAATTGACGCGGGGACGCGGCTTTTTTTTTCTTTCTTCAAGCTTGGATTGTACAGACAATTAAGGTGGGGTACTATTTTGCTACTTGGTGTCCTCATGTACATTGGTGTCCTCCATTATTTGCCTTGGTGCTCCCGATCATTTGCCTTGGTGCAATTTCCCATTCCTTGGTGCTCTTTGGTAAACAAAATTGAGGAGGTGCGGCTGTTGGAGCTACCGCGGAACATTTTGGAAAAAAAAAGATTGACACGCATGATTAAAATCGACGCACGCGCTGACCAGAGACCGACTTATTATTTTTTTTGGCCTAACCCATTATTTTTTAATTACCTTTTCTTATATGCACCCTGTATAAATATTAAATATTGTAATACATTATAATTAAACAAAACAATGGATAATATAAACCTTCACATCAGGATCGATTCATGTAGCAGATATAAATAACAGCAGGAAATTTGGTGACCTAAATACATGAATAAATATATATTTCCACTGAGTAATTTTACACTGAAAGACTTGTGTTAAAGTCGTCCACGTTTTGAGAAAATTTTTATTATGCCAACTTAGCAGAAGTTTGCAATAAATAATTACATTCAGGAATATTTTATCTCAGATCCCACAACCAAAGCTTTCACAAAACACTAAACTAGACAACATGAAATCTGGCTTTCGGTGTCACTTATGCCAGTGGCTACTAGAGGCTTATGGCTGGCGTGGTACCCCGTACCATGTCCCATGGGCTTCACGCAGACTGAACGGGGGATCCTGACCACCTTCATCTGTGATATCAACTGAAGAGAAAGTGACCAGAGTATATAATTATCCTTGGAACAGATTTGATTGAAAATGCGTAGTAGATGCCTTTAAGTCCTAAAACACATTCTATGTTTTTTTTTTCTGCCAGACGTGCCTTCAATAATCAGGCCAAAAATGATTGGCGCAAATAAGCCCATTTTCCCCGGATATTTCTTTATTTTGGTCTTAAAAGCTGAAATAATCAGATAAGGCATCTTGAAATATGTTTATCTTGCATCAAAAGGTGTTTATAAATTGTTTTCTGAAAAGTTAATTTTTGACCAAGAAAATTTAATCAAAAATGTGAGGCTAACCCCCTCGTTATTTTCTTCAATTAAATCTGTTTCAAATTGCAGGAAAACCTTAAAGAAAGAGAGTACACAGGGTGCTGAAAACCCATTTTGAAAAAATGATGATACAAAATGTATCCCTTTGGTTGATTGAAAAAAACCTCATAAAATAGTAATCATCGAAAGTGACACAAAAACTTTCTTAAAATAAACCCAAAGAAACGGGTGAACCAAATGGCGTATAACCCAAATTACAGATTGAAAACACGGAAGAGTTTGTTTGGATTCGAACCTCGAACCTCTGCACTGCATGACAACAGAAAGAGGTCATGACTTACCATATCCCTCTTTCCAGGGTGCGAGGGAAGGTAGCGGGATATTCTCAGTGTCACTGCAAGGCAAACGGCCGTTAAAGAAACCAGGCATTTCTCCATTAGCATCAGGAAAGTCGTTCTCTCGGCTGTACTTGTAAAAGGAACTAGTGCTGCCAAAACAGAAATAGCAAGATACATCAACAACTTTTATCAACAGACAACTTTTTTTGCGAGGGGGGGGGGGCCAATAGTCAGTGGTCTCGGGACTCAGTGGATGGCCCTGTGTGACCACTAACAACATCCAGTTTCTTTCAAGAGCCCAGTGGACGGTACACATCATGTGGGCGTACTGGTTCGCAACTTATTTCAGTGATTTCATCTATTAATAAAAAGTGAATCACACTTTCGTTTACATAAAGCTTTGAGTTTACAAGTTTCTGTCTTTGTTTCCCGTGTAAAATATTCAAATTAATTAGCCCCAATTTGAACATACAGTCCAATTCAAGGGCAGATCCAGGGGGGGCCCAACGGGGGCCCTTAAGCGGGCCCCGAACCCAACTCCGCAATTTTTTGGACCCCCCAAAAATGTGTTCTGGATCCACCCTTGTCCAATGTGATTATTCATTACTTACGAACTTGCCGGTACTGTACCAAGGTCTGGTTCCCTGAAGACATATGGCTGGATGGTTGGCAGACTGTTCAGATTGTCACAGAATAGTCGGGCCATAGTTGCCTTCTTAATTTCATTCAGTTGAGCTGTATGGACAAGAACCACTATTATTATTCCAAGAGACTCCATTTTGAATTTAATCTGTTTTTGCGACTGACTTTTTTACATAAAACTCAATGAAGGTAACTGGACTAAAAAATATATTAAAATGTAGATAAATAAATGTCATTGTTTTACCTAACCGTAGATTTACAATCATGATTTTCTTACCTTTAGTGAAGGCTTGATCGCCGAGACCGTTCTCATACCAGAAGCGATCACCAAATTTGAGAGCATGGAACTGTCTGCCCAGCAGGCAGGCTAAGGTGGGTCCTATCAGCTGCCCGGGGAGTGTCTCTTCACCGATGAGGGCCGGAAACAGATCAATGTCATCAACGTCACTAAAAGGGTACAAAAGAGTTATACGTACTTACAGCAGAAGCTGAAATGCAAAAGACTCAGCTACATAGGGCGACCCATGTCTCACCACAGAGCACAGCCAGATTGAAAGTGTTGATTTTTGCAGAGGGAGGACAACAGGAGAGCCCGGAGAAAAACCCTTATGGCACATGCGAGATTCAAAGAACTACTCTATGCTCACATGTGACCCGAGCCAGGAATCGAACCCAGGCCACAGCGGTGACAGGCACCCACCACACACAAGTTAGACAACTGAAAGTCAACCAGTCTATCTCACGTCAAATCACACGCTTTTTAAATAGCATAACAAAGGCTCCCTTTGGTAGGGTTCACTGTTGTTTGACCTCACTTGTGATGATTGAATTACGTCTGACAACTCAGAATCTTCACTTTTGATTTCTTGGACAACCAAATTTTCACTTTTGATTTCTTAGACAAACAACAAAAGCACAGACACACAAAAAGACAGACAGACCAAGTAAGCGTCCACTCACTCGTAAGCATCTCTGAATTTCTGGATGGTAGCATCAGTCATGTGATCCTTCAGATCATCAAAGCTGGCAGCTCTAGGTAGATCACATTCCACACGCCAGTCATTGTATGATGCTATGCCGTGATCTCGACCTCGCTGGATGTTCAATGCTGCTAGATCTAGACCCTCTCTGTTTGACCAATGAAAAGTGAAGTTTTAACAGTGATTCCCCAAATTAGAATTGCTTTGAAGTCATAAAGTAATGTTTACTATTTTTTTCATCAAATTTACCCTCCTGCCGGATCAGCAAACATGTGTTTAGTCAGATGCTGGGTCATAATGAGGTCCACTTTGGGCATTCTCTGGGCCACCATGCCCCGGATGAAGGCGTCCAGTCCTTCTTGGCCGGGAGACGTGTCCATGTGAGTCGCGTTGAAGAAACACTCACTCAGAGAAACATGCTCCATCTTAAAGAAAAACATAACAGACAAAAGTGAAACACTTTTAAATATTATGGAATGTTAAAGAAATACCTCTGACGTTGAGAAAACTCAAGGGGCATCACAACTCATGTTACGTCATAGTGGCTATCCTCAATCCTAGAAAATCCTCCACGTTGCAGGAACCCATATGGCACACTCTCTGTACCTACCAAGTTTCAAGGGGCATCAAGCCCCATGTAAAGTAATAATTGCATTTCCTTTTAGGCAATTCCAGCGTCAAGGACATTACTAAGAACTCAGTGAATAAACCTGAAAATTTATTTTTCAAATCTTATACATCCATCATCTAATAATGGTCAAGGAGATTACAGACTAGGAGTTTTGGATCATTTCTCTGAATCATTAATTAGATATCATGGTTAACTGGCTCTGTCACAGACATTACTTTTTATGTAATGTTTGTGATGCTGAAACTGTTGGTTTGCATTCTACTCACCATACTGTGATCCTGGTCTAGTTTCAGCAGTGTTGTAGGCACCTGGCTGTGTCCGATACGGTAGGCAGCCGCTGAGAAAACGTTGGTTGCGCCAGGGTTGAGGTAAGGGTCATATCCGTACATGAAGGTGTCCGAATGCACGCGTAGACCATGCTTAGCCATCTAAGACGATTATCAAGGAAATCATGGGATTTCGTCAAGGACTGGTATTTTAGGAAACAAGACAAGGCAACCTAGTAAAAGCTGGTCCAAAAACTCACAAAATTCTATTCGATTGATTCAGAGTGACTATTCACTGAAGTCTTGTCATGGATCTGGTCTACACAATGTTCTGGATTTTAACCCATTCACTGGCGTGAAGTGGTAATCCTATATGATAGCACTGCCCAGCTCACAAGTGTCAGTCAGTCACTCATAGTCAGTCAGTCTTTTGAGTGAGTCAGTCAGTCAGAGAGAAACATGCAACCGCTCTAGGCCCTCTGGGTCCAGCAATAATACAATTTATGATTTATTAATGCCTCATTTCTGTTGCACCAAATTTCTCTACCAATTAACTCACATTGTAGGATCCCATAAGCGGAGGCAGGTACTCATTATACACCACATGTTGCCACATGGCGTTGCAGATTTTCCTGGCTTCGTTGTAGTATGTCTCATCATCCCAGTCTGGGTTCAGCTCAGCCAGTTTCTCAGCGATGCGGTTGTGTTGTCGGAGCAGGACTGTGTGGATGCTGGTCAGGCCTGGCTGCTCGGCGGCACGTTTGTCGCCCGCACGGCCGCACTTCAGCTGCGAAGGGAATAAGGTGGTCGTGGCTCAAGACTGGTTTTGGATATTGTTGCCCTAGCAGCCATATATCCCTGAAATCCATGGCCAATCCGGTGCGCTACCGACAAGATGAATCTAAAATAGCCTTGGGAACGTTGGCGCCCTGACCCAAGAAAACCTACACATGAGTTATGCTCAATTTTTTTTGTGGGGGGGGGGGGGGGTTCCAAGTGCCAAAGTTTCTAAGACTACATTTTTTTTTCATCTTGGTGATAAGGCACACTACTTATCATGCTTGTCAGGAACTGGTTGTATTAGACATTTTGGAGTTTTTATCTTCATTTTCGAAATGTTCTCAATCAGAAGTTATTTAGTGATTAGAAATTCAATTAGCATTAAAAAATGAATCCACTGAATATAGTCCTATACTACCTCTGGGTTGGCGAAGACGCAGTCTGTATGTTCCTCATCATTTGGAAGGAGTTGTTTACCCACATCATTGTTAGGGTCGTCCATGGCTAACAATAAACCTTTCCCTGCATGAAAAAGCCGACAACATTGTGAAATGCACATAAAATACTTTGCAAAACATTCAATAAACCAATCACTGTCAATTCCAGCACGAATGCCCACTCTTGTTTGGTTATGTTGGGTAGAAAATTTAAATCTGCCAAAAAAAGTAAAGTCTTTCACAAGCCAATATGCAAGCATCATGCCTAGCTGTGTTTACCTCCAGTTTTCTTGGCATGAAATGACTGAGAACATTTCTACTTTCCTGGATGGGATGCCAGTCCATCGCAGGTTACTCCCAAGCTAATGCCGGTACCCATTTATGCTCCTGCGTGCAGAGAGGCAAGTGAGGATGAATTGGCTTGCTCAAGGACACAATATATGGCCAGCAGCTGGATTGGAACCCCTGACACTCTGATCACGAGTCACCAACCCTAACCACCAGGCCCCATTCCTCCACTACCAATACCCACCTTTGACTACATCCCGCATGTGCATCGCCTCCTCAAACGTGGAGCCGTAAACTTGGGACAAATCGATGAACGACGTGATCTGATTGACCTGTTGGCGCGGGACCGTGTTGCAGTCTGCATCGGGGATCGCGACGGAACGGGCAAACCGCAGGCAAGGCTGACGGAAGAATGGATCGTCCTCCGGTATGGGGATCGGGAGGCACTGGGGTGTAGTCTCGCAGGAACAGTTCACTAAAAGAACGAAGCAAAATTTGTTTCAAAATCAAGTCATAATTCAATACAGTTAGTCAAGAAAAATGAAAGCCAAATGACGGGACTAAATTGTGAATGAAGTTTTGCCTGTAGCACTTTCAAAATCTAGGATATGAAAGCCCAGTCATTAAATCTTTTTTAATACAAGAATCATTCAGATCACTGATGTACTTTTCAAGTTACGGCATTTTGAACACAAATATGGTTTTAAAGCTCATTCCACACATCACAGAAAAAGTTAGTGTTCTTTCAGCAACACAGAAAAAATGTCATAGGGATGCATGTGAATTGGTTTCGTTTTGCTGCAACACTGAATTTTTTTGTGATCAACGGAATGAACTTTAAAAGGTAGATCAACTTCATGACCCCCCAAAAATCTACTGTTCCTTAATGGTGCCCACACAAAGCCACTTTTTCCAAAACATGACTTGTACCTTTTTCCAAGGCTGCATGGTCTATATCATGATCCAGGAACTGCCCAAAGTGCATTGCAATAGTTGTCCATGGTAAGTCCTCCACATCATCGTTCTCCTCAATCAGCTTCCTGCTGACGTCACGTGCACCTGGGAGTGGCTCGCCCGACTTGGCAAGCCTGGGATTGGCTGAATCTGTCCATATGCAAATGAAGAATGTTTATGACAACCCCATTCAAACAGAGATAGGCTCAATCTGTTTTTATGCAAATGAGAAAAGTTTATGACAATCCCCTTCAAGCAGAGATTGGCAGAATCTGTCCACATGCAAATGAGAAATGTTAATGACACTCCCCTTCAAGCCTGGGATTGGCTGAATCTGTCCACATGCAAATGAGAAATGTTAATGAGACTCCCCTTCAAGCCTGGGATTGGCTGAATCTGTCCATATGGAAATGCAGAATGTTTATGACAATCCCACTCAAGCAGATGTGAGGGGGGCCTTCTAGCGCGGGGACTTCAGGGAAGGGGGGCTCTGGTCTGGTTCTGGAGTAAGGGAAGAGGGGGGCACGCAGGTTCTTTGTTGGAGTGAGTGCTCACACCGAAACTGGATCTCCCTTGCTCTGATTGTTTATTCAAACTGAATCGGCCCAGGTGGGGCCACCTGTAAAGATCGGGCAGGCACTCATAAGTTTCATTTCAAAATACAAACAATGTACATGTGTAACTCATGAAATAATAAGCGTACATGTATTAGAAAGATGTACACACATTACCCAGTTAATTACCAAGAGTGAAAAGCCTATATGCAAGTATGGTGACCGCATCGAGCACCCAAGGATGGAATCACAAACAGACAGGCCGGCCCTGCGCACTGACTGACCAACACTCGCACACACTATCACACACCGCAAGCACCCACATCCGTCCCTAAAATGCACAATATGATCACCAACTTACATGAACTTTCCAAAACTATATGACAGTGACAGTTGTAAGCATTTCTATAAACTGGTCTCCAGACAATTAAGTGCCCAATAATGCAATATAGGCCTACGTCCACATAAAATCACTCTTAAACCACAAACTACTGTAAGTTACATATCACAATACATGTACTGCTCACGCACGCGCACTGCACATGGTCACACTGTGTGTGCCATCAGTGCAAACATGGGTTGCTAACCCTCATGCATTTGGTCACAGTGCTCCCTAAATCTTACAGCAAAAATCTCTCCAAAAACTTCATTACATTCTCCAAAACTACCACCATATTAATCTATAATAATTTGCTGATACAATAAAGGGCACATAAGTAATAATCATCTGGATTTTTGGTGAAATAATTGCATTCAAAAATGACCTAAAAAAGTACAATACATTTACCTGTAAAGATCGGGCAGGCACTGCCTAGCCTAGGCCTTGCCGCGACCGCATGGTTTGGGAGCTGTGAATTAACAACGTGCAGTTCACGTCAAGTGAACAATCCACAAAAGTGATCTAAAGCCAAACCTATGATGACAAATAATTTGATAATACACATTTCTAATCAAGATAAGCATAATTCTTCTTTAAAATCTAAACATAATGTTCATTTTCCTTGACTAAGAAATATTCACAAAATACAAGTTCAAAATCACAGCTCCATAAATCAATACTATTTTTGGCTCCACTAGAAAAATCAATACTTTGTATAGCCTTGTCTCGAGTCACACTGAGTAGACTTCCCTCAAGTCACATGAATTAATAACAAAGTAAATGCAAGGTTTGTAGTGAATAAACAACCAGAGAAAGGGGTCTTTATAGAAGAACAAGAAATATAATCAACACAACCATTACAACTCTTCCACGCCTAGTCATCATCGTCCTCGATGATGGGGATCTGAACAGAAGGGTCAGTAACCAAAGGCCAGAGAACCTGGATCAAACAGTGGACCACTAAGCTCTCCTTGGGGATGCACAGCATCAATAATCGAACAAGAGAAAATGCGAAAACGCTTTCCAAAATACCAACAAATTACTAAAAACGATCTGGCAACACTCCTCGTGTGCTCCGAACAGGATACCGCCTGGGCAGAGCTGCAGAAGTAGACCCATTCTGGGCAGTATCTACTGCTGAAGGTTCAGGACTCTCCTCTGGTACCACCTCTTCCTCCTCTTTAACCTGTGGTTGGGGTCGATCAGACTCATCGGAGGAAGGAGCATTTTCCACACCGATTGGCAGCTGACCTGGCTTGATGGTAGTAGCACGGGGACGGAGCATATAGGCCCTGGGGCAGGACGAAGAGTCGGTCTCAGAATCACTTGCCCTGTCTGATGACGACTCAACAGGTCGGTTTTCAGGGAGCCAAGGACAGTGTTTGAGCGCTGTTCTGTGTACCACTCTTTCTTGACCAAGGTGGCTCCGCACCACATACACTGGGCGATCTGGGAATGGCCGTTTGATTACCAGGTGTGGTTCGTCGAGCCAATGATCTGCAATCTTGGATCGGCCTCTGAGTCCATGTTGGCGCACCAGAACATAATGGCCCACTTCGAGTGGTTTCTCAAAACTGTGGCGAGCTTGTCGGGCCTGTCGAGCTGCCGCTGCAAGTTCAGTGTTGCGACTTGCAATTCTCCGAGCTTCCTTTAGGACCTTCTGGTGTCTTGAGACATAAGATCCAAGGGTTCTACCACTCTTGGGGGAGGCTTCCACGCCTAAGACCAAGCCATGTGGAAAACGGCCATTTCTACCGAACATCAAGAAAAATGGCTCCACCCCTGTAGTGGAATTCTTAGAATTGTTGTAGGCATATACGAGCGCAGGCAGATACTCTGGCCACTTTTTCTTCTTCTTCTCAGGCAGGGCAGCAAGCATGTTGTGTAAGGTTCTGTTGAACCTCTCACACTGTCCATTTCCGGCAGGGTGGTACGGGGTAGTGTGACTCCGTTGAATACCATACAAATTACAAAGCTCACGGACGACGTTGGACTCAAAGTTCCTGCCCTGGTCTGAGTGGAGGCGGAGGGGACAGCCAAAAGGAAGAAATACATGTTGTACCAGAGCTCGTGCAACAGAGGGGGCCCGCTGGTCCTTTGTTGGTATGGCCCACACATACTTTGTGTGGACATCAGTCACGACAAGTACATTCTCGAAACCACCATCCAATGCCTCAAGGGTTGTAAAATCCATGGCAACAACCTCCATCGGGGCCGATGCAGATAGGGTGGCGAATGGGGGTCTTGTCTGACGTACAGGGGGTTTGCTTACAGCGCAACGCCGACACTTGGAACACCATTCTTTCACGGCCTTATACATGTTGTGCCAATGGAATCTTGTCCAGAGAAGGTGAAATGTGCGCTTTGACCCAAAGTGGCCAGACTCATCGTGGAACCTGCGGAGGGCTTCATCACGAAGACTGGTAGGAAGCAGCAGCTGAAAGCAAGGTTGCTTATTGGACGGAGATATCACCTTTCGGTACAGACAGCTGTCTCGGACAAAGAGCCGATCCCAATTTCTCAGCAGCTGGAGAACATCACGAGGACAACCCATTCGCTCCTGCCTGTCTGGCTTCTGTCCCCTTGCAACAAACTTCATGACTTTCCCCAGGGTAGGGTCTTCTTGTTGTAAATTGTGTAGTTGCATGAGAGTGTATCCTGGTAAACAGCTGATGCCGCCAATACGACAGGCTTCAATGTGGTGACACAAAGCCGGTGGCAGAAATGCACCAGAGGTGTAGCCTGTGAGACAAGCTGAAATGCAACTTGACAACATCACCATGGGTTCGACTGGCTCACATAGGTTCTGGTTCTCCTGATCAACGTTAGCTTCATTTTGGGAATTACATCGCCGTGAGAGGGCATCAGGTGCCTGGTTGCATTTGCCTGGTCGGTAGACAAGCTCATACTCGAATGAGCTGAGTTGCTGGACCCACCGCATTTCGGTGCATCCCAAATTGGCCTTGTCCAGAAACAGCAACGGGTGATGGTCGGTCACGATGCAACACTTGTTACCCAAGAGATAGTCTTTGAAGACCTCGGTCACCGCCCATTTAATGGCCAACAACTCCAACTTGAAAGCGCTGTAACGACCACTTCGTTCAGCTGCCTTCAGTGTGCGCGAAGCGTAGGCCACAACATGAAGTCGAGCATCATCATCCTCCTGGAAGAGAATGGCTCCCAAGCCGGTGCCGCTGGCATCTGTCTCAACCCGAAATGGTCTAGAGAAGTTGGCATATGAAAGAATCGGGGCTTTGGTTAGCCGATCAATGAGCGACCTGAAGGCAGCCTGGCCAGAAGACCCTAGTTCGATCTCATCTCTGGTTGGCCTATTCTTCTTCTTCTTTGTTGCTCGGTCACCCTTCAAGTGCTGAAAAAGTGGCTCTGCAATGGAGGCGTAACCCTCAATGAAACGCCGGAAAAATCCAGTGAAACCAAGAAACGCCCGTACATCCCTCACAGTCTTAGGCTCCGGCCAATCAACAACAACTTCTATCTTCTCCGGGTCCACTGCTACTCCCTTGCTCGAGACCAGATGTCCCAAGTAGCGCACCTCTTGCTGAAGAAGGTGGCACTTTGCCGGCTTGAGTTTAAGCCCCTGTTCCCGAAGCCTGGTGAAAACCCTGTCAAGGTGCGCCAAATGCGAGTCAAAATCGGAGGAGTAAACAATGATGTCGTCAAGATAGATTAGGACATTGTCAAAGCACTGGTCCCCAAGGCACCTCTGCATGAGACGTTGGAATGTAGCCGGAGCATTTGATAAGCCAAAGGGCATCCTCGTATACTCAAATAGGCCGAAAGGAACAGTGAAGGCAGTTTTCTCGATGTCATCTGGATGCATGGCGACTTGGTAGTAACCACTGGTGAGGTCCAGAACAGTGAAAAACTTGGCCCCACCTAGGGCCTGTAGGGACTCCTCGATCCTAGGGAGCGGGAATGAGTCCCGATGAGTGAGTCGATTAAGTTGCCGATAGTCAACGCATAGCCGGATACTGGCATCCTTCTTTTGAACAATAACCACAGGAGATGCCCATGGGCTTGAGCTCTCCCGGATAATCTGCTTCTTGAGTAGGTCCTGAATGTGTTCACGTACTGCTCTGTATTGTGAGGGTGGTAGAGGTCGGTGCCGTTGTCGAATGGGATGTGCAGACCCGGTGCTAATGCGATGCGTAATTTTATCCGCAAAACCGAAGTCTTGGTCATTACACGAAAAAGCGTTCTCATGCTTTCTCAGGAGAGATGCCACCTTTGCTTTCTGTTCATCTTCCAGGACCGCCACATCGACATCTACTGCTAAAGGCATTGAGCTTGGCTGCACTTCGACAGCTACCGTCTCCTGTTTGATCTCCACTTTTGAGTTTTCCTTTTCTTTGTGGCCATCCTTACACGACACAGAATACCCCAGGTAGAGCTTTCCCAGTGAGGTTGACGATGGTATTACGACCTCAGCGTCTGTTTCGTTGTACAAGACAACAGGAAACCTCCCACTGTCTACTTTCACCAGGCATGGTGGGATAATGACACCCGATGGTAGACCTCCATCACTGGTTGGCTCCAGAACGGCCTCATATGCCTCGTCAGCTGGGCCTGTCCGACTTCTGGCTTCAACCACCACTCCCTGGCGGGCAGAAAGCACCAAGGGCTGTCCACATAACCGTGCCTGTCCCACTTGTCCATCCTCTGCACCAAATGTCAACCGCCGATTAACCGTCTGCATTGCCTTCTGCCAAACTGGATCTGGAGTTGGCCATGGGATCCTTTTCAGTCGGGAATGTTGTTGGGTAGACATGAGCCCCTCCCAGCAACCCTGGAGAACATTCATACCTAGAATACCATACACACTCCCGCTTTTCCAAGCATTTAGTGAAGAGTACCTCTCACAGATTACAAGCACCACCCGAGATGGGATGACCAGTCCGACGGCTTCAACATCTGTTTCAAAACACCCAATGTAGGGGATAGAAGAACCATTAGCAGACACAAGTGTGAATGGTTCCGGTATGGCTTGAAGTTTGAAGCCCACAGGTTCGAGACACTGACGGAAGAATCGTTCCCCCACAGTGGTGACTTGGGATCCTGGATCCAACAGACAAGTCACTTTAACTTTCGAAAATAAAACATCAACAGCAAAACATTCTCCAACAGCCTTCTGCATAAATTCTGGAGTAGTCTCTCCAATTGAGCCTACATTAATCTCCACGGTACGGCTCCCTACAGCGGAGGATTGCGGTTTAACGCCTCTGTGTGGGATGGTGCTGCCATCTGCTGTTCTTCCTTGGGCATAAATGGGTGAGGATTAGGACCAAAGCTCTGGGGATATGGTGGCATCATGTACTGCTGCGTGTGGTGGGTTGGCATCTGATTCTGGGCAGGCGACTCCACGTAGTTTGGCATTGGCTGGCGGGAGTAAGTGTTATCGCTCCTCCACTGGTAGGCCGATCTTCGATCACTTCTACAAAAGCGAGCTATGTGGCCGTGCCTGCCACAGTTAAAACATCCTCGCCCACGGGGGTAGGTTGGCGGATTTGCGGATGTCATCGGGGCTTGGCCAGAGGATGGTTGCGTCAATTGACGAACTGCATCAACAACTTCGTTGGCAACCGCTCGAAGTGCTGACGTTTGGATAGCCGCACTGTACACGTCGCTGGGTTTGCTTCGGGATTCCTCTCGCCCTTGCCGCTTGATGGCGTACTCCCTCAGCTCACGGAACGTCTCGATGGTACCCCGTTCGTACAGATCCCGACAGGAATTGCGAAGGTACAAGTCATCAATTCCCTCGATGAATTGTTCAGCAAGAGTTGAGTCGGGCTTAGAATACAGCTTAGCATCCATTCGGGTGAGACGCAAGAAGCGCTTCTCAAGATCAACCGCGTAGTCTCGGATAGGCTCCCCTGGATTCTGTCTTCTTTCAAGGAACAGCCGTTGCAATTCACCCACGGGTAGCTTATCACGGTAAGATTCTCGCAGAAACGTCATGATCTCCCCAATCGTCTTTCGTTCAGCTAGGAGAGCCTTCACCTCTGCTTTCGGGCCACCTCGGAGGTAATCCAGAAGAAATGCTCCTTGCTGATCCTCTGGAACTGAATACCGCTTGAAAGCATTCTCCATGTTCGTGATGAATTCCCTCACCTCGCCTACTTTGCCTTCGAATGTTGACATCTTCCTTTCAGGCGCCATCACCAACTGGGTCTGGGGTTTAAGGAGCAGCTTCATAAGCTGAGACTGGATGTCGAGGATCGCCTTCTCATTTGTAGGAGGGGTAGTTGGCTCCGGAAGGAGAACCGAATAGAGGCGCTCACTCCACCCATCAGCCGGTGGTTTGATAATACCCTGTTGAGCCGGCACCACCACTTTGCAGTCGTCTTCGGAGTAAAGAAGTCCTCTAGCAGTAGGATACTGGGCTTGTAGGACTGCCAGGTTGAGGGAGCCAGCATCATCCAAAGGGAACCGATTTACATGCCCAGTCCCTTGCACCTTGACGTAGGAGGCCATAATAGTTGGGAAGGGGAAAAATACTGCAAAATATGCAATTCTCTACAATGAAAAATGTAGAACGATTGACTGAATGGTAGTTTGCAGAAAAATACAAATCACAATTAGTGCAAAAGTCTGTGTCAATTTCCACAACAATGGTATACACACACAAATGTGGAAAACTATGTCAACACCTTTAAAATAACCTGCAGAACAAGTTGTATCAATGTCTTAAAATTTGCAAGATCTTAAAATTTGCAAAATGCAAGTAAAGTTTTGTTTCTCCTTGTCAATCTTAACAGACAGGGCAACTTTTACAGCAATACGGGTAACACTTGAAATAATTGATATCCAACTTCAATAAACACCTTTTTTTTTTATACTGCAATAAACACCAAAAAATGTTGTGTCTGTGTCTTACAATTTGCAAAATTAAAATAAACTTTCCTTATCTTTCAATCCCAATAAGCAGACTGAACACCCTTATGAGATGCAAAATGGGCAGTACACAAGCAATCGACACAAAACCAAGCTAACACACTTAGCTAACTTTTCTCTCGTAAATATGATGTGCAACTCTAAAGTTAGGTAAACACAATAACAAACAATTTTAGCAGTCAGCCAATATAGAAAACTTGGGCGTACACAACACCTGTAGGTCTGTGTATTTTGGCAGTTAATACACAAAATTATTAATACTTGAATCACACTGGATGTGCACTGTGCACCTTAATTCAAAACTAAACCAGCAAACTTAACACTCAGTGATAAAGAACACTTGGGATTACACAGCAATTGTAGGCCTGTGTAATTTGGCAGTTACTTACACAAAATTATTAACACTTGAATTACACAGTCACCTTATGTATGATCAATTAACGATTCGTTAAGCTGTTTGATTGTTACTCCATACAGAAAACAATAACTCACTCAGATCAGTGAATATAACTATTACAACAAAAATACTAATACTTGAGTCGCGATGACACGTAGACCGGGGATCCAGCAGCTCTCCTCAGTCTTATCAGGTGCTCAGCATGGGCTCAACTCCAACCATCCTGCCGACTACGCTTGTGAGGGGGGCCTTCTAGCGCGGGGACTTCAGGGAAGGGGGGCTCTGGTCTGGTTCTGGAGTAAGGGAAGAGGGGGGCACGCAGGTTCTTTGTTGGAGTGAGTGCTCACACCGAAACTGGATCTCCCTTGCTCTGATTGTTTATTCAAACTGAATCGGCCCAGGTGGGGCCACCTGTAAAGATCGGGCAGGCACTCATAAGTTTCATTTCAAAATACAAACAATGTACATGTGTAACTCATGAAATAATAAGCGTACATGTATTAGAAAGATGTACACACATTACCCAGTTAATTACCAAGAGTGAAAAGCCTATATGCAAGTATGGTGACCGCATCGAGCACCCAAGGATGGAATCACAAACAGACAGGCCGGCCCTGCGCACTGACTGACCAACACTCGCACACACTATCACACACCGCAAGCACCCACATCCGTCCCTAAAATGCACAATATGATCACCAACTTACATGAACTTTCCAAAACTATATGACAGTGACAGTTGTAAGCATTTCTATAAACTGGTCTCCAGACAATTAAGTGCCCAATAATGCAATATAGGCCTACGTCCACATAAAATCACTCTTAAACCACAAACTACTGTAAGTTACATATCACAATACATGTACTGCTCACGCACGCGCACTGCACATGGTCACACTGTGTGTGCCATCAGTGCAAACATGGGTTGCTAACCCTCATGCATTTGGTCACAGTGCTCCCTAAATCTTACAGCAAAAATCTCTCCAAAAACTTCATTACATTCTCCAAAACTACCACCATATTAATCTATAATAATTTGCTGATACAATAAAGGGCACATAAGTAATAATCATCTGGATTTTTGGTGAAATAATTGCATTCAAAAATGACCTAAAAAAGTACAATACATTTACCTGTAAAGATCGGGCAGGCACTGCCTAGCCTAGGCCTTGCCGCGACCGCATGGTTTGGGAGCTGTGAATTAACAACGTGCAGTTCACGTCAAGTGAACAATCCACAAAAGTGATCTAAAGCCAAACCTATGATGACAAATAATTTGATAATACACATTTCTAATCAAGATAAGCATAATTCTTCTTTAAAATCTAAACATAATGTTCATTTTCCTTGACTAAGAAATATTCACAAAATACAAGTTCAAAATCACAGCTCCATAAATCAATACTATTTTTGGCTCCACTAGAAAAATCAATACTTTGTATAGCCTTGTCTCGAGTCACACTGAGTAGACTTCCCTCAAGTCACATGAATTAATAACAAAGTAAATGCAAGGTTTGTAGTGAATAAACAACCAGAGAAAGGGGTCTTTATAGAAGAACAAGAAATATAATCAACACAACCATTACACAGAGATTGGCTGAATCTGTCCATATGCAAATAAGAAATGTTATGACACTCCCACTCCAGCCTGGGATTGGCTGAGTCTGTTCTTATGCAAATGAGAAATACTTATTTTGATATTAGGGTTTTTTTGCCCTCCACCAACGTATAAACACTGTATACTCAATGTGTTACCTCAAAAAGGGCAAAAAAACCTAATACTGATTCACATCACCCCGACGCAAAATTCCATGCTATGAATATTTATTTTGATCTCACTCAAGCCTGGAATTTGCCTAATCTGTTCATATGCAAATGCAAAATTTTAAAGACACATGCATGACGTGACATTGAATAACAAATGCAAAAGCTTTGCAAAACTTTTACAATCTTTCAATTTTCAATGACAACTTAGAGAAAGGTGTTCAAAAAGTGAAAAAGGGGGAGTCAGGTTGGCCAAGTGGTTCCTCCATCACCTTCCACCTATTTTCCTCCCACCTCTAAATCTGAACATTTCATGATTGTCTTTTCTCTACTGATTTCTTCAGGCTTGCGAGCTGCAGTGCCTAGGGCACTTTTGAAGAATCCTTCTTTTATTACAAGAAATAAATATTAGCAACAAACGAAGCTGAGGTGAGGAAACGTTAACATTGAAATATATTTACCATCGGCATAAGCAGCAGGTAGAATGCGAACCAGAGGACTGAATGCTTTTCCCCAGTTGACATTGACCAGGTTGTTGCAGGCACCGTTAGCAGTGCGGTATTTGGTGGAAGGTGGACAGTCATCAACGGTGACGTCGTACCCAGCAGCTGCGCAGAGCTGTCGCTTAGCTTCGGGCGACAACTCGGAAAAAACACTGAGAGAGAAAAAAAATAGATATACATGTATGATGAGCTGTTGACAGGGTCACAGTGCAGTGCATCACTGGACAATCACAAGACAGTCACAACTCCATCACTTGACAATCACAAGACAATCATAAGACAATTACAAGATGATCACAAGTTCATCACTAGACAATCACAAGACAATCACTGGACAATCACAAGACAGTCACATCTCAATCACAAGACAATCACAAGACAATCACAAGTCCATCACTGGACAAACAAAAGTCTATCACTGGACAATCACAAGACAATCACAAATCCATCACTGGACAATCACAAGACAATCACAAGTCCATCACTGGACAATCACAAGACAATCACAAGTCCATCACAAGACAATCACAAGACAATCACAAGACGATCACAAGACGATCACAAATCCATCACTGGAAAATCACAAGACAATCACAAGTCCATCACTGGACAATCACAAGACAATCACAAGTCCATTATTGGACAATCACAAGACAATCACAAGACAATCACAAGACAATTACAAGACAATCACAATCCATCACTGGACAATCACAAGACAATTATAAGTCTATCAGTTCAATTTTACTAAAAAGAATTTATATATACAAAATATATCAGCCCAACAAAGGCGGATGACACCAAGTTAATTATGATTAAGTCCAGTCTGAAAGCAGGGATTAAATAATGATTTACCATGATTACAAACATTATAAAGGAAAACCTGCAGAATATTTCTAGTCTTACCTTCGGTAAACATCGCTGACATTTTGCAGTGCTCGTGCTGCCTCGGCGAGTTGTTTGGACTGTGCGTGAGTGAAGCCAAAGTGATGTAGCAAGTCATGGGGATCGCGTCTTATTCTCTCATTTGGGCGGCCATCTTTGGTAGCGATCACAAAGAGAGAATTTTTACCACATTTTGTCACGCACAACCAGAGACTGTTAGTCTTTTTCATACAGTTGACCATAAGGGAAGTATTAGGAATTATCAAGTAATTTTCTAAAAGAATTTTCCAAATGCACAAATAATTTAGGAAAATCATACTGTTAAAATTCCCATCGGAGATTGCACCCCAGCATATAGTGGGAGTCAGTCTGCTCGCTCGCAGATTTGTTTGTGCCCAAAACAAAATACTTCACAGGGTTGCAGACATCCCGAAAAAGGACAAAATGAGGTGTTTTTTTTATTGGAATGGAACAAAAAAGTTGAAGAATAAAAAAGGTCAGTGTTAAAAGATCGGGGAATGCAATTAACTCTCTGAATCCTTCAAAATCCTCTTTGCCAAAGTGGAGGAATTTGGAGGATTGAGGTTACATGGCAAAAGTGCGTTACTGATTTCGTTGGATGCACTTTGTCAAGGTCTTGGGCTGGACCTTGTGTTGTTTTTGCTCAGCCATGCATAAATATAGGCCTGGATTATGCTTGAAATCCTCCGTATTGCTCCAGGATGTCATTGGCCAAGCCTTAGCATATTGACAGTCACTGCCGATTTTGCAGGATTCAGGCAGTGGTCACCCCTCCACAGACCAAGAAAAAATGGAGAAATTTGCAGGATTGAGGCTATATGCCATTTTTCCATGAGGCCAATTGGAGGATTTTGCAGGATTGAGGCTACATCCTGGCAAAAAGGCCTAGGGAGTCAGGGTTAAAATGCAATGATGTGCATTATGGACTTATAATTTCTTGTTTGAATGCTCACCAGTTCTTGAGGTCAATTCCTGCTCGCTGAACCATTTCTTGGCGCTGCGGATCTGTCTCTCCAATTCATTCAAGAGTTCCGCGTCTACCTCCGCAGGCCCGTCGACCAAAGCAGTGTCTACTGGACCGGCAAGAGCCACAGAAATCACCCAGGCCACGGTGATCAATAAGACACTGAAAAAAAAAGAATAATTTTCCTTTGAAAATTATCTAAGGGTCATTCGATAAATTTAGGGTCTAAGTGCGACATTTTCCCCGTCCGTTACTTTGGTACTTTGTAATTTGCCATTCAAGTCACATTAAGAATGACTTCAAATGAAATGTTTTATTTGTTTGGTAGATAGTTTGCTATTCATAATCACTCTTGGAGGATGGCTGCATTCAGGAGTACATCAGAATTATAAAAATCATTGTATTAACAATAACTACAAGTCTACAACTTAAATAATGCCAAAGTGTGCCTTAGAGATAGGGCTGTCCCGAATCCTCACGAAATATATTCAATCATCGACTGAATATTCAAATAGTTGTTTTTCAGTTCAAATATTTGAAAACAAAAAACTACACACATACACACACAACTGTGACGTTATTTTATTGTGAAGTTGCGGCGCTTTATTGTCACAATAACTTTTTGTCAAAGGCAGTTAATTGTTCACAGTTTTGAATATCCGAATATTTGGTCAAACGCAGTTTCGAGAAATTGAATACTAAATTATTTGAAAATGGACACACCTAAAGAGACGCTCATGGCACTCCACAAGGATACAACATAAAAGCTAAGGCCAATCACAATTAAAAGAGAAATTACCTACTTTTCCTACTTAAACCTGGACCAGCCAGTAGCAGTACCATAAAATTATGAAAAAGTTCATAAGCAGTATCTTAACCCATGCAGAAAAAGCTACCCCCCAAATCATGCCCAAAAGTAATTACTAAGATCTGGAAAAATGAATGAAACCTGGACCAACCATTAGCAGTAACCAAAATAGGCTAAAAGCAATATTTTAACCCACGCAGAAAAACCCAACACCCCCCCTCCAACTAATACACACACAAAAAGTAATTACTAAAACCTGGAAAAAAAACGATAAAACCTATACCAGACAGTAGCAGAAGATGCCAGATGCAACAGGGACAGGGAACAAAGTGGACCCAAATATATAGAAGGACCACTGTATAGAAGCAAATTTTGGCTCAGTTCTTGATCACCAGTTTAAAAAGAAAACAGGTAAAAATTTACCAACTCCCTAATTTTTTTCAGTTTATCATATTTTTGTGTACGCTGTACAATAAAACAAAAAGTCCCAAAGTATAATCAGATCGCAGAGTGTAATAACAGAATTGTGCAGAAATTCTTACTTGAAGGGTAAAAACCTAATTTGATTTACATCACCCCGACGCAAAATTCCATCTGATGAAAAATTCTTACCTGTTAACAAATTTAATCCTCATTGAGATACACATTTTTCTTGGCGTAAAAATTGTAAACACCACTGCACGATCGCTCTGCCTAGATGTGACGGCTCGTCACCTATTCCTCACTGAAGAATAAGCCCTCCCAAACCCAAACTACAGTTTTTATAGCCACTTCACTTGAACCATCTGGTCACAGCCAAACATGCGGTAGTCAAGGATTCTATGGCTATATAAGTTGAATACTAGTCCAGGGGATATGTGAAAAAATTGTGCACTTTTGCATAAAAGCATGAAACTTGGCACAGATGTTCATATTCATGCGAGAAAATGTGTTAGATGTGGAGCCATCCCAAATTTACCCAGTTAGGGGCGTGGCCTCCATTAGGGCTGCCATTGTGTGCTGTGTATTTATAATTATGAAATCACTCTGGAATTTAGATGTGCATGATAATATAGGTACATGTACACACGTTGAACCCTATAACTGGTTAGCCTACCAGTACTTACCCATGCTCTTTGGTGTAAGTCATTGTATTACCAAATAATGTCATGTAGGTTATGGGCCAATCAACATTATAAGAAATCAACAACAAAATGTAAAAATTGCATTTGTGGGCACAGTGAGTAGGCCCCTCGCGCCTCTAAAAGGATGAGTTTGCTGTGGCTCCACATCTGAATTTATTTTCTTTCACCAAGTTTGTGTGAAGTTTACTCATTTATGAAAGGTAGGCACAAGTTTCGATGGTGGGCAAATGATTAGTAGCGCCCCCCCAATTTTTTTTAAAATATATGCCACGCCTCTTAAAGGGTAAGTTTGTGATGGCTTCACATTCGAATGAAAAAAGATTCTCATATATATTGTCTGTGAGTGTGTGGATTTAAATCTGTTTATGAAAGGTAGGCACAACTTTTTTATAGGGGCATCATGACTACCCCCGCCCCCATTTTACTATGGCTGCCACGCCCCTAAAAGGGTGTGTTTGCGATGGCTCCACGTCTGAATTTTTTTTCGTGAATATTAATGTCAGTGGGAATTAGCTTCATTCGTTTATGAGATGTGGGCACATTTTTCCCATGAAGGGCATAATGAGAACCCCGCCCCCCCTTTTTCAATATGGCTGCCACGCCCCTAAAGAGTATTCGCGATGGCTCCAAATCTGGAATTGTTTTCTCATGAATGTCAATGTCAGTGAAAAGTTCCATTTCTCTGTGAATGTGGGAACAATGGTGGGCATAATGAAAACCCCGCCCCCCTTTTTTCCTAATATGGTTGCCACACCCCTAAAAGGGTGTGTTCGAGATGGCTCCACATCTGCAATTTTTTTTCTTATGAACATAAACGTCTGTGGGACGTTTTATCCGTTCATGAAATATGGGCACAATTTTTCCCAAGGTGGGCATCATAATTCCCCCCCCCCTTATTTTTAAATGGCTGCCACGCCCCCAAAAAGGTACTTTTGTGGTGGCTTCGAATCTTGAAAACACTTATAATCTATATAATTATGTATTTGTGAAGTGTAAACTTGAATAGTTGGTTTAAAATCTGGGAAAAAAGGCTGTCGGCTCCTTTCTGTGATACAAACAAACGTTTCACTTTCAGCAAAAGAATTGAGAAAATGGAAGAACCCACCTTTAAAATAATCCACCATCTTGGAAAATAAAAGGGGCGGCCGGCCTCCTCCTTTTTCAATAATGCCATTAAGCCCTGTCTTTTACTTTTCCTTTAACTGTTTAGCATGTTTAATCATGGAGGAATAAGAACACATAATAACTTTACAAAAGTGTGACAAATTTAAACCAAACGGGATAATTCATTGGCACAAAATGTTTCAGTGTTAATACACTGACATGACTGAAAGTGAAACTGGATTTCATGGACAACACACCAGCAACGACGTTTGCCTATCCACAGGTTGCACGTGCTCGCTAGACCTGTTCAAAATGACAACAGTTAAAAAACAACACAAAGTTCAAAAGTCAGTTTTGCAGACGACTTATATTTTGCCATAAATACCTCCTCATTTTTCACCAACTGCAGAGAAAATGCCCCGCCCATCATCTTGTTACTCGTGTGCAACATTCTTGCAAAGTGCAGGCTAAGTTAACGCCCTTTTGACGACATTTCCAAGGAATATAATCTTCCCAAAAATTCCAGGTACGCGCACATGTCGTGTCACTACATCACAATCACGGCAATTTGACATTAGCACCTTCACGTTGACATCGGACCAGGCTAAAGATGACGTCACACATAATAATGAATACAATGGTTTTCACGCGATGTCAACAAACGGAGCACGCTCACACCGCCGGATCAATGGCATTAATACTGCGAGCTCCCCAGACTCCCTCTCACGTAACCCAGCCGCCTTACGTATTAATGAGCTCAGCGCCAGTCTATATATGGGGTTGATGATTTGATCGACCTTTCGTGATCATGCCACTTTCTACGAACTAACGACAATGAACGAAGACTTCAGGCATGTCAGGATGACCTCGGGATGACCAAAAGAAAGTAGACATTTCTGCGTTTTCTTCACTCGATCTTGAAAGCAGGAAATGGTAAGATATAAGGTATAAAGTTATGTACTTTTGACATTGTGTGATCCTTCTTTTTTTGAATTGCAAGGCATGTGTGGACTGGTGGTAGTCGTTGTCCTTGGCACTTTTTTGTTTGCAAATCTCACAACATTGTGCAATGTGCAATCGTGCAATCACACACACCCACACAAGCAGATATAGTTACGCTTTAATATTGATAGGGCTCGACCCTCACCCAGTAACTGGGGCGAGTATGATTGACTACAGTAAAAATTCGAGTGAAAATGAGTTGATAGGGCCTAACGTCTGTTCTCACCGTAAATGACTAGGACATGAAGGAAATTCAGCATGTTCAGCAAAAGAAGCGCTATCGTTACTGCAGCAGTAATAATATGTACACGATTTTCAGCTGCTATCGTTATGGCATGGCAGTCAACCGTCTGTTTCCCTGATATATTTACGTCAGGATCTTTGGCTGTTCTGTTGGGAATCTACCTGGGAATCAACCGAATGGTTCTCGGACTTTTTTCCCTTTTTAAAAAAAAATCTTTGAAAGCCACTGATTACAAAGAAAAAAATGATATCTACATGTACTTAAATAAAAAGAAGGATAAAACATAAAAGTAAAGAATATATTTAAAGAACAACATTTTAAAAAACTTAATTGCGCGGCGCGGTTTCGATCTTGGAACCTACGGCATATTATTAGTTGAATGGTTTAACCAATCGTGTTCCTTCCTCCATGGTTGAACTGGCAGTTTAAAATGTGACAGAAATTTGTAATGGTACTTTTGCAATGCCGTAACGATAGCAGTTGAAAATTGCATTACAGCTGCCATAAATGATAGCCACTTCTTTCTAAATATACGCACCCACTTTTTTTCTTTCCAGAAATTGTGTTGGTATAAAATACTGCGAAAGAAGGCGGAAAATTTGTTGAAATATTCAGTGACACTGACAGTGTGCATGTATTTGGTGGTTCAAAAACCAATTGTCATCAAATTCAAGTCGAAATGGTGAAAAAACAATCAGGTTTTCACAAAATAGTCTGTCAATGATTTATATTATTTGCTTATTTCAGGGGTTGAATATGATAATTTATCTGGCTGCCTAAAAAAATATGTAAATTAAATTAAGCAATTTCTTCTTTGTTATAATACCCTTCGATACTTAAAAACATTAATGATAACAGATGTGATAATTTTGGACTAAATCTTGGAATCTAATGTTTATCGTATTAATTTGGCAATTGCATTTGGAAAAACCACTGCATATATGTGTTTGAGACATTTTCATCGCAGCGGAGTTATATTCAAATAGGGAAAGAATGTAGGATCCAGATGCCACTTCAGCGGTTGTGTACAAAGTCTATATGGAGAGTCTTTCCTAGCAAAATTGGAAAAGTTTCTCAGTCCCAGATTCATGTCTTTTCAACATTTCTGTAATGGCTGACCTTTATTGAGAAATTTGAGATGATATGAAGAAAAAAGTGGCATCAGATTGCAACATTCTTTCCTTATAAAGTATAATTGAAGCTGTTTTACCTCCTGTTTTTCATTTTTTTTATTCATCATGTTTTCCCCTTGGAAAGAATCACTCTTCCAGATTCCCCTGGATAATTGCTCCTAGAAACACTGAACATAAGTCTGTATTCTTTTTTTCCTACTTTCACTTGACAGAAGATACGGAATTCAAAAGCCTATCAAAGGATATTTCAGCATGTGTGAGCCGAAATCCAGAGAAAGTCCTGGACTTACTGTCTAAAAATCTTGTGCTGCGTGTAATTAAACGTCAGATGTGATTTGCTGTGGAAACTCTCCCGGATTGTGGCCATAAAAATGGCGGGCATGAGATCGCCGCTTACTCACCAGCTTCAAAGGCTGGGTTGCCGTTGCGGGGCCGTCGGCGTGAGAAATTTAAGCCAGACTAGTGCAAACCAGAACAGGAACTCGGACTCCAAGGGGTTTATCAGCCCAAACTCTCAGGCGTATTCCAGCGCACGGTCGTCTTCCGTTGTCCACGATTACAGCCTTGCGAAAGAAAAGTCAAGACAAGTGGTCTCCTTCTACAACCAGACTGCCATAGATGCTGCCGCTTCAAAGGTATAAACTGTCAAATCTTTTTGGAAAAAACTATTTAATTTAAAAAAACCAAAAGAAAAACCCATGAAACTTTATCTTCAAAAAAGTTTAGGGGCTGACGTTTCAGAGAAAGGATCTTTGTAAAAGGCAAAGGGAAGTTTACATGTATGTAATTTTCTAGGGTTACACTTTAAGAGAGAACTAATTACTTGAGAAAAATTTTAGTAAATTTCAGGTCAATCTAGTAAATATTTAGCAGTTTGCAGCACTTTTTATACATTTCTTCAAAATATTCCCCCTTTTTTCTAATTGAAAATGTGACGCAGTTTAATTTGAAGATTTCGAAAAAAAAGGAAAGCGTGTTCAGAAAACTTTTAAGAAAAAAAATAATGGCTTGAGAAAAAACTTCTTTTGCCTGTTTTTTTTTTACGGGGTTTGCTTTTGCACAATTCTGTTCAAAAAAAGTGTCAATTGCGGACAATTCATATTCAGGTAATATCAACTATGGGATTCACTCTTACGCTATTCTTGTGGTTGACAAAGAATTTAGGATTGTAAGGAGTGGCACATGTAGCCTATAATTTTCACAGGGAAAATAATGGCCTTTGGCAGATTTCTTTCGAAAGACTTTTTACGGAGTTTGGTTTCGTACAAAGGGTTTTTATCCAAATAGGTCCCTGATCCCTTGTGGTGTGTACATATGTGTAGTTTTGAAGTAAAACGCCTCTATGTAGAGCACCTCTATGTGGAATGAAAATGAATGCAAAATATCTCCTTTGAACCTTCTTTAGTCAAAAAAAAAAAATCAATTCATATCGTCCCTCTCCAAAGATAAAGAGAGAAAAAAACTAGCATAGTTTGACAAATTTTATACATGTACTTGAACATGTACTTAAGAAGAAAAAAAACAGTATATTGTAAAGTGCACTTTGTTCATACATTGTAGCTTTCTGTTTATTGCAGCATGTGTTTGAAGTCCCACGGGATTTATAGTGGTGCACATTGTATGCAAATTATAGACGCAAATGTTTTGTTGATAAGCCAGTATTAGTATATGAGAAAATTGCAAATGATGTTTTCATCGTTTTCGAGCTGCAACAGTTGATGCCCTCCGATCAAGTGCAACAATATGATTGAATTTAAATTTCTTGTAAATATATGATTTGCATTTATTCAATATATTTGATTTGCATAACTTTGAAGTCCCCTGCCAGTTTTCCGGTTCCATATTCCCACATAATTTTTTTTGCTAGTTTCTTGAAACATAAATTGGTATGGAAACATGTAATTCATAACAAAGAAGAAAGACCAAGGCAGGCCTAGTAAAGCTGGTCCCAGAGTGCACAACATTCTTTTCAATTGATTCAGCATGGTTATTCATAGGAAGTTTTTCATGCATCTGGTTCACACAATGGGCCGGATTTAGCATATTAAGTGGTGGTACAGGGTAATCCTATACAATAGCACTGCTCAGCTCACAAGTGACAGTCAGTCAGTCGGCAAGATACAAGTCGGTACAAAGATGACACTAGGGTGGCCCTCTGGGACCAGGATTTTTTTTGGGGGGGGGGAGCACGAAGACAGACCAAGTTTTGTTCCTACAGCTGTACCTCTACTTCAAATTAAATCTCTCATTCTCATCGTGGAGTACATCAATCCAACATACGTTTTCCAGTCAAGTTTCTCCTATAGCGTTTTCATAACCCACTTATCTTTTTTTCTACACCACCAATGCTTATTTTTTTTTCAGCCAAAATTCCACCTGAAGCCTTTTCCCCATTTCAACATTGTTCAAGTGCTTTCTTACCCACAGTGTAATCAACCTTGCAGTGATAGTAAAAAAAAAAAAACCTTATCTTTTTTTTACCATCAACTCTCAATCGATTCCAAACATCCGTCATCTTTTGTTAAACCATCTGCTCAAACTGCCCCAAGCCACCTTTCAAGTGTTGGCTAGTTTTTTTGCTGCAAGTCAAGTGTCATTTTGTTGGTCTGCAATTCCTGTTTTTCACCTTGTTTCTGTTGTTACTCCTCCTCACAGCCGTCTGTTCGTCTCACTCCAGCGACGCTCCTCTACACGGGAAAAACGCCCGATGGTAACCACCTTCTGGTAAGAGAAACAAAACGATTTTCACAAAGGACACTTGATTTTCAAATCAAGGATAAAATGTTCAGTCAAGTGGACTTAAAAAAAAAAAATCTTCCCAGAATAAATTGAACTGGTATTTAGAGTAGGTTATTGAAACCAATTGTTTGATGCTGAATTTATTATTGTTGATATATTACTGGTAATGAAACCAAGGATTTCTCAAAGGTGCCCTGGGCACTGTAGCTCGCAAGCCTGACGAAACCCATAGAGAGAAGACAATGAAAAGGAATTAAAGTGTTACAGGTGGGAGGAAAGTCCTAGAGGAATATTCTGGGGAAAACCCACGGAATCAGGTAGGGACTGAGAATCATGTGGACCAGGGCAGGAATTGAACCTGGGTCATAGAGGTGAAAGGCAAGGAAAGTAACCACTGGCCAACCTGACTCCCATTTAACACAGCTCACTTTGCACACCTGTGGGCAACAACATGGTCGCCTGTCCAATGCCCAACTGCGTACATGTTCAGCAATGTATGTCAAGTGCATGTATGCTGGATGTTTGTTGGACGTGGTTGCGCAATCACGACTGTGATTGGCCGAAATGTCGTGGGGCGGGGCTTAACAGGCCAGTTTGATGACATTGAACTCCACCCCTTGTTGTTTTGACCAATTGCAGCATTTATATCCAACATGTGTACCCAAAGGTTGATGTGTCCCCATGTGGATGACACACATGGCTTGAGCATGTAGTGTGCTATGGGAGAGGTGCACATGGTGTTGCCCCGCCCCATGATGTCTTGACCAATCACAGTGGTGATTAATGTGGGTACAGTATGAGGCACGCTGCTGGAGCATGTTGTTGCCTATGTGTGCAGTGGGCGGGGCATATTGGATTAATTTGTTGACTGAGATTTTTTTTATTCTTTATAGCGAAGTGCCCAATACCTACATAAAGAGTTGCCAGTGAGAGTTGCCCATCGCATTGCCGAGTTCCGAGGCCTTCCGTTCATTGTGGGTTGCAATCCCACAATCCTCCAGGTGCATGAACTCTACATCAGAGCGTTCCAAATGTTATCTGAGTTTCCGCAGGTAAGGAGACAAAAAAGAGTGTGTGGTTTCTCATGTTAATTTCATTAACAAAGCCAGAAAATGTAAATCGATCTCTGTTTTTAGCAAATTACACAGAGAATACACAACAGTTCTGTAAAAAAAAAAGTACAACCATATAAAGCTTACATTTTAAAGGCATAAAGACACTTTAAACCTAACCTTCCCGAATCCTCCAAAATCCTCTTTGCAAAATGGAGGATTTTGTTAGGATTGCTATGAAGCTATATGACAAAAGTGTGTGGCCGATATCGGAGGATTCACTATGTCAAAGTTTTAATTGGCCGGACCTTTGTGTATGCTCAGCCGGGCATAAATTAAGACCTATATGATACTTGAAATCCTCTGAACTGGTCCAGGATGTCATAGCTTGAGGATTTAGCACAATTCAGGCAGTGGTCGCCCCTCCAAGGACCACATTCAAGAAATAATGGAGGTTTTTGGAAGTTTGAGGCTGTATGCTATTTTTACATGGAGGCAATTGGAGGATTTTGCAGGATTGAGGGAGTTAATGTTAATAAGCAAAAAAAAAAATAAGACCTGCCATCCTAAACATATAGACAAACACATTTCCAAGGTTCCAAATATTTTTGGGTAAACTGCAAGTCGTTTTTTATTACATGATTTCTCGGAAAGGAATCTTCTAATTTCTTGTTTGCGTTATGAACCCAAGACTGTCAGAAATCTCTTCGTTTTTGGACAATATGTCATGAATACGTAACTGTTGAAATATGGAGTATGCCAATCCTGAATAACATTTGATGATTTTAATTTATTTTAGATTAAAAATCATGAGACGGAGCACAGATATTGTCAGATGGTGAAGGGTCTTCTTGACGATCACAAAGATGTCGTCACGCACCTCGCCGAGGGCTTCCGAGAATCCAAAAAACACATGAAAGTACGTATCACGTGTTTCTGACTGGCGGCACCGAGTAGAGCCAAACCAAATAGTATAAGAGCGACTGAGTTTTGACAAAATAGATTTTGGTTTTACAAAGACGAACTTTATGTTTTAATTTCCCATTGACTAAACACTGTGCTGTTTCGGATGACTGCTGAAGTCGATTTTTTGTAATTTTCAGAATAACTCAGGAATGCCATTTTGATGGATGTTGATTTGGGCATACAGAGTTTATACTTTATACTGACTGATCACTAGTGAAACATTTTGCACGCAAACAAATTGAAATTCAGGTTGGTTTCTTATAATTTCAGTTTCTCTAACAGCAAAGATGGCCCCAACACTGAATCTACAAACTTAGCATAAAATTAAGTTCAAGAAAGAAAATTGACTGAATTAGGATTGGAACCTGCGACCTGTTAAGGAACCTATGGAACACTATAATGTGCTCTACCAACTGAGCTTTCAAGCCTGATGTCAATTTGTTTGTGTCTTGTCTTTCTGTGGTGGTACAAGAATTCCAATAATACAGTGATCATAGAATCGTGATGTTCATTCCAATTTTTCCATGTTTGTTCTAGGATGAAAACATGATCCACCATTTCTTGGACCGAACCCTGACCTCCCGTCTAGGAATCAGGATGCTGGCAGAACACCACCTCAGCCTTCACCAAGACATGGTTCGTCAAAAAAAAAATCTTCGCGCACATTCCTTAAGGCACTCCAAAATGGCTTTCGGTTCTCTGACATTTAACTTAATGTACAACGTCTGGCTGCAAAGCCTGTTGGACCCATTTTAGGAAGTGAAGTAAATTTCCTATTCCTGCACTCCTGCTAGTCAAGTCCAATTTATAATTTTTATTCCCTTGGGTCTGTAGCATTGACTCATCAATTACTATATAAGTGCTGCACTCCCCCCCCCCCCCATATTAGCTACTACATGTATACATTCCTTATTCTCAGATCGATATGTTCCCTCTTGCTTAACTAATTTGCTTTGCCCTTTTAATCAATATCTACAGGGTGATTTCATTGGAATCATCTGCACCAAAATGACCTTGCGGAAGGTCATTGAAAAGTGGGCGGAGTTTGCCAGGTAAGAGCAGAATCTGTTGCAGATAATAATCTTAGAAACTGTGAGAGTTTTTGCGACCTCTGACATGAGCTTAACCTAATTTGAATATTTGCATGTGACAACTTAGCCAATCCGATTGTAGGGAAGTCAAGGTGTCAAGGTGCATAGTGACCAATCAAATTTCAGAAGTTGTAAAATAATGGTATGTTTGCATAATTATATGAGCTGAGGTTTCCAGTCTGAACATTTATGTTTCTCCGTTTTCTGTTTTCCGGCAGAGAGCAGTGTGAGATGCGGTACGGGTTTACACCCAAGGTACACATCACTGGACACACGGGAGCCATGTTCCCGTACATCATGCAGCCGCTTGACTACATGCTACCAGAGCTCATTAAGAACGCACTCAGGTAGGTCTGGTACCCATATGGCACTGCTATACAGAGCGCCCTCTTTTGGTACGTTAGCAGCAGGCAATTGATAAAAAGAAGAATATATGATTGCAGTACAATATCTAGAAATTTCATAACCCTGATAAAATAGCTTTTGTATTTTGCTTAAACAACCATGCAACCTAAACAATCAATTTAAATAATACAATCCAATTTCATAGTTGCAAGATTCTGCAATAGTTCAACTGAACAAAAATTCACTGTTTTTGTTTTTTGTTAAAGAGCGACGGTCGAGAGTCACTTGGACACGCCACACAATCTGCCCGATGTCGTCATCACCATAGCAAACAGTGACATGGATTTCATCATCAGGTAATTTGGACCAGAGATTTTTTGCTTTAGCCGACTTTTGAATGTCATTTCATAGATTAGATTGACTTGTAAGCAGGTAGAAATACTTGACAGACCTAGTGGTTAGACTTTGTACCTCATGATCAGAGGGTCAGGGGTTCGAATCCGGCTGCTGGCCATATGATGTGTCCTTGGGCAAGCAGCTTCATCCCCACTTGCCTCTCTCCACCCAGGAGTATAAATGGGTACCGGCATTAGCTGGGGAGTAACCTGTGAAGGACTGGCATCCCATCCAGGGGGAATAGAAATATTTCCAGTCATTTTGTGCCAAGGAAACCAGAGATAAACACTGGCATGATGGGCCTGAAGGCGGGACAGTTTTAACAATATTTTACCAAATACTTTATGTTTGGCAGGATTTCGGACAGAGGTGGCGGCATCTCACACAACATCATCAACAAGGTATTCCAGTACCATTTCACCACAGCTCAAGACAGCACGGACCCGCGGGTTACCGGTGGCACATTTGGGGCGTTGACGAATACCAACAATGGACCGACTGCGGGACCATTGTGCGGGTAAATCATTAGACAGGCTATGTCCGGTCGCAAACAAATCACAAGTCGATTCACAAGTCCGGTCACAAGTAACAGGGGATGAATATAACAGTTCATTTGAACAGCTAGTGAGGTGAGTTGACTTGTGACTGGAGGACTAATTGGGAGACTTGCAACATAGGCTGGATAGCTCAGTTGGTAGAGCACATGTACAGTATTTCAAAGGTCACAGGTTCATATCCCGCTCCAGTCAATCTCTTTTCTCATTCAACCTATATCCTTTTTTTCTTCTTTTTCCCTTGGTGAATTTGTCCAGGTTTGGTTTCGGACTCCCAGTCTCCAAAGCATATGCAGAGTATCTGGGCGGCTCCCTTGTGTTGCAGTCCATGCAAGGTTACGGAACCGATCTCTACTTGCGGCTTCGACACATTGACGGCAAACATGAAAGCTTCCGTATATAGATACGGGACCGAAATGGTACAGTTATTAAAGCATTAATTCTAACCTTCCCAGATCCTTCAAAATCCGCCAGGAGGTTTTGTGGAGGATTTTGTAGGCTTGAAGAAGGTAAAGTCCAGCTAGTATTACTTTACATGCGTATTGATAATCCTTGAAACTTGTTTTGTATAAAGAAGGTGCCATTGGATTCCTGCACTGTGGAGGAATTTGGAGGATTCAGGAAGGCTCCTCTCGCCAGTGTAATTGTGCAACAGTCAAATGTAAGCTATCCAAGCTGGCAAATCAAATGACCGATCCTAGCCCTCCCCCACCCCTCCTCTTCAATTGCCCCGCCCCTTCTCTTCAACTGCCCCGCCCCTTTCCAAATCCTTAACTATGCGGTGTAGACGCTTTGCAGCTGATTCAAGTGATTTGAATGTATACTGAGGGTGAAGTGATCAGGAAAAGAGGTATGACACAAAAGTTGTGTCACGTGACAAGTCATATGACACTACATGTGACATCTCACATGATCACAAACTATACTGGATCATGTTGATCCTTCACATGATCACACAATATACATGTAATGGATCATGTTGATCTTTCGTAGGTTATAACTTGTCTTGTTCTTGAAACTTGTGTGAAATGTCAAGGATTTTCTTTCCAAAAAAAATTGAGTGATGCTAATTTGAGTGATGAAAACTTACATGGTTGAGAAAAAATTACTGTATCTAAATGATAAGTCTGAGAACAAGGAGACAATTTTCGTTAAATGCGGTTTTTGTTTGTTTTGTTTTACACTAGATTTCAGAACAGACTGATTATAAACAAAAAATTGCATTCAATTCAATGGAGTTAATCATTGATTGTTAGAGAACACCAAAAAAAAAATTTAATTTGGTTCCAAGAAAGCAAAACCCCCCAAATATTATGGGTACATATGTCCACACATACAGGTAGATTAAAATGGATTGGTGAAAAGTTAATCTTGAAAATCAACAATTAAAACTGATGGTGTTTTAAAAGTTTACACAAAGTATTTAATTGTCACAACCCCATCTACATTAGATTGTGTTTTCAGATATGTTAAGTAATAAGCATTTTAAGTTTGTCTAATGTTAAAAAGAAAGGTGTATGATTTTGCCAATGCTACCTAGAATGTGTAGAAAGCATGTTAATGAAACCAATTAAAGCATTTTGAAGTTGAATCAGAGAAATATATACATGTAAATAGTGAAATGTAAAATGCTGCCCCTTAATTTAAGTGATAAATGACAAAAAAATACTCTTCGTCGATTCCATTTTCAGGATGAAACGTGATGTGGCATTAAATGGCCCAGTAGTGTACATATGAAGTATTGTGTGGTTAAAACCTTTCTATTCAAGGAGCCTGGTTCAGAAAATGGGCATTTTGTTAGCTTCTTGGTTTTTCATGGGGTTTTAAAGATTTCAAATTGTTCTGTGGACATCTTAACCGTTTTTCCCCCTTCAAAAAATAGTTTCCTACCATTGAGTGAAATTTCTTCAATAAAAGATATTTGACATTTTGTGAGCATGCCTATGTTATATAGCTTTCCCACCCTTTTTACTTTTAGGGGGGTGGGGAGAAATTAAGTAATCTTCTGCAGTAACTAGTTAAAGTTATCGAGTATAAGTCCCATTTTCATCAAATGTATTCTCATTCTCTGGGCATTGTTTCTCATTTTCCTGATATAATAAACTCCTTTTGATGTTACATTCAGATTTCGTTCCTTTTATTTTGCATTAAGGGTAGATGGAAAATATTAAAGTGCTTTACTTCTCATTGTTTGTATCATTCAAACCTGCCAAGAAAGTCGCCTTTATGTAAGAATTAAGCTGCATTATTTCAGTATAATACAAGCCTTAATTTTCTATTGCATTTTTTGTCAAGTAAGTTGCAAATTCATATATTAGTGTCGCAAGTAAAAAAAGGTTTAAAACTGTTAATAATCTGTTGTACGATGCTTCATAAACGGTTCAAGTGTATCAATAGATCGTTTGCATTCCAGCGATATTGTGTGTACTTTTGTTGAACAGCGACTTCACCGTTAATGAATTCACATAGCAAAACACACCTTAAACATGGCGGCTAAATGCAACCGATCTATTGACTGTGGTAGCTTGTGAAAACAATGATACCAGTATCTTTTTGACTTTGAACCCCAAACAAACTCATGTTCCTGTATACATGTAATGAGATTTACAAAGATGATGCGAATAAATGATTTATTAACATTCAAATTGGAATGTGGTTAATTGTGTCATTTTTTAAAGTCAATTTTTTGAAATTTTTGTTGATGTTCTGTTTGCAATGCTCCTAGAAATGTTTTTTTTTTATATAAGAGTACAAATTTCAGATACAAAATCCCAGCCTACTACAAGGACATATGTTGGAGACAATGCTACGATACAATTTACACCAAGACTATAGTAGAGGTTTATCGCTTCTAACTTTAGTGTTCAGTGATCCACAACGGTTAAGGAAAGCCAATGGATGGAGAGCACATTACGAAAGTCGCAGGTTCAAATCCCAAAACGTCTCTCTTTTTTTAAATTTTATCAAAGTTCGTGTGATAGACCAGGTTGGACTCGGGCCTAACTTCGGCACATTCCGTGAGACCCGCCCAGAACCCAGAGACACGTTCATGTCGCCTGTGCTTTTCAGAATTTACTTCGAGAACTTTCTGGACAAATGCGTGGGTTATAATTTATGCATAAGAGCAGGGATCATGATGGTTCATGCACTCCTGCCCTGCAGCAATTCCTATTTATAGTATGTCCTTGAAAAGTTCCTCAAACTCATGAGGCATGGCACATATTATGCGTGCCATAACTAACAAGCGGTACGGGTAATCTGCTTGAACAACACACAAGGAATATTTGTTTAGTTACGTATGTTGGCAACTCCGGTGACTTGCATTTTTGTGCCCAGGTACATAGACAATAGCCGAGCACGTACCTTGCCCAGTGCTGCGTCGATAAAGTCAAAACGCTTCGTACACTAGTGTGGATCTATCCGACCATTACTGACCTCTCAACCACAAGTGCCACAAGGTAAGTTGTTTCTGCGCTAGCTCAATTTTATTCTACTGCAATACATTTTAAGCCTGCCTGTCATAATATTTTCAACGTATCACTTTATAACTTTAGTTCTGAAAGGAAGTTGCAGTACGTACAAGACTAGTGAATTCCTCACAAGTCTTCCAGCTCGGCACAAGTCGATCACAATTTAACACATGAAGTCTAGCCACGCTATTCAAATAGGGCGTAGCTTATCTTGCTTGTGATTTGACTTGTAACTTGTGTGCTTACTGACTACCATTAATACGGAAGCTAATCTCCAAATAATAATTATAGGGGCACGTACATGTTGGGCACGTACATGTGGACCCAAATCTAACCATTTCGTTTAGTATGGTTAATGATGCGTGATTATTATGCACTTATTGCCAAAACTGTATTATCGTACGCGTGCCTTGGAGTCAGTGACGCGGACACTAGGCGCTTAAACTGTCGCCTCGTCACTGAACCTATGTTGACCTTGATTTCAACTTGGGGCTAGATGTCATGCACTGTTATGGAATAGGACAATAACATTGGATAACGACATAATTATATTTTCACAGCCCAATCCAGGAAAAAGCAAACTAAATTGATCGGTGTTAAAGATATAGGCCCTACAATGGTAGGTTGTGATATACCTATAGTTGCTGCACGGGTATTGCAAAATAGCAATACAGATGAAATCTAATCATTCAATTGAGAAATGCAAAGGGTCCTTACATAATTTTTACAGCAGCCACAAATTTCTTGCACGGGTTCGTGGCCCAAATTCTGTCTGAAACAAAATTGAGGTCAAACAACTTTCAGCTAGACAAATTAATTTGTCAAATATTTTCCCCCAGAATTTTACTTGGGGGGGGGGGGGGACGGGGGCCTTTATATTGACAATTCAACCACATTTTGTATTCAAACACCTTCGTCCAAAAGTAGGGACCTTTGCAAACGTAACTACAGTTGTGAGAAGAAAGTGTTAAAAGTTGTATGCATTTTTTTCGATGCATTCTAGTTTGACATTTTAAGAATAACTTCCAATTGTTGTATGATTGACTTAATTTTATTGTGGAATTTTCAACCGCCTTTTAACATGCCTTTGATGTGATTATATCTATGCAGTTTGTTTCCCAGACGATTTGAAGCAACTGTATAATTATTCATCATGGTTTTGACGGTGTACGGCTTTGGGATATCCCAACCATCACGAAGCCTCTTTCTGTTCTGCAAGGTTGCCAAAATCCCTCACGAGGCGAAAGTCGTCGACCTGATGACAGGTACGCATAACGCCTTGAAAAATGACGGCGGTACCGATCCATTGAGCTCCTCCCGCGGTATTTTGACCAATCACAGCCACGATTATTTTTGACATGCGCACGAGTGGTTGCCCACTTGCGCAATGGGCGGGGCCTAATGGTCGGTCTATAGAAACCATTCTTATTGTGTGGATGATAGTTTTTAAGTGGTGACTTTTGGGCGTGGTCAAAGTGTCAATATTCGCGGGTATTGGTATGTCGTGAAGCTATCAACGTCATTGCACAAATAATACATTTTTTATTTAATTCATTGCCGACAGCTGAGGGCGGCATACTAAATCCCCGTTAGAGCTGCGTAAAGGGGGAGATTAAGGACGTCATTTTAGGTCACAGAAGGCAACAAAATCATAAAGTTCTTGGTAATTTTTAATTTTTAATCGAAACAATTGATAGGCGCATAACACCTACCAGAAACTATATTGACATGACAACCCGGAGAGGACAGGATTGTAAAAGCATAGGGTGTCTATGTGTTTGTTGCGTTTAGAAAACAAATTTGCTTCATACGATGCTGTGACTTCTGTCTCTTTTTACGTCAACAATACAGGTGAACATAAAAAGGAGCCTTACCTGGCAATCAACCCGATGGGTGCTGTGCCTTCTATGATCGATGATGGCTTCCAACTGTCGGAATGGTAATGAAGATTAAGTCTTCACAAAGGGTTCAAATTATGTTTGCATAGGAATGTTGGGTACACAATAAGCCCAGGTTGGAATCCGTTGTGTCAGTCGAAATGCAATGGGTATGACGTCGTCCAACCTAGGTTCACAATACTCCCACCGTGAACAATAACTGCCGATAACTTTAAGGTTCTGCAGGCGCCGTGGTACGCATGCCCTTGTAGTGGTCCGCAGAACTAGACTATGGCCGAACGCGTAAACCATGCCAGCTAAGTATTTTTCACGCCTTGTCGCTGTACCACTTGTATGTATTTGGAATATTGAAAGTGATAAAGGCATACCATGACTGCAGTTACTGTCTCCTTACGGACGAACAAAATGGCGCTCGTGACTATGAAGCATCTGTTAACGCGCGCGCGTGTAACGCGGACGCGCATACTAATGAACAAAGCGTTGGACTTCAGAATTAATGAGTAGGGGTGTCGAAATGATAAATTTTGTTAGCGAGAACACTGAATATTTCATAGAGCATTATTGTTACTTTTGACAGGCTCACATTGGCCTATTACAAAAAATAATTCAACAACAAACAGTGAATTTTATAATAAATATTATTTGTACGCCATCGCCTCGCGGGCGAAATTATGACACCCTCGGCTTCGCTTCCCCCCTCCCCACGGCTTCGGTGGCACATGATGCCATGGAGTGTAACATGGTCATCACAGCAGATAGTTATATTGTTTAGTCGCGGCCAAGTTTTGAGCAAAGCCGTTTTCTTGGGGGGGGGGAAACACACTGCAAAAACTTTTGATAATTGAGGTATTTTGGTAACATACTTGAAAACATAATGTTTGAGCTGTAGCAATGTAAAAACTCTTGGAATGGATTCACGCCCGTTTGTACGCCTTCTGGCGTAGATATAGCGCCCTCGCTCGTGTATGAATAAGGCATATAAGGTTTACCCACAACCCTTTGCGTTCCCTACAAGGGTTTAGTGACATTTTGATCAATTGTTTCCTGTCGTTTAAAAAAAACTTGGCCTTTGTTTTCCTTCTCACAGTATGACGATCTTGAAGTACCTTGCACAAAAATACAAAGTTGCCGATCACTGGTACCCGAAAGACCTCAAGGTGCAGGCGAAAATCAACCAGTACTTGGATTGGCAGCACACTGGTCTCCGTAAGGCGGGTTGTGACGTTTTCATTGGCATGGTATGTAGGCTACGGTACCTTAACATCAAACTTGACCTCGCTCAAGAAATAAGTGATGTTAAGTTTTTTTCTGCTTTTACATTTTTACTGATTTCAGACTGATTCCGTACATTGCAAAGATATATTGTGAATGTTATGTCTTGCTTCTAGGTCTTTACTCCAATGTCCACTGGCAAGCCGATCGACGAAGCCAAACTTACGAAAGATCTGGAGGCGTTCGACAAGTCTCTGGGAATCATTGAGAAGGTGTTCCTTGAAGACAAGAAGTTTCTTGCGTCGGATGAAATCAGCATTGCCGACATATGTTGCTTGTCAGAGGTAATGCCCCTGAATTCGTGCCTGTCAATCAAACAGTGCGCATTAACCAATTAGATCACGACGTTTTGATCAGGTGACCACAGTAGCTCTGTTAAGCTCGGTCAAAATAATGCACTGTGAGAAATTTACACGAACAAAGGTGGGCGGGGCTTACGGTTTCATGCGGAATGGTACCCGTCCATCCGGTCTGATACCTTATTGCTGCGCTTCTCGAGGTAACATACAGCTTGCGGACGCGAATTAAAGACATCATTAAACCCTGATTGCCCTGACGGCTCCTTCTTTGGAAACAGATTCTCACATTTTTGTTGTCTTTATTTCTTGGCAGATGGTACAAGTAACCGCGGTCCAGCGAACGGATTTGCTGGCTAGTCATCCCAAACTCGCGGCCTGGAAGAAAAGAGTTGAGGAAAAACTCAATCCCGATTTCGCCGAGGTGTTTAAACCCTTGTTTGATTTTACTGCCAGTCTCAAAAAGTAATTCAATTCTAATACATCAGCACACTGATGTTACCCGATTTGGTGGTACAGTATTAATATTGACCAAACATTCCACACTGTTTCTTCGTAGTTTGCAAGTTATTTTCATTTAAAATGTGTAGTGAAAATAAACAACTTGAGCTATCTTCACCTTTTAAAGGCGTTGGCCTTACCGTATCTCACTTTCAGTATTATGTTTTACCATCGTTACACATCACCTCAACGTTTTCCAAAATTTGTTCTTAAGATAAACTTAGCATTTTTGTATACAAGTTGGTACAACACACGGCGAACTCTCGTTAACGTATGGATATTTGGCTATTCCCTGAGAGGGTAATTATGATACGAGTTTATTGATTTTTCAGGTATTTTATTTAACACATTTTGTACTATTAGTTCAAAAAATAAATCTTTCCTACAAACTTTGCTGCAGTATTTTGTAATGTGACCGTGAATCATTCCTGTGTTTTTAAAACTAACCCGTCTGTTTATGATAATAGTGACATACATGTAGAACCAAAGTTCAGTCGGTAAAAGACAAATAAAGGCAAACCAACTGAACTATCAATCTTATCTTGCGATTACTTGCATTTTTTCGCTGCTGAGCATACGACCTTAAACAATTTTGCATGACGTCAACATCAACTGGGAAAGTCGATCATTATTTAAATAGTTTAAAGTATTTACATTGTATAAATAGTACAGATCATTAGTAATAGTACATGTATTAGTAAGGCCTGTCACGTGACGCAAACTGACACGCCACAATTTCCTATACAATATATTAAGTCATCTCGGACCATATGAAAATCAGACTCCTATAAAAATCTGACTCGTATAAAATGTTACCCTATCATTGGTCTGCATGCGCAATTCTACCAATGGGTCCGTTTTTCATAATTCTAAAAATTCATACTGCACCGGCACCATTAGACGTATTCCCCAGAATGCTTCTGCAGGTGTGGGTAACTGCGCAATGGATGGTGGTTTGAGCGCCCTCTATCTTCGAGTTGAGAACAAGGAAGTGAGAGGGCGCGAAGCAACCAGGCTCAGTTACATAATTTTGATGTCTGTGTTGACATACGCCGGGGGCGGGGGGGGGGGGGGGGAGAAAAAGATGACTTGAAGCAATGGGGATCAGATGGGGAAAAAAGATTGGCAGGATGGAATCAATCACAAGTCAGTGCATAATTATAAGTAAATCGGGAGTTAAATCACATCACAAGCAAATCACAAACAACTCATTGCGTTTCAAATGATGATGATTTGAATAACTTCGCACGATGTGACTGCATGACATGTTCAAACAGTGTCAATATTTTTCAGTCATGAAGCACTACCAGCAGCGTTTTCGCGTTGTCATTTATTGATTTTGGGGACAATGCACGTACACCAATGCCATCTACAGGAGCACGCGCGTAGAAGTGGTAGAGGTACCCCCCCCCCTTCTTTTGTGTTGGTCATTGTGTTCGGAATCTCGGGGAAAGTTCTTCTGATGTGCTGGTACATGGTGATAACAGTACTGAGTCTAGAGTGTGTACAAATTATAGGATTCATGGAGGCATTAGGATAGTGGTGCAGTTGGGTTTGCCCCTGCGCGAAACACAGGCCCTGCAGCATGCCTAGCCTGTAGTCCTATATTTTTTAGCCTGTCCTTGAAATATTTAATAAGCATGCATTGGTGCATGCATAATTATTTTTCCCATGTGGACGGCCTGTAAGGGTATAGATGTGTTCTTTATACATGTACAGAATGACTTGACATGTAGAATTCGACACACAATTCGTGCTATAGCTATATACATGTATACATAATACATGTACGTTAATGGTTGTGCCCATGCAACGCTAGTTAGGATCAATCAGCAAACTAGGCCTACTCGTGTACAGTCTCCCAAAACTCGATGCCAGGAAGAAAAGAGTTAAGGAACAACTCAATCCTGCCTTCGACTATGTGTTTAAAACCATCTTTGACTTTTCTGCTTCAATATTAAAGAAGTATTCAATCGAATACTAGGCCAACCATGGAGGAAGGGTCTATTCCTTTCTCCATGGGCCAACCATGCACAGAAAATTCATACATGTATTGCCTGATTTCGTCGGACGGGGTAAAAAAGACGTCATATATATCCCCGTATTCTCAAGTAAACAGACAATAATGTGTTGAAGAGAAAAGATACAATTAATTGTTTTATACTAGTCTGCAAAATGCAAGTTTGTGTGCCTGTAGGAGAACAGCAACTTCTTAGGTGATATGATGGTGACGTGTACATATTATTTCATGAAACCACTTCGCATAGAAAATAGTGTTTAAATACACAAGAAATTTTATTTGTTGATTTATCAGTTCTTGTATTTACAAACGTATTTTGTTTCACAAAGATAAAAGTTGACAAAACTCTATCTACAATATGAGGATGTGCGCCCTCACTGGAACGAAAAATGAATACAGGCTCAAGCTCAAGTCCTAGTAACATCCGGTCAAAGTGTAACATTCTTCTTTGGTAATTTTTGATTGTCTTGATAATAAATTGCTTTGTATATCTTGTTGAATATGGGCTATATAAGTTTAGTAGGTTACCAACCTAAAACACCATTTTGAGTAAACATGAGCCTTCTTTATATCTTGTGCTTACTTGCATTTTCTTTACAACACTTAGAAACATTGTTAGCATGTCGTCAAGATCATCTGGGAAGGTCGATTATCATTAAAATAGTTTAAAATATTTACACTGTATAAATAGTACAAGTATTTGAATACTTCATGTGTTAGTGAGTCCGGTCATCTGTAAACTGACACGCCACAATTTCCTCGACAATTTGTCATCTCGGGCCATTGGCGCCACTTTCTGAACCCGGCACCCTTTGAAGTATTTCCCAGAATGCTTCTGCAGGTCCTCGGCGACTGCGCAATGGATGGTGGTTTGGGCGCCCTCTGTCGTCGTCTTGAGAAAGAGGAAGGAGATGAGAGGAGAGAGGGTGCGCAGCCACCAGGCCCAGTTGCGTTTGATGTCCGTGTTGATGGAACCTTGGCGGGAAAATGGGAAAGAAAAACATGACATAATGCAAAGCTGACGAAAAGGAGTGGCATGATCATAATTGACACAATCACAAGTCACGTGACAAGTAAAATTACAAGTAATCATGGGTCGATTCCAAGTCAAATAACAGGTCAAATCACAAATTAAATCACAGGTCAAATTACAGGTCTAATCACAAGTCAAGTCGCAAATATTAATTAGTTAAGTACAAGTCAAATCAAAGGCCATATCAAATCACAAATCAAATCACAGGTCAAATCACAAGTAAAAAAAATACTGAATGCCTTAGTCACATGCACAGTTCATTTAATAATTGCGTTTCGTTTGTGAAAGTGTAAAAACTGATATCGACTTTTTCCCATGATGCACTGCAGATATAACAGGATTTGCGCCCCCCAACGACAGCCTTTCTGATAAACGAGATCATTCGCATTGCAGACATGTTGGAGGTGCATGCTAGATTTGCTCCACCGGGGTACCATGAGGATACCTCTTATAATACTGTGCAATAAGTGAATAAATGATAATTCAAAACAAAAACCTCAAAGATGGCTGTTGAATGCAAAGCGTCTATATACTGATTGTAAAAAGCCTGCGAACGTACCAGGATGCAGTGCGAAGATGGCAACATCTGTTCCTTCCATGGTCTTGGCAAGCTCGTGTGTGAACAGCAAGTTGGCCAGTTTGCTCCTCGCGTACAGCTTGACCCTCCCCTCCTTCCCACAAAGAAGCCCCGCCCCGTCTTGGAAACCGAGTCGCCCGAGCTGGTAGGCATCGGAGGACACATTGATGACGCGGCTTGGGGAGCTACTTTGCAGCTTGGCCAGCAGGAGGTTGGTGAGTAAGAAGTGGCCGAGGTGGTTCACACCGAAGCTGAGCTCGTATCCCTCCGCCGTTTGGGCGCTGCCGTCGTTGATCACGCCTTTGAAAACAAGCACAAAAAAAGACAGGAAAAAGTGAAAATTGAAAGTCCTTGGCAATTTATACATATCACTTGATACATTTGCATTTGGTTGTGTTAACACAGTGTGGCCAAGTAGCGGTATAGGGTTTGTGACTCATGATCAGAGGGTCACATGTTCAAACCCAGCTGCTAGCCGTGGGTTGTGTCCTTGTGCAAGCCACAGTTTACCCCAATTGTGTTCTTATTCCTCCATGGTTTGAGGGAAGAACAGAGATAGACTAGACCTAAGCAATTTTCTTACCTGCATTATTGATCAGAATATCTAGCCTGTCCTCCCTGTTGCAGAACTCCTGGGCAAATTCCTTGACTGATTCTTGACTAGCAAGATCCAGGCGCATGAAATGCACGTGGCTGTTTCCCGTCTGCTCACGAATTTCCCTCTCCGCTTGTATGCCCCTGGATTCGGATCGGCAGGCCAGGATCACGCGCGCGCCCCGATGGGCCAAGTCCACGGCTGTTTCCTTCCCGATTCCAGTGTTAGCACCTGGTGAAGGTTAGAAAATAACCACTGAGTAAATATTGAGATACGAAAGTTGTATACATTAAACAGCCTTGTGAAATCACATATTGAATCACTGATTTAATAAGGGACTTTTTTGGTATCAGACCTTCAGTGTGCATTACCAGGCTAGAATAGAACGGTTAACTGTATGTTCAAAATAGGTTCAGTGAAAACGTAATGAGGCTTCCAAAGTACTACAAGTTGCACAATTTGGAAGGCGCCACATCGTAACAAGCAAATCAACACATAAAGGCGGCATTTAATTCCCTTCACCTTTTCCCCAAAGTCCCTTGTCTGAACTTGTTACATAAAGAAAGGCTAGGTATCGAAACTTAACCCGTCTAAGTAAAAAACAAAAATCTATCCCCAAGCGAAAACTCGGCCAGACCGGGTCCCATTTCAGCCCCCAAAATGCCCAGGCAATAAAACTAGTGTCGCCTTCCCGATGCCTCGGGCCTCTTCGCACTTTCCTCCAAGTTCAAGAAAGTACAAGGTTGTCTCTGATCGGTGCTTTTACACAAACTCTTTAGGCCCCAAGAAAGAACAACAGTGCACCCTTGTTATTTCAGGGGCTGTAGATTGTAAGGGGAGACATTTAGCGCCTACAATAACAGGCTCTTTAGAAACTTGGATAAATAGTTCTCAAACTCCCTGTAGAAGGTAATAGTACCCTTTTTAGGGCCAGTGTTTTCGATTCATAAGTGATATTTGATACTCGTCTCTTAGTTTGACGGTAACTGTGTGTGGCGTGGCGGATTTTAAAAATCATTAAAAAAAATGCTAGTTCTAGGCGTATAAGCTTCCGTAGGCGTTGCGTGCGACGACTTTTGTTAAAGCACAAGTTACTTGTCAAAATGGCGGGCTGAGTTTACGTTTTAATTGGGAGTCAGTGTCCTCAATTTGCTCAGCATTTTCCTTTACATTGTACGATTATTGTATGTTCACAACCGCCAATTTCTCTGCGAGACGGACAACTTTTAGTAATTTTGCTTCTTCGTTGATTAAAAAGTAAAAATATTTCATTATTTTTCAAATATTTGGGTGACGTGGAGTGAAATAGTGAGACCCACAAATTGTTTCATTTTATTGATTATCGGGGGGGGGGGGAGTAGCTTTATCGAATCGCACACGTACATTACATTTAATACAGTCACGTAGATCCCCCAACTTCAAAACTGATAGCAAAACGTACAGACCCGAAGTCTGCTAATCTCTTCAATGTCATACTAGACGAGGGAAAGCCTTGTCATGGGAATTTGTCAACCACATTTTGACAGAGATAGTGCTTTGATAAACCCTCGCAAAACCGCACAATAAATGCGTCCAATGTGCTCATATGAAGGTTAAGTTTTCGTTGGTGGTAGGGCAACAACCTTGAAACAGAGAAACAGAGTCCAATGGGTAAAAAGAATTCCGTATGTTCTATGGACTATTGGACAGGAAACATGTGTAGTGTCTGCCCATATTATATTTGAGATCATGTACTTGAACTGTAACACGAATATGTGGGTCTTGTGTAGAATCCATTAAACAGCGGATTTTTACTGAAAAGATTGAATCAGTGCGATGATTGAGATGGTTGTGGTATGTGAAAGTGAGGAATGCTGTTGCGACGGCGGAGCGTAGCAGGTATTTTTTTCAAGCCTCGGAAAAAAAGAATGGCCCAACATCTTGGAAGGGATCTTTGACTTTCGTTTCACTGATCACTTTGTACGTATGTCACTGACTGATTCACTGACTAATGACTGACTCACCAACTGACATACTACATGTATACATGAGCCGGGCAGTGCTATTGTATGGGATTACCCTGTAATGTCAATGAATGAGCTAAATCCATCAACTGAATAGAATGTGTGCGCTCTGGCACCAGCTTTACTAGCCTGGCAGTTTCTTGTTTGAGAACGGGACGTGATATGGCTTTGCAAGGTTCGGTTGAAATAGAGACTGTGCTAGCAGAAACAGTTCGGTGCTTTGAATAGGCATAAAAAAATACGCAACAGTGCAGAAAATGGCACGGAGTCTTTGTTTTGCACTTTCAGCCTCGTTTTGGATTCCAATATGGCGGCTTCGTACAAAGAGCAATTTGCAGCCATAATTTTCTTTCCTTCGCCGGACGCAATTTTTTTTTCAGATTTTTTTTTATGTAGATAGAAAAGTGGTAGCCTACAAGTCAGGAAAAGCAACACGTTTCCATTAATGGTGATTTCAAGGTGGCATTCAGCAAGCACATTTTGCATAAGTGGCACGCAGGCCGGTCTACCGCCCGAAAGCTCCCGTTAGAAAACGGATTAGGCTCGGATTTCACTCCGTGTTATGCTAACAAATCCTTTAATCCCTGCAACCGGCGCTTCGGCCTCAGCACCGGGTCGGCCTTGCAGGAGAGGCCGGCTCGCGGCTCAAACAGCGACGGCGATTTCACGGGCCTGAGCTATTTCAGGCGCCGTGACTGCGAATGATTGACTAAAAATTGAACGTCCCTCGAGCATATTTCTTGTAAAAAGAAAGAACGCTTGTGCAACTAGAACAGTTCCGCAATATTGGTGTTTCACAGTTACTTCTTACAAACGTGTGAAATAAAAGTTGTGCGTCTCGAGTGCATGCTTATACATGTAGCATCATTGCTTTTCGTGCATTTTGTTGTATCCAATAATAAAACCAATCACAAACCAAGGAAGAATGTTCAAAAGCTAACTCTAAGAAGTTTCAGCTCAATGGGTAACCTTTTCGAGAAAACAGTGAAAAACCCTGCCCAACATCCTGATTCACGATTTTGTCCACATGCTCTACATGTATTTCCAAAAATCAGTCAACTTGCTTACTGATCGTTTGAAATTACCTACATTCTTGATGTACAATGACAGCAAGCCAGACGGAATAATCTCCCTGGGTGCTAGCAGTACGTAAAAGCATGGAGCTATAAAAGTAAGCTTTTTGATAATAATTCGGTAGGTTACTTTAAATAATCCTATATGCCTTAATTGAAAGACGCACAACTTATTGCTTCTAAAGGGACATCTAACAAATTTTGTTTTGGACACTGCAGTACACGTAGGCCTAGGTGGGCATACGGGAATCAGCCTGGGGAAGTTTAGGGGTTTATACCGCTCCTCACGAAAGGATTGCACGTCTGCCAGCGGGACATCGATCAGGTCAAATGCATCACAAGGCTTGGGAAGAAAATTCAAAAATTCCGGAACATCACGTTCGGGGAGTGCCGGGAGTTCGACTCGAAGCCCCGGGCGTTGCGGCGCGGACGTCGGTATCGATCACAGAGGGGAACACGGTGGATTGCTCTCGGAGTCACGTAGTACACAGGGGGACATCAAAATGTTGTCTTGGTGTTTTGCCATCTTTTCAATCTATTCTGTGTCAGGGCATTTGGTATTTTTTAAAGCCTCGACGTGTGTGCCATACTCAGTTTTTTTGTAAATTTGGAAATAACTGAGTTTTGCTATTTCACTAATGCAACGGCACTCTTGCTCGAATGAGGCGAAACAAAGAAAAGAGGATGAAGAAATTTTATTTTTGTGGTGGGAGGAAAAGCTGAAATTTATATCCAAGGAAACTCCGCGAAATCAGATGTGGGACTTCAAGAAACTCCGGCCAGGACTGATCGGGATTCAAACCCGGGTAAACAGTATCACACGTTTTGGGTAAAGGGAAATATAATATGAAAATTAATAATAAAAGTTTTATTTTCAGTAATTGAGTAAGCAACCCATGCACGACAAGAAACCTAATTGTAAGGCCATGACCATAAAAGGGAAAAGACCCCATAAAGCTTTCAGTATCTTTATGGCATATATAAATCAAGACACAACAATGACAGTGTTTATACTTATCATATTTCATCCCACTGTTTGAGTTTTATCAGCAGCACATGTACAATGGATGTGGTGCGACATTTTGATCAAAACATTTTATCAAAGCAATATTTTGTCAAGATTTCATCGTCCTATCGCGTTGACAAACTAGACCTTCGTCTTGCCATATCAGATAGGCACTGGAGATTATTAAGTTACAGAAAAACATGATTTCGAAATAATTCCAGATATAAACATGGCAGGAGGAACTTGTTCATAACATCACAGACATCATCAACTTTCAGACTAGTCTTTCAGACTTTACTTGGAGTGCTCCCGAAATAAAATACACATGAATACACAAACATCGAACAGTGCCAACGTTGTGATGTCACCACCACTTGATAATCAAAACCATAAGCCGGTTGTTTTTAATCCCCAAGGTATCAAACGGCGCTCCAAAATGTGGCAAAAGAACAATAAGTCCGCAGTTCCCGCCAACTCGAACGTGTTAATCGTGCGGCGCGTGATCCCGCTATCCTCTGCGCAAGTTTCCGGTTGAGTATATCGTATCGCTTCCGCTTTTTGGCTGTGGAGTTTCGAGGGTGATAAGCAAACATTTTCCCGGTAATGTTTACCAAACTTTCGGTCTCTCTTTGTATCGTTGACAGTTTTATGGTCTGTTTGTTTTAAAGTCATCCAGTTTCTTTTGTAGTCGAGCGAAAAGGGAAACGATGCGTGTGCATGTACATCTACGCACTGGATAACGTTGCGCAGTACGCATTGCAATGACAGGGCGACATGCTTTCCTTTTTTTAACACGGTGACGTCAACATCATGTGATTTTTTTAAAAATGTTTAGTTGCTGTAACAATGTGACGTATTTGTTTAACACTCTGACAATTTTTTTTTACCACAATTAGACTTTTTGAAGCACCGTGACGTCATCTGATGTTGAATCAACTATGACAATGCGGCAAACTTTTTTAAACACTGTGACATCATTTGATTTGATAATGTTGCGGCAATGTTACGTACGATGCCATACATTATGTAATTATATGTTTAATATATACTGTTCGACACATTAAGATTACCATGCATGGATATAACAAAACACTCCAAGCGGGAGTGCCCCTTTAAGATTTCGTGGCGCGGTTTCTGAGACCATCACACACACATAAAACCGCAATGGAAGTGTTGAACATTAAAGAGGCAATCATTACCTAATCATTTAATGTTATGGGCGTGGATTGGTAGAGTGATTAAGGACAAATTATGCGGATATGCCAAGCGCGGAATTGACAAGTGATACGTTTATTGAGGCATTTGCAAAATATACATAGGAACTTTCATTACTCTTTTGTGGGCGGGCCATAGAACTTAGTCTTACACTCATCCCATGGTCAGTTGTGATTCAATGTAATTCGCAATTCCTCCAACATGAGCTTTTAAAAAGGAAAGAGTGAAAACAAAGACTGATATTGGCTAAAGATTATCAATAGTTATTTGTATTTTCCCGGAAAATCAATGTTTTAACCAGAAGCTAAACAAAAGCCTCAGTGTATATCCAAAAAGCAAGGACCTCTGGTTTATCACTGGAAACCCCGATACAAGGACATAAACTGTCACTTGAGTAACCACAGCACCCCGCCATAAATCAACGAGTTAAACGACTTAACACCCGTTGAATTAGGCCACAACAAGCGACCAATTAACCCACTAACGAGTAACGACCCGTGGTTTTTGTAAAGGAGACCCAGTATACGTGCTGAGAGGGTGAGTCATCGTAAGTCCACGGGGCTTTCAACGCGCAGGCCCGGGCGAGCCGTGCTCGTCCATACGGCGAACGATCTCGCCGTTTCCGGAGTTTTCACCGGTTCCGGCGGCGGTTGTCTAGCCGGCCGTCGCCTGCGCTCGTTCCCGCGGTAAAATCAATTATCGCGTCCGGCGGTTATTTCAGTTAATGTGTAAATAGTGAAGGTGATGATATAATGTGGGTATAGCGGTTTCGGCAAACATTTCTAGACATTCTTGGGGACAGCGGTTGGAAAACAAATTCAGGACAAATTGGGATACCTAGGCGGTAGGCCTATTTTCTGCCGAGAAATACTGACTTCACGAAAACAATTCAATTTTGACAAAATAGCATTTCAATTTACAGTTTATCATATCTTCGCATAAAACTAGCGAATTAAATAAAATTAAGACTCTTACTTAGTAAGAGCATGGTAAGAGCAAACCTGCAATCAACATTTCGAGCAAATACTCAGATTTAATTTCTATAAGTATAAGACAGAATGGAAGGGTTACAAATATTTCTCCTCCGTGACGAGTAAAATTCTTCAAAACTTAAGGGTGAATAGGCAGTAAAAATTGTAAACATACCTGTAATGATGACTGTTTTCCCGTCCAGACGAGTCGTGCACGTACACCTATCGGCTACCTTGACGAAATAGTAATACACACTGACGCACATCACCAGCGCAACAGAGACACAGACACCCAGACAGAACCCGTGATACTGAGGCCCGTCCCACAACTTCCACTGCCCGAGAGTCACGCTCGTTAATTCCAACATCTTTGCTACGCTTCTGCCGGTACGGAATTTCGATTGGTATATTTCTCTGATCGTCACAGATTTTGTGCTACAACTTCCGTTCCCGCACCTCGAAATGATGTAACTACTCCAAGATGATTTTCTTACACGGATCTTACTATACTACGAGCCCACAGAAGTTTTCACTTCGACCTGGAGCCTACGCACTTCGCATGCAGCGCACAGTCATTTTTATCAATGAACGCGACGTCACGGATGGTGACGCGTGACGTCACACTCCAAGACATCCTGATTGGTTCAGAGTGCACAAGGCAGCGCAGTGCTATCAAGGTGCTGTATTTTGGCAATCGGCCCACGTACGTATACACACAGTGACATAGAGAACATAAATCATGTCACACGCAATGTTTTGCAGTGTTTTTTACCCATGCATGACTAATAAATGACTTCTTGGTACATACACCAAAATATTGAGCCATGTCCAACGTTATTTGAGTAACACATAAACACATGAAACTGTGAATCATCAATATAAAAACAAATCATGACAAACAGTGACTAAAGGATGTTTTCTCGAAAAGACCAAACGTACTTTCCCGAAAAACGTGGGCGTGTTTATCTTTAGGTTTCAGGAAATCCCCGAGCGTCGATTTCGTATACGGAACTGGAAAAACCAAGTGACTTTTCACACTTTTAACAATATTTTCCGCAAGTCATAAAACATTCGTCCTCTGCACGGCTACATAAACATAATCTTTTACAATCCGACTTTTTCACACGAGATATTCCATGTCCTTGTCCGATTCACGACAAATAAGACTTAAAATAAATCCATGCTTTGGCTTCTGATGTCAATTTCCGGATACGCTCCGAGCAACATCATCAGAATTTGCTAGAAACGTGTCAGCTAAACCACGAACAAACACATGTAATCCGCCCCATACAATGGGTAAAGTCAACCGAAGCAAGTGCTGAAAACACGGGGTTGCATCGAGTTTCGCTCATATCTTTCCCGGACTTGGCTTAAAAACTGATAATCTTCTTTCCTTTTACCGAACAAGTCGACAATAAAGGACGAATGCGGGATCAAAAGTGCCGACTGGTACAAAGGAATCAAACTGAACTGGGGATTTGTGGTCTAACTTTGGGTGAAGTCAAAAGTTCTTGTGGATTATGGTGCGGGCCACTGTGGTGAAGAATCAGAAAGGATTATCCTGGATTTGCAGTATGGGTCTTGGGATAAATTAATCCGCAACGCTTGGCTGCATTCTTCGCTCTGAATGTGGGAGAATATTTAAGTGTGACTTAAAACTATGCACATGCACATAGGCTTTTACAACATGTTATTTCTAAGTAAGATTTGAGGCTTTGCATGGTGAAGATACTAAATAATGAAAGGTTTGCGGAAACACCATGTGCGAATAATTTCTCAACTAAGAGAATGGTTCTGAAAAGAACCAGAGGTATAAAGAGGTATGTTATTTCTAATAATTTACAAACCTTATCTAATCATACAGAGTTGTAGTAATTTCAACATCTTAAAATCCACATCGTTCATTTCTAGTGTTAACATTCATATTGGGTATAACGTAATGTTTAAAAGTTGTATCCTTCCTTTGGTAAAATCAGCGATTCAAAATGAACTGAGCTTTTGATGACACAATGATGTAGGAAAACACATTGCATAATTTCTGTGGAATCCCTTTTGGGGTCATTCACCAATGTGTCATATTCCGGAAATAAATGGAAATTTTATAAACATTGTAGCCCTTACAAAATGATGTTCAATTCGACACAAGAAACACGTTCTTTAGTTTGATGAAGATGATCAATTTGGGAGTTTCAAACATCATGGGATAAACATGGGATAATCATAGGCAAACTTATGCGGATTAAACATTTTCCAAATCTAACCAGCTGAAAAGAATATTACGTAACCCTCTGATGAAAAAAATCAGAGCAGGATTTCTTAATTAGCACTTAAGAAGTACAAACCAAGTTTTACGCAAACAAATCTACGAGCCATGACGCAAAAAAAAACCCACACACATCGCCAGATATTTTAGTTGGTGGCTGCAGAGAATAACCAGTGCTTACTTAGCGACTCCAGGGAGTGTGGTGGTACGATTTCAAGCGGAATAGACTGCGGCATTTAGGCCGTATTTTTGTCGCCCAAGCCCCCACGGACCAAGCCCAGGCGCCGGTACGATACCCCGCGGCCTTCGGGTCTGCGCTTACCGCCGGCTGAAAGCGGCTCGCGCTCGCGGCGTAAAGACGGTAAATTGTTTGCCCTTCGAGCTTATTTAGCGGGCTGATGATGGAGAGGTACATGTTGATATTTTGTAACAAAGTGGGCATGTTTATTTTTTGTCTTTAGGGGCAAAATGTGGCAACTGCTACACGACTTTCCGTCGCTGCAATGCGGCTACAGAATACCCGTGGGCTATACCGCACTCAAAATAAACGCTACATTTTGTGCATTGTTAATTAGAAGGGGGCGGGGACTCCAAGAATATCTTATGGGGGAGGTACTGCCCTTATTCTATTCAATCCCTCCCCAGAACAATAAATGTATGAATTTATTACCGTGCATGTATTTTGGCACAATATACAACAGCAGTGATACATTGTTACATGAAACAATAACCAACTACTGAATATTCAAAAAGGGTTTTGCTGGAGTGGAGGCTTGCCTTGTATCTTGATGGAGGCTTCTTCTTCGTTCGGGTTTCGTGGGAGCAGTCACAAACGAACACACGACCTTGGCCTAAATCTGGATCCCCCCCCCCCAAAAAAAAAATAATGCACATACAATTTCAAGGCTATACAAATATGTCAGAAACGCAGTTGTTCCATTAAAAAGAGAAAAAATGTAAATACAATTGCAACTGGGAATAGTTTAGTTTTTACAACCCGACAGATTTCATCATTAAACCATTCAATCACGACCACAAAAACACACATTGGGAAAAGGACAAGGAGTCATACCCACCTCGAGGGAACAGTTCCCAAATGTTGCATAGGCGGCAGAGATAAAACGCTTCCCAGAAATTTATCACCGAGAGAACTTCGCCGCCCTTGACCCGAATTGCCCGCCGTCTCCTCTCGCCGTTTAACGGCCAACAGGTGTCGGCGTTGCGCGCTGGAACCACTTTCCCCGCGGTACCTGGGGAAATGGCATCAGAAAACTGCGCATTCCCCGCGCCATAAATCATCGTTTTAAACTGGCGTGCTTTTTTTTGTCTGGCTTGAAATGGGTCAAATGTTGTCAGTGATTTGTTCAGGATGTTTGCTTAATTCGTGGGCAGCCAGATGTCCCGATTAGTTTCATACTTGACAGTTGGGAAGTTTTCCTTTACAAAATTGCGGGGAGAAAAAAAGCTAGCGCGACTTACATTTTCAAAGCAGCATCAGCGAGTTTTATGCCCTGGAAAAACTGAGAAAGCTCCCCGCCAAAATATACGCCAAGGAGCACCATAGTCTATCCTGATACATGTACAACTTTTAACACCCCAGTTTCAACCCCTCCCCCAAAAGGGGGACAAAACAATGCTATGTTGAAAGCTTAATTACTTACTGTTCATCAATAGTTGCTGTTAATATTTTATAAAATAAACCACATTAGGAAACTGACTAGTTGGTGTTGAATTAAATGAATAAGGAAATCAAATGGAACAGGATTCGAACCTTCGACCACTGAATAACTGTTGGTAGAGTGCCTGTTTGTTAGTCCAAAGTGACAATGACAATGAATCCCCCTACAGTCAACTTCTTTGTTCATATTTATTGGACTACTCGGAACAATTATCTCATCTTGATTTCAAACTAACAATTGTGAAATTAGGCTACAATCCTCATATTTTAGTAGGTACACAAAATGACAGCCAAAATAGATTCATAGGTTAAATATAATTTCAAAGCTGATAAAAGTTAGATATATTTCATTTACAGAATTATTTACACTATCAACATTCTTTTTCAACCTCAGTTAACTTACCACATACTTTCCAGTCCTAAATATTCATGCTACTTTTAATACAGATGATGACAACTGTGAAAACCAGTTTCTTACTACGAAGCATAGGCCTAATTTATCATGCCTTGTGAAACTTTTTTATCAAATATTTAAGAAAAACTTGTCAACAATTGTTTGGTAATCACAAATTCACTACAAATTTGGAGAGATCATTCATGGTTACCATAGCTATATTTGACAAAAGTTTCAAATAAAAGCAATCTAAACTATTTAATAGTAATAGTGTAAGCTTGTCAATGGTGCTTCAACTCTAGTCCACTCAATGTTTCGGAACCAGCCTACTGAAGTTGGTTGCATCACTGGTTCTCAGCAGCCATGTGTATTACAATACAAGGAGCCAGGACCGCTAAGTTACCACAATTCTGACGAGAGATATTTGCAGATTAGTGCGCAAACACAAAGCATGTAATGATGATCACTAGTAAAAACTACTTGTCCCTAATCACAATCTGATTGAACCATGCCACATGCAGAAGGAGAAAGCACCCCACAGATTCTGCAGCTCTGACTCTAGAACTGCTTTTCTGCTGTTCCAATTCCAGGGCTTGACAAGGCAGACGATGAGGACCGTTTCTCCTTCCCCCGGCTGTAGCCAGCCACTCTGGCTTTGGCAGAGGCTGAGACTGTACTGGACCCGGTATCCGTGGAGCTTGTGCGACTGCGGCTGGACCAGATTGCGGGGAGCATCGTGGAGAGAGTGTAGAGCCAGGGATTGATGGAGGAGTTGATGGGAAGGATGAAGATGACCACCCAAGCGTACATTGTCTGGAAGGCAGAGTTAAAATGAAGTCGTTACAAGTTACATGTCAATCACATGTCTATCACATGTCAATTACATGTCCATCACATGTTAATCAGATATTTATCTCAAGTCCATCACATGTCCATCACATGTCAATCACATGTCAATCACATGTCAATCACATATGAAACACATGTCAATCACATATCAAACACATGTCAATCACACATCAAACACATGGCTTGAAACTGACTTGTGGTTGACTCATTCACAAATCCGCCTATTAAAGTTTACTACTTATTTATTTGTTGAGATCAAATAAATAATATGTAAAAATAATAATTGATTAAGGTTTTTTTTACCTGCTCAATTACCACAACTCCAGACTGGGACAGGATGCCCATGATAATCACTGGTACCCAGCAACAGAAGTCGGTGCCCACTATTAGCCCCATCTTGATGGCCAATCGCATCTCTTCACTCTTGTCGGCCGGCCGCGTGGATTTCTTGGAGGAGGCTCGAGCTGAGACGAAGATGGCCAAATAACAGAGCAGGACGAGGAGGAAGCTGAAAAGGTTGACGCCAAGGAATAACACGATTGGGAAAAGCCAGGCCGGTTTGTAGCCAGATGCGTAAACATCCTTGACCATAACGTTACCCATGCTGGACTCTGACATTTTCCTGGTAGTCGTCACGTTTGTCGGTTTGGTCGACAGCGGCAGACCTAAGCAGACGTTGGATAGCTCATAAAAGTCGGCGTTAGTGGCCGACAGAACGCTCGTCGTAACGCTCACAGTGAGTGCCAAGAGCCACAATCCCACCAGAACCTTGGCCGTCCTGCGAGTGGACATCCGGAGGCTGCTGAACGGAAAAACCACGCCCAGAAAGCGGTCAACGCTGATCAGTGTTACCAGAAACACTGACGCTTCGCTGGACACCAAACCTACGACTCCGGCGAATTTGCAAGTGAAGCTGGCGCGCCACGAATCCATCTGCAAGAAAAAATCGTCGCCGAAGTGCAGATCGGCCGAGGCGATGATGAACAAGTAGAAACCCATTAGGAGGTCCGACGCCGCCAAGTTCAGAATCAGAAACGTCTGCGTTTTCTTCTTGTGGCCTCGGAGTTCGCGACCTCGCCATAGCAACACCACGAGGTTACCGGTGATTGCAAAAATCACCTAGCAAAAACAGGCAAATGTCATTTTAAAAACCATTTACGTAACGAGAAGACTTTGGAAGTTGGAACGATGCTGAAAAGTCCAACAGGAATTTTAGACGTCTTGGTTCGATTCCTGTGCTAGTAAACGAAGCTTGGAGCAAAACTAAACTCAAACGGTTCTGGACTGACAATCCAGAGGTCTTAGGTTCAATTCCTGGGTTTACAGAAAGAAACTGGGCACAAACTACAAAACTGAACAGCTGAAATAGTGGAGTGCTGGACTAATATTTCGAAGGCCATGGGTTCGATTCCCCCATTTACAACAGGAAATTAGGGGCAAAACTGCAAGGCCAAACGGTAGAGCCCTAGACGGACATTTAAGAGGTTGCAGGTTGGATTCCTAGATTTTTAAAAGAATACTAACATAAAACTTTCGAGTACAGAATTAATCTTTAAGAGGCCTTGGGCTGGGTTTACAGATTTACAAAAATGCTGTGAACAAACTTTCAAAGCTCAAATACTGCTGGACTGATGTTTCAGCAGGTTTCAATTTCTTGTTTATAGTTTGCAATTTAAGTGTTTGAGCTCCTACATCCCCCATTTCCCCCCCCCCCCCAAAAAGAAAACCAGGCTAGTTAGCCAATTCTCAAAAATAAATCAAACGTTTGTCAGATTTCTTTTTTCGTCTTCAAATTTTGGAATAAACTGACCTGCAACCAAATGAACGCTTTCATGATGTCCTGCGTCAACAGGCGACGGTCACAGGTGAAGTACGGCGGAGGAGGCGATGTGTTGACATCGCAGAAGATGGACGAGTTGAGAAGACAACACACAGCGTGGTTATCCGTAGAGCTGATGGAATTGAAGAGTAACCAAAGAAGGTTAAACTATGAACTCCTAGCACAGGTATCCCAGCAACCGTCACAAGGAGAAAGTTGAAAGGGACCACAACTAATGCAGAAATGCAACAGCAGGGTAACTCCAGGACTTTTCCAGGACTTTTCCAGGACAAAATTAGGATTTTCCTTCAACAATTCCTGCACTGTTTTGGCATCTTAGGAGCCTTTCTGCCATACACTGGCCGCACTGAGACAATGGACACCACTCCCCTTCAGCATCACAAGTGCACTGAACATGCAACAATTATAACATGTTTATAGAGCATACATGCATAAAGAGCAAGTACAGTAAACTGAAATGCAAACTGGAAGACTGCCATAGCCAAATATTACAAATCATCACGTATGGGTTGTGCAGGATTCCACGACTTTTCCATGATTTTTGTCTTGGAATATCAACTTTCCATGACTATTCGTAAGATGGAATTTTATGAATTGTCTCACTACTTAGTACTATACCCACTGCTACATCAGATTTGAACCAGCCAACCAATCCCGTTAGCTCGGTGGTCAAGTGGTAAGACGTCTGCACTAGAAAGCAGGAGGTCGTGGGTTTGAGTCCCACCGAAGGGATTTTTTCAAACTTTCACTCGGGAGGGAACACACTAAAGTATACAGCGTTTATCCGCCGGTGAAGGGCAAAACGTTATACTGAATTTCCATGACTCCTTCTAAAACAACAGAATTTAAAGACTTTCCATGATTTTAGTTTTAAATTATAGAATTTTCCCAGGATTTTTCTGTGACTTTGGGAACCCTCAATTGAATGTGAACCCATATCAATACTCACACAACTGTCAGTTGGGGCAAGACATCAAACACTTTCTCATCAATTCTACTCAGAGGATTCCCGGACAAGTACCTACGGCAGAACAGTAATAAAATCCAACACGTTTCATGGTAAATTATTCATAATCAGTTACGTGAAATGTTGATAAAACTGTTCGCTACAGATTAGAAAATATTATTTCCATGTTATTTTAAGAACCAGAAGTAAAAATCTGGGGTTTGTTTTACTCCTCTTATTCACAGATTGAACCCAGATTGAAGACAAAAACGTTCCTAAAAGTCCATCTCAATTCATATCCGGGACGAATTCCGGATAACTTCCGGACGTTGTATCAGGTACAAGTTGCAGGATTCTGAACAACTTCCCTGCAATCTTCCCACAATGAAGTTATCAGTATTGGCGAATCAAGCAGTTGCCAATGAATATTTCCCCGCAACATGTCTGGGACAAATAAAGAGCTTCTTCCGGACAAAGTGAATGATTCTACTCCAAACTTGTCCGGAACTCGTCTCGGATATGAATTGAGACAGGCCCTTAGCAACAGCTTAAAAAATCCATAAGATTACACGACAAATCAATACTCACAGATGACGAAGGTTAGTCAGACCATCAAAGACTCCTTCCTTCAACTCTGAAATCTGATTATTCCTCAAGTCCCTTAAAAAAAAAAGCAGAAAAATAAGCAACATTTTTTCATTTATTCAATCATTTTTTTTTCATTTATTATGTGACAGGTTCCAAAACAATTAAGGGGCCCATATGACTTTTGTTAATGCGATCCTTGAAAATGCACCTTTGTGTCCCATTTAACTGTATTGTCATTTTTCCATTTTCAAGAATATTTTGGTGCTTTTTGGCTTTTATGCTAATGCAAATTTCCATATTCATGAGTAAAATTGTGATGTCATTCCAGGCAGAAACTTCAATATTACAGCTATTTCTGCAGCAAAAGTTGCCAGAATTTTGGAAATGTTGCTGTTGTAATTTGACAGTAAGCCAATGAGCAAACTTTTCTCACAGATGTTTTCAACGAGCAAATTTTTGGCTTCACAATTGTAACATAAAACCCATAAACTGAACAGTGTCTTCCTGAAATGATATCACAGCAACAGCGCCCTCAGTTGTCTGGAAAAGCATGGACAATTTTTAATGTCTATAAAAGAAGTGCAGTAGAAAGCTGCACAAAATATGTTTCCATGAAAAATTAATTGCATGGAAACTTTAACTATTTCTGTAAGTTCACTGTCATGGAGTGTACTCTTACAATTTAAAGTACATCAAAATGGTTATAAACTGGAGACATTTCGAAGATGTAAACGAGACAATAGTACTTGATACTCACAGAGTGCCAAGTGAGTCCAGTCCGACAAAGATCCCAGGTTCCAACTCTGCAATGTCATTGGAGTCCAGAAGTCTAAAAATGAAGTATGGAAAATAATCTTTGATACTTGTTGATTTGTTTTTTATTGGAAATTGTAAATGATTTATAAAAATTAAATTTAGAGTGAATGAGTAGTGTACACAATGGCATGTTGGAGGGCATCTTGAGTAACGAGATGAGAAAAAGGATGTTGTGGTAAAGTGGCTTGCATATGGACACAAGACAGATTAATACATGTAGAGTTCATATAACGAAGTGTAGCGCAAATGAAACACTTAAAACTGCTACTCACAGGTCATAGACTGAACCTAGTCCCTCAAAGGTTCCAGTCCTCAGCTCCGTCAAATCATTGTTTGATAAGTATCTGCAAGGTAAAATCACAAAAACTTTTCGAAAACTAAATGACAATTCTGTACATGTAATACACTAATTCTGACGAATCAAAATGGGAAAAACTTATGGCTGGCTATCTTTTCTAATACTGGACAAAATAAAACAAAACCAGGAATATTTAGCGAATCAACAATTTAAAAAACCAAAACAAAAGCAGCAAACTGAAGTGAACTTACAGACTTGTCAGTTTTCCTAGATCTCTGAAATGACCGGGCTGCAAAGATTTCAAGAAATTCCCCTGAATTTCCCTGCAAATATTGAAAAAGAAGATGGTTACAATTGTAACAAATGATAAATTTAATACTGTTGATTCTGTACATACAACCATTCTTAGCACTTTTTCTTTGGTTTAGCATTTTTATTATTGTACATAGTATTGTCTCAGTAATAGTAGTGCTTGGTACGGTGCTTACAATTTATCAAGCTGAGTGTGTCCCTCCACAAGACGGGGATCCAGACTTGTAAGTTGGTTTCCTGAAAGGTATCTGGAAAAATAGTGGAAAATTGAAAAGTAATGTTTCATGTCTGGAAAATATGATGGTGTAAACTCCCTAAAAAATAATTGTTTAAAAATAGAAATTGCATACTAGAGGTGTTAGAATATTTTGGGAGTGCTGTGGTCCAATGGTTACGGTGTTCGCCTCATGTGCCGCGATATGGTTTGAACAGTGACAGGGAACATGGTGCATGTGTTCTTGGGCAAGGCACTTTACTATGATTGCCTCTCTCCACCCAGAAGTATTAATGGGTACCTGTGAGAGCAAAGACCAGATTGCGCCGATCTCGAGCTGCTGCTGCAAAAAAACTGGTCTCATGACCTAATGAACAGGGGTAATAATTGTGAAGCGCTTTGATATAAGCATCACATAATTATCATTATTATTTTGGCGATGAAACCTTGAATTTCTTTTAAATGCTTTTGGCTCAAACTCATGAACCTGAATTGAGAAAAAAATAGACAGAAAAAACTAGTTAATATAGTGAGAAGTAAATCCTCAATCAATACTCTTGGAAGGGAAAAAATGTGCAAAATAAGTGAGGGACTGGAAATGAAATCCAACAAATCAGCCTAGAAATAGATTCAAACCTGGTTCACGGAGCTTGGGGGTTAAGAATAACTGTCAACATTCCAACTTGATTCATCTATTTTAACTTTTAATGAGTAACAAGTTGATCCACAAAAAAATTAAATAAAACTTACAATTGGCCGAGTTTGGTCAGCCCCTGCAAAGCATTATGGGGGATTTCTGTCAGCTGGTTGTTCTTCAGATCACTGCCGAAGTATTTTGAAAACAAAATAAGAATCGACTGGAAATTTCATCGCATTAACAAAATTATTTTATAATATTGTTCATATTTTCAACTCATAAGTTCCTGCACCACCGTAAACTGCCATTTCATCAAGCAATAAATTTTAAGTTATAAAATGCGTACAAGTGCTAATACACTTTAAAAAAACACTTAATTGTGACAGTGTTTCATTTCGAAGGATGGTTAAAAGAAATTTATTAATGAGGCTCCAATATATCTCGGCTTTTATTCAAAGAATTGCAATTTCTGTGATGCCAGTTGATCGAGCTAGTTGATACTCCACGTGAATGCGAAGTAAATGTGACCTTGGGAAACAATCACTGCGAAATGTGCCGGAGTTGACGTTATGGTCAACTATTGCGAATCCGCAGCAGGAATACTTGCCATGACATCACAAATTCCATTCACATCTGTTTTCGCACCGGGTATGACCCGGCGTTTCCAGTGTTAAAAAAGTCTGATGGAACTTACATGCACGTGAGGTTTACAAGATCTTGAAACAGTTCCGGTTTGATGACGCTGATACTGTTGTTACGGGCATATCTTGTTAAAAAAAAATAAAAAATTTGAAATAAAAAAAAAACATAGAATAAATTTCTCATCATCTAATAAATGCAACACAGTTTTATTTACCCAAGTTACACCACATGTTATAGGAGGAAAATGAGCATCTCCAATAATTATAATTACCAATAAAACAGTTTCAAGCATAAAATTTAATAATCTAAAAAAAGTTGACTTACATCCCTTCCAGGTGAGTAAAATTACTGAAGAAACCGTCCTCAAAATGAGTAAGTTTATTTCCCTCCACTGATCTGGAGATACCAAAAAACGAAGAAATAATTAAACGGAACTAAACAGACTGATAAAATTACTCCACTGGTTACCTATTAATGACCGCATCGCTTTCAAGACTCTCCTTGTCTTCAAAACAATCCATGGACCCTCACCAGTTTACTTATCAGATGTCATCCAACAATACAGACCATCACGCAGCCTTTGTTTAGCCTCAACACTACAGCTGATTGCCCCCCGGACACGCCACTCATGGGTGATCGTTCTTTCTGACACGCCCCCTCCCAAACTCTGGAACAATCTTCCACTTGAATTATGACAGTGTTCTTCATTGTGGGGAGTGTGGCCTAGTGGTTAGGGTCGGTGACTCATGATCAGAGGGTCAGATGTTCGATCCAGCTGCTGGCCATATGTTGTGTCCTTAGGCAAGCCATTTCATCCCCACTTGCCTCTCTCCACCCAGGAGTATAAATGGGTACCGGCATTAGCTGGGGAGTAACCTGTGATGGACTAGCATCCCATCCAGGGGGTGTAGAAATATTCTCAGTCGTTTCATGCTAAGGAACCGGAGATAAATGCTGGCCTAATGCTCATGACAGACTTTATCTTATTTTATTATTTTTACTATTCATTGCAATCATTCAAATCATCCCTTAAGACATATTTGTTCGCCTCACGTTTTTCAGTTTGATATATTTTTGCTGTGTAAATCATAATTGTTTATTGATGTAAAATGCGCCATGAACATCTTATTTGGAGGATATAAATTTCGACGTGATAGAAATTTTCATTATTATTATTATTATTACTAAATATTTCAGGTCATGTCGATTTTGCATTTCTTAAAGTGCAAGTTACATGTTCATATCAGACTTTCAATCTTATATTCACTTGCTATTTTGTCAAGATTTTTTTGAAACTTTTTTTTCCCAGCACTTACATTTTTTGGAGCTTCACAAGTCCATGGAGTGTTTCACCCGCCAGTTCTGTGATGTCATTTGTCGAAATTTCTCTAGTTTTCAAAAATATAAATGTGCAACAACAAAAACATCACACTTTATTTCATTCTGCCAAGAGTTTTAACCCCCCCCCCAAAAAAAAATTCCCTCAAAATTAATTCTTTCATTTTATCCTTTCATAAAATACTGCTAACTTTAAATTTGATGATTTACATCACCTCCCTCAAAAAAAATATTATTTACTCACATTTCTATCAAGTTCAGAAGATCTTGAAAGATGCCTGGTGGGAACTGATCGAGTCCGTTGGAATTCAATCTCCTATCAAGGAAAAAGGGTGGGGGAATACTAAGACCATCTTTACAGAAGGAGGGGGCTATATGGAAAACTCACGAAGTACAAGGGTGCAGACCTGTAAATAGGTCCAGAATTGCATGTGCGCCCCTTAAACAACCCTATGAGGAATTGTGTACGTTAAGTTTGTTCGTCTCAGATTTTGCGCGTTCTGCTTCCATTTGTATATCATGTAATTAGACAATATTTCACAAGCTGCGTCAACGCGATTCTACCGTGATAGGTCAATTGGAAGACAAGGCAAGTCCAGTAAAGCTGGTTCCAAAGCGCACAAAGTTCTATTGCATTGATTCAGAATGGCTATTCACGGGAAGTCTTTTCATGCATCTGGTGTACGCAAAGGGCCAAATTTAGCCCTTTCATCTGTGTTACAGGGTAATCCTATACAACAGCACTGCCCAGCTTACCAGTGAGTCAGTCAATGAGGCACAAAGAGGACCATAAGCTGGCTGTTATCTGATGACACCAGCAAAAAGAAGATAATACACAAAAGGGGAAATGAAAACTTACAAGTTCCGGAGCTCCACAAGTCCTTCAAAAATGTCGGCCGGCAGATGAGTTAAATTGTTGTGATCCAGATATCTACACAAAAACCAAAAGAATTAAAAATTACATTTTTGACAGCTGAAAATTCCAAAGGAATTAAAATTCAACTAAATTTAGGCTCAAAATACAGGAACAAAGACTAAAACTTTAATAATTGTAGACTGGCAATTTTGAGAGTTCAAGAATACTTACAGATATTGCAGATGGTGTAAATTTCTGAACAGCCCCGAAGGCAGGCTCGTAAGTTGGTTTTCTTCAAGATTCCTGAAAAAAAAATTGAAAATGAAAAACGACACAATCGTTAAAGCCCATTTGAAACAACATGGAAAAAACACCCACCGATTTAATGACAGAAAGCTTGCTGAAAGTTTAAAATGGTTATCATTTGGAGGAAAACTTACATTGAAGGTGGTTTCAAGATAGGATGCTGGAAATATGAAGGCCCCGCTTAGACTACATAGTTTATGGGACTTGAAAATAATAATGATGAAAAAAAAACTGGCGTCTGGATTCAACGTTCTTTCCAAAACTTGTTTTATAGACTTAAGGAGATACTCACAATTTTTCCAGCTTTGTCTGTTTTTGGAAAGCGTCGCGATCCAACTCTGCCAGTTTGTTATAACTCAACTCCCTGTGGTGCAAAGAGATCACAAAAAGGTGATGATATCACTATGGTGGGATTATAACCCACTACCGACATATTGCAAGTGCAGATGTCTTAGCTATGAAACCTCTGAAATGATACTAAACCAAATTTTATCAAAGCAATCGGCTTTGCAGTGAGAATGTGTGATATTTTCTTGCAATCGTGTTCAATCAAAGTTCCAAATCCGATCATGAAATTCAAAATACTCACAACTCCACAAGATTAGGTACATCCGCAAAAATATCACTTTGAAGTCTTGTCAAACTGTTGTTATGTAATTTCCTGTAACAAAAAGAAAAAAAAGTTAACAGAATAACGAGTGGTATGTAAAAAATGGTCAGAAATTTTGTCAAGTTAGTCCTCCATTACTTAAAATTAGTAATTATTTGACGACAAAATATGAACTTACAAATATTGGAGTTTTTCCAGGCTGCGAAATGCACCACTTTCCAGATTGGTGACTTTGCTAGAAGCCACCATTCTGTGAAGAGAATGAAACAGTTAGAAAAACTCATTAAATTGTTTTTAAAAGGCAGATATAACAATGTGTAATAACCTGTTTCAAAGGGCTGAACTTTTCACGAGTTTGACTGAATCTTTTGTATAACTTGGTTCTGTGCAACTTTGGTATGCCAGTTTGAAGCAGTTGACATACTCACAAATTTTTGAGGTTCGTCAGACCCTCAAAAAATCCAGATTCGATGTTCTCCAGGTTCTTTAGGCCTATCTCCCTGCAAGAAAATTACACGGAAAATTATTCTGGGCTTGTATGGAAATATCTATGATTTGTCTCAAAGCAATTCTCAAACAGGCCAACAAACTATACATGAGATTCTATTGTATTTCTAAGAGAGCATTGTACACTAAAGTTTATTCATAACACGGCTAAAGAGGTTGTGGTCCAGCGTCCAAACACTTACAGTTTGCTGGTGATCCCTGGGGCAGATCTGGAGAATTCAGGGCTCCAGATTTCATGGCAGAAGGTAATATTCAAAACCCCTGGGGATGTCTCGCAAACACAAGACTCAGGACAGCGTCTCTCTGTGGTAAAAACAAAAACATACAAATGAGGACTGTTTTTTTTTTTTTCTTCGTGGAAACATCATAAATAAATGTGCATAAACCGTTACCCTCTTTGGAAACTAGGGTTCGAGTCGTCCAGCTTTTGGCTATATGTTGTGTCCTTGGGCAAGCTACTTTACTCCTACTTGCTTCTTACCAACCAGTATAAATGGGTACCAGCATTAGCTGGGGAGTAACCTGCGATGAACTGGCATTCCATCCAGGGGGAATAGAAATATTCTCAGTCGTTCATGCCAAGGCGATAAATGCCAGCCTGATGGGCCATATCGGCTTGGGGTACAATTAACTTCAAGAAGAGGAAAGAGTTATTTCCAACTTACGACAGTTAACTTCATCGTCCCCTTGTGGGCAGTCCAAGAAGCCATCGCAGTCATTCTCGCGATCAATGCAGAAACGGGAACCAGTGCACTGGTATCCCGTCTCACAATAGCCTGGGATAAGAAAATGGAATGCACTGGTAACCCACCTCACAATTTAGCATGGATAGGAACATAGAATTGATACACTGTATTGCAGCTATCTTTAAGGGTGCGTACTTCTGTTTCAAATCTGTGAAATTACGCTAACCTTCAGCACAGAATTTGTCACTAAAATTGTGCCAAAATTCATGTTAGACACCAAAATACCTTTCCCTTGACTTTCTTGGACCGTGATGGAAAATGCAGAGCCATTTCCTTGCGTGCCCCGATAAAACCTCAATGCCAAGGAAGTGCCATTGTAGCTGAGAGAGCGACTAGTGGTGTGTCTCTTCAAGGCCACCATATCATGACCAAAAATGTCCAATGGGCTCTGATAAAAAAAAAAAAATACCAAATGACAGGCAAAAACTAAGAAAACAAACTGTTTTTGTATTTACCAATGGCAGGATTAACACATGGCAGGCTTTAACACAAAATTTCAGTGTAGTTTTGAAAAGTTGGGAGGCGGGCTCACATTTTTTTTGAATATTTGAATGAAAAAATGCTAGTCGGATATCCTGTTGATGATAAGTAAACAATGATTAAAAGGTTTAGTTGAAAAATTCTCCAATTTCTCCAAAAGAGTTCTCAAAATACCTGCATTAGCAAGTAGTCGTTGCCTGGAGCAGCGAAGTCTAGCGTGATATTGTAACCATTGGAGGCCGTGAAACACCATTCAAAATACTCGGATCCATTGAGTTGGTGAGCGTTGCTATGGATGACATCATTGGGGTCAAGGGTCAACCGGAGGGGCAGAGTAGTGATGTTTTCTTGGCATGTGACTGTAAAAACAAACAAACGCCCCAACAAACAAACAAACAAATGATGTAAGTTGCTAAGAAGACACATTTTGGCAATGTAAAAAAAAATGGACTGTATTGACAAGGACAATCCGACACTGAAATATTTAGTAAAGATATAAGTTTCCTAATCCCCCTCTTTATCTTAATGGGAAATTCCAAAAGTTTCAACCAATAACATAGCTGCATCATCACAGAAGTAGTATTTTGTTCGACCGTAGATATTAATAGTAATAATAAGCATATATAGAGCACTTTTATGTTCAAGAGAAAATGTCCAATCATTTTACAGCTGAATAAAATCTAACTAAAAATATCTAAAGAAAACAATTATTAAAAGTTACAGGGAATGGAATGTTCCACATTTAACCATATTTAAGCCCCGCCCACCTTTGTTTGTCTGAGCTGCCATGGTCACCTGACCAAAACTCATGATCTAATTGGTCAATATGTAAGTTTGATTGCCGGGATGGGAGGGTCCATTGTGATGATGGACTATTTGTGTGCATTAACTTACTGCAATTTACTTCATCGTCTTCATGCGGGCAGTCAATGACATGGTCACACAGATGCTGATGGGCAATGCAGATGGTACTCATTCTGCACTGGTAACCGTCATGACAAATTGACTGGCCATCTGGTAACACAAAAAAAAGGACTGGAATGTTATTTTTTTAATTTAAAGAAGTTTGATCCAAAACAAGTCATGTGAGACAGACATATGAAATTTTGAGTCATAAAAAATTAATTCTTTTTTAAGCATTATAGAGAGATTTCGTACTAGACCTAATATTTATTATTTTAAATTTCCATAAATTTCTGCTCGTAATTTTCACATCTAATTTTGCTGAAAAACAAACAACAGATTACACCCTGCATGGTAGACAAACAAGCAGCACATAGACACACAAACGGAGGTAAGGACAAACAACAAGAAAAACAGCTGACAGGTCTCAAGAAAATGCAATGCAAACGATTTGGAATGCAATTATTCATACCTTGAATTTCAACTTCTTCTACCTCCATCGAGAATCCCCTAAACGTTGCCCGTCCACCGTTTCCTGTCTGGAAACTAATGCTCAAACCCACCCCCTGGTAAAGTAATGTCCGTGGAGGCACCCTTCCACTGTAGGTGGTTGTTACATCGAAACCCATCTCCGTGACGACTACAACATCACTAGGATGCAGCTGGATTTCATGGATCTTTAAGAGGATCCCATTGGTCGATGATCCGTTGGTGACAGATTTCCAGACCTCCCATTGGCAGTTGGAGTTGATGGGATATTCCATGGGGTATTTGGGGGAGGTAATAGTCCATGGTGAGGGTGAGGCAGACGGGGTTTCGAGTTGGATCTTTTGGATGATGCAATCAAAAAGAGCTGAAAAAAAGAGACCATAAATATTCAAATTGCACCTTTTAAAAAGTTCTAAAAGTCAGATTAAGGTTAGGTTTCCCGGGCTCTTCAACGAATTCAATTTTTTTTTTTCTATTAATACATTTTTACATCTGCAACCCTCTTTTTGTTTGGGCATAAAAGGCCCGCTTTGCAAGAAGACTGGCTACCGGTCCGTACATTATCGATACTGATTGTGGGATGGGAACCAGCCTACCCCACGAGAACGGAAATATTGTCTGGCAGCCAATAATTTGAAATTGTAAAGCAATAATTCAATAACTAAACATGGGATGATTTTTGGGGGATGATGTCTCATTCAAAAGTGAATAATGTTTGTGTTGCTAGAAAAAGAGCAATTTAGAAAAGGAATCTAGGATGAAACTTAAAAATAGCATGGGGAACGCATCTTTAGATGTAAAATAATGAGGAAAAAATAGACAAACGCAATGCAAACTTACTTCACTTTAGAAAAAGCATTTGAGTTTAAGTACAAAATTATTCAAAACAGCTAAAAATCTCCACATTTTTCAAAAGAGGATTTAATAAATTGAACAAACGAAAAGCCCCACTCTTCTAGCAAAACAATTTAGGCTGACTAATTAACAGATAAGTGAACAGTCATCCAGCAATCAATCAAACCTAATTCTCTGTCTTTTTGAGATGCCAAGTCCGTTTCTTGAAGTAATTGAAACAAAATTGTTCTGTCCTCACCAAGAAAAAAAACAAACTTCCTGAATATTCAATAAACAAAATGGCAAGATGCCTGCTCTGTGATCGCCCGATCGGGCACTCTTCAGGGACATTTTCATCTTGCCCCCGCAGTCGCCATGCGTAATTAAACCGTCGCGCAAACACAACGGCCACTCAGCTGGCCCCAATTTTCCATCTTTTCAATCATCCCCTTCAATGAAGCACCGGCGTTGAAGATCTATCACTCAATTTCTGTGCTTTTTAGAGATCTGGTTCGTGGTCAACAGAGGCCTGTTATATTGGGCAAGTTTGTTTACCGATACTGGATCAACGGCATTATAGCCTAGAGGTATGAAACGGCGATTTGTATAAACTGAGCTCTCGGGGACTACGGCAATTTGTTAAAACTGAGCTCTTGGGAAGACAAATTTAATGGGAAGAACCACTTAACATGACCTAAGCAATTTCGTACACAATTTGTCACTAGGCTGTTTTTCATGAAGGGGTTGATGGGAAATTCAAAAATTACACAATTTATTTTTTCTGTCCAACTTCTGTTGATGAAAATGGTGACAGATTGACTAATAGTCAGGCCAAGTAAAACAAAATATACCACTTTCTCATCTCCTTTGGCTCCTTTGGAATCAATTTTTCTTGGAAAATCTTGGGGGCGGGGGAAATCAAAAATAAAAGGGACCACTTCTTTCATTTTTTTTAGACAAGAAACTTTTTGATTTGCCTTTTTACTCTGTCTAAAGTACTTCATAATTGAAAAAAAAAATTGTTAGTTTGGTCTCAATTTTCTTTGGGTGGGGGGGATTTTTTTTGGGGGGGTGGGGGTTCTGGGACAGCCTTCTAACCACAAAACATATTTTTGTTTAAAATGTATTGTTTGAACCAGACATAAGTCGTAAAACTAATCTTTGGATATATCACTGTGTTTTCTAATCAAAGTGAATTGAAATAGAAAGAACAGCAAAAACCTTTTTATCCAAAAATAAATAATTTGACGACTAGATGCACACACACAGAGTCATTGCACAGCAAAAGCTAACGATTCATTGATTTTATTCACAGTGTTTTCAAAATGTATTGGCTATCGTTATGGCACCCGTAACACGATTTTCAAAAGCTATCCATACGGCATTGCAAAAACACCATTACGAATCTATCTCACATTTATTTATTAACTGCCCTTCCAACCAGAGTGCTTTGGTAGCTTGAGTGGTTAAATGTTGGACTACCGCATGCAGGACTTCCCCCAATCGAGTCTGACAATTTTTTTCTTTTTGTTCTTTTAATGGTTTTCTGTACTTTTTTGTTTTTAACCAAAACCTACTTTTTTAGTACAATAGATTTCAAATTTTTTTAGTGATCCGTGGCTTTGGAGGATTTTTTTTTTTTTAAAGAGAAATAAAGTTCGAGAACCGTTCGGTTCATAGTCTGGTTCCAAGAGCCAAAGATCTTGACGTTAAATACTGTCAGGTCAGGGAACCAGATGGTCACCTGCCATATTACGGCTATTGTTAAACAATAGCGACTGGTTTCCAACAACCTCAGGTTCAACTCACCTTCTGTTATGTTGACCCAGAACTTGCAAATTGCCTGGTTCCCCGCAAGATCAGAGAAGGTGTAAGTCACTGGTATGGAGGCCACAGGGAAATCGGTTCCGGGCCTGAAGTTATAATCGATTCGGACTTTTCCGGAATTGTCCACGGCCGTAGGGGTGGTCCAATAGACTTTCATGAATCTAGTTCCAAGGGGGACGGTACGGTGTATGTCTTGGGGGCATTTGGTTACTTTCGGCGGGATGGTGTCAACTGTAAAAATAATTTTGGTTACAAAAAAAGTTAAACAAACAAACTCCCAAAAAATCTATGCCCTTCTATTTTAGCCCTACACTCATTTCCTTCTTTGTAAAATTGAACACACAAAAAATCGTCCAAAGTCCGTAACAAATTGATATTACTCTAAAACTTCAAGAAAAACTTCAAGAAATTCTTATTTTTTACAGCACATATTTATCTGTGATGCAACAAGCCAGTCAAGCCTTTCTGTTTACTACTTTTTTTTCAATTTTTACTGGCATTCATTAACAAAAAAATCAGTAGACACAAAAATTGGTCATTCCATAATTTTGGGGTCCAATTTTTTCTGTTCCTGTTACATCTGATATAAGATTTTGTAAATTCGGGACACATTTTTTACGGCCTTCTCAGGAGTGATTATGTAAAAGCAAAGTACCTGCTAAACAAGTTTTAAAAAATAGTTTGTAAGCATTTGCAATGATACTTGCATGGCAAATTACATATGTCAGGTGTAACAGGGACTCAAAAAAAAATCACTCTTTTGGACAAAATTTTAGGGAATGACCAAATGCGGATAATCATATTATCACCAAAAAACTATTGCCTTAATATTTGCCTCACTTGTTTATAGAGTGACGATTCATTAGTTCATCAAAAAATAATCAGTCAAAATGGAAGAATCCTAAAAACAATAGATATCTACCAAGAAATGGAACTATTTTACTCACTAATGCCATATGTTGGTTGTATCACAAAAGCTGTTATGAACAGTACAGCTGTAATTGAACACCGATCCATCGTGCCGTCATAAATCCACAACTCCTAAAATGGAAAACACAAAGACATCAAATCAACTCTAAAAAAGTAATGTTGAGCACAGGACACTTTTACATAGACATATGGCAAGTGTATTTCTTACCATATCTAGTGTTGACACCGGTATCACATAATCTGTCCAAATATTTTTCTTAGGTTTTGTTACAAGTTATGTTGACAATCATGTTGAATTCATCATTCTATCAACTTACATTGGTTTCAAATTGTTCTCTAATACTGTCAAGTTGTCATTAAAACACGAAAAGCTGATGAAACTACGCAGGCCTGACAACCTTAACTCAAAGAACATAAATCTCGTCTCTCGTGCCAACAGTAGCTTTTTCGTCACAAAATAAATAGTTTAAACCCGGATAGTTTATCACAACCAGATAAATAAGTACATCAACAGTCCCAGCATGATCATGACAATGCCTAACAGAAACTCAGGAAATACGGCATGGAATCCCATTCCTGTGTTCAAACTTGGACGGAAACTGCTGAACAAATCCTGAAAACAGGAAATCATTTGTTTACAAAAAAAACCTGCTTTTGCATTTGATGAAGTGTAGATCTCCATGGTCCCATGGTTATGGTGTTTGACTCATGTGCCGTGGTACGTGAGTTCGAACCCAGAAGGGGAACATGGTGCTTGTGTTCTTGGGCAAGACACTTTACTACAATTGCCAATCTCCACCCAGGAGTATACATGGGTACCTGTGAAGGCAGAGACCAGAATGCGCTGATCTCGAGCTGCTGCAAAAACTGGTCCCATGGCCTGATGAACAGGGGTAATAATTGTGAAGCGTTTTGAGACCTTCAATTGTATAATGTGCTGTATAAGCACCAAGTTATTAATATTTTTTAAAGTGTTTTTGATGTTATAGGCTTACTATATTTCCATAGGTCTTTTAGTTTTTCTTGACCTTAAATTTGTACATTAAAATTACTAAGATTTGCTGGGCAACAATCAGATTTTGACTTTGATGTTATATTGTGACTATTTTTAATTCGGATTTTCCCTTAACTGTATTAAAAACTAACCAACAAAACAAAAAAAAATATAAAAATTAAAAATGTCGACCAGTCAACTTTGAAATGTATATGAACAGTTTACTTCCAACATGATATCCGTTTGAAAAAAGGGGAAACAGTTGCACATTTATCAAAGTCAAAGGGGTGGCAATCAATATAAGGCCAAAAAAATATATATATTCGGTCTCTGGTCAGACCAAAGTTCCGGAATTGACGCGGCCACGCGGCTTTTTTTTTTTTTTGCTTTTTTTTTTTTTTTTCAAGCTTGGATTGTACAGACAAGGTGGGTACTATTTTGCTTTTTGGGTGTCCTCATGTACATTGGTGTCCTCCATAATTTGCCTTGGTGCTTTCGATCATTTGCCTTGGTGCAATTTCCCATTCCTTGGTGCTCTTTGGTAAAAACAATTGAGGAGGTGCGGAAATAGAGGGCGCTGTTGGAGCTACCGCGGAACGTTTTGGAGAAAAAAAAGATCGACGCGCACGCTGACCAGAGACCGACTTATTATTTTTTTTGGCCTAACAACTGCTTCTTAACTTCATTCTTTTTGCTGAACTGTCTTCTTAAATTGTGCTTAATTTATCAATCTTGAAGATATTGACCTTGGGCAGAGAGAGCAGGATTCTAAAGGAGAACAAAATGACGTTATCTGTTTATCACCTTTTGGACATAAATTCATAAATTCAAAGACACTAGTTGTTTGTCAATTTTCCCAAGGCTAAATAACTTTGTGTCGGGAAAAATACAAAGACATCTGCATTTAAATGGAGATTTACAAAAAACAAAACTCAAATACATGTATTTAACATTCAAAAGGTAGATAATTTATAAATGACAATTTGAACTAAAAAATGGCAAAAAAAGATTCACCCACCTTACTTTTGAGGAATGCTGCCACAGCGACCGAAGTTGAAGGATTGCGTCCACTCAAGTGAAGATTCCGTGAGAGAGCGGGGCTTATGAGATGCAACGCCAGTGTTGCCCCTCAATAAATACTTGTCATTATCAACGATGTGTGACCAGCCGACAGGGTAATCTATCACCAGCTACTGCTGTCATTAACGACTCATTCGTCCAGCCCACATATGCAATTACCATTCCAGCTGTTATTCGGGCTTTGTTTTGGGATGGGGGCGTGACGCAAGACTTGTCAAGTCCTAAATTGAACGTGACTGCAGCAATGACGGATTTCACAAAGGCGATTTCAGGATTTCAATCGTTACACATTTCCACCTGTATCCACTTGGGATTTGAAACACACCTCCTGGCGACAACTTTAATTCCCCCAAATTTGTAGGTACACAGTTCGGTTTGGATGGGTTGGTTTGTAATCTATGACAACAGGCAATAATTGTCAGTCTTTTGCCGGACTGTGCAGGCACGCCGATATGCACTTAATAACATCTCCGAGTTTGGATTATAATTCTACAGAAACTGAACAATGGTGTCTCAAATTACAACTGGCGGTCATCACATCAAGGGGAAACAAAAAACAAAAAAAAGAAAGAAAAGGAATTGTATGAGGTCGAGTGGTTGACCATTGAGTTCGAGTTATCCTACAATTTCGGGCTTTCTTTTTGAATAACAAGAGCTGATTGTTCTGTTCATATAGAGAAGTTTCAAGGGATCATATTCCTTTTGAAAATTTGTTGGAAATTGTGTTGTCTAAGGCAATTAGCAACAGGTAGTTTTATGAAAAAATGCTCGGTACTTAAAAAAATTGGTCTCAAATGTGTAAAAATTTTACATTTGTCAAAAATTTGAAAAATCTCCATCTTAACTTTTATCGTTTCTGACATTTTCAGTGGTCCAAGTAGAAATTTTCTATTTTCCCCATTTATCACACCAAAAAAACCCAACATGGAAACACTTATAGCAAATGGAAACAAATGCCCGAGGCAAAATCCGGGACATTTTTTGCATGAACACAGATCAGCACACATTTATCCATTTGTTGCCATGGGGAAGTCACCCGTTAAAAACGCTTGATGTAATGTACGTTAGTGATGCAGTGTGCGGCGCAGTTAAAACAACAAACAATGTAGTTATTGATTGATTTGATACGACAGAGACTTTGACGCAGAATTGAAATATTAATTTGTTTTTGTTCCCAAAACAAGACACGAGGCATCACAATAAAGATGATGATAAGGTCCCTATGGTGACCACATAAAAGGAAACAGAACATGACAATTAACCTTTAAAGGTTATTTTATTAATAAATTATTGGTTTTGATGGACCACATACATCGCTAATGACATCATTATGATGTCATGAACAAATTTGCAAATGAGTACTACCTGTTGATTGCCTACACTGGGGACACGGACTTTCCATTTATATTGTAGCAGAGGTTCATTACTGCAAAGTAATTGCAAAAATTAACAAATCCTTGGCCTATCATCTTTCGGTAAAAGGGTAGGCGTAGTACTGGATATAAATTGTTCAGTCATTCTTGCAATGAATTATGCAGGAAAGTCACATAAACATGTGCATTAGGGCTGCAAGTGCAAGCTTAAGGGGGAATAAAACATGCTTTAAAAGTTACTCAAAACGGACATGAATTAGTTCTAATCCGGTACCCTTAAAAGCTTATTAATGCAATTTGGTTTTTCTTTGAACTTTAATGGGCTTTGAGGTTCAAGTTAACAGTGTTTTGAAGATTACAGGTTTAAATCCTGCTTTGGTCAAGTTTTATGACTAATCCAAAAAGTTATGGAACAAATTAAGTATGATTTTTGGTTTATTGAACTACAGGAGACATAATACATGTTAGGTACAATGGTACGGATAAGCATGGCATTTGCCGCTCAGTCAGAGTGTGTCATGAGAAAGATATTTGGCTATAGGGCCATCGCAGATTTGTCCTTGGTAAAATTGTAGGTAGAATAACATGCACTGGTAGCCATTTTGAACATTGTTGGTTATTCTACCAACTTTTTTTCAAAGAACAAATCTGTGATGGCCCAAATATCTGCCAAATGTTATGCTTGCATCATCAAATGTGAGGCACAGAATTTCCCCAAATAATTCCCCTTTCTGTCCCACTACAAAACCACTGACCACAAATCCTGGTCAGTGTTGGTCAATAACAACGAAGGCCCACACATCCTGTTTCCATGTGGTCATGGAAACAGATGGACAATTCATTGGGGCCGATTCCATGAAATAAGTTTGTACTGTTTTAAAGCTTCCAAGAATTTGATGAAGCTTTGTCAATTAAAACTAGGCTTAATTGTTACAGAATCACCGACAGCCAAAAAATAAATTAAAAATTGGCACCAGAACGACAGACTTATCGGAGCGACCAACATTAATTCACCGACAGGTTGGTGAAGATATCTTGGTTTCACGGTCTGCATCCCATGTGTGACATTTCTGGTAATTGGACAAGGCGGGTAGTTCAAGATACCTTGACCATTTACCCGAAAATGTTTTAACAGTGCAGGCAGGAATATGTAATTTGAGAAAGAAGGGTGCAGCCATTTTGGGATATTGGTGAAGGGAGGGGAGGGGGGCGAGGGGGGGGGGGGGTTAAAAAACAAGACAAGGCACGCCTGTGAAGCTGGTCCCAGAGTGCCTCAAGTTTTATTTGAGTGATTCATACAGTGTTTAACTTATGTGCCATGGTACATGGGTTCGATGCGTGACTGGGATACATGGTGCTTCTGCCCTTGGGCAAGACAATTTACCACGTTTGCCTCTCTCCACCCAGGAGTATAAACGGGTACCTGTGAGGGTAAAGACCAGATTGCTCTAATCTCGAGCTGCTGCAGAGAAATGGTCTCATGGCCTGATGAACAGGGGTAATAATTTGAGAAGCACCGTGAGACCTTCAATAAAGCACTATAAGCACCTTTATTATTATTATTATTATTATTATTATGATTATTCTACTGAATGCTATAATAGGGGGCGACAGATTATGCTTATCGTGTCTGCACTGTCCCCCTTTTGTGAAAACAACCCTTATTAGGACAAGGAGTTTTATTATTGCAAACCATCTAGATCGATTCCTAGTGGTCCAAAACGTACCTATACCGAATTTCGTGGAGAAAGGATAAGGTAAACTGGGGTTAGGTAATTATTAACTACTTCTGCTACAGTTGTTGGTTGAAAAAGAATGAAAAAAGGGAGAACAATAAATGGGGGGGGGGGGACAAATTGCTCCCAACTTGATTTACCACTTCAACAATTCATTAGCTTCAAATAGGTTATTCCTCTAATGTGGGAAACAGATTATCTTTCAGACTGTTGGGAATTCCCCCAAATCGACTCCAACTGCAATTTTTTAATTAGTTTCTTCCCTTTGCACCACCCGCTGAAAAACTTGACAAACCCATTCACCGTTAATGTGCTAGCCTTGATGAAATTATTATCTCAATCCATCAAGAGCGTTTATTGGAAAAGGTGAGAGTTTGAACTGACATGCGCTGCATCAAGTATTTCATTTCAAAACTGTCTCTTCGAAGACACAAAAACAAAATCCGGGAGCTGATAGATTAACAAACGCACTTTCTTAGAATCAGAATCGTAATTTGAGCTCTGCAACTGACAGCAACATTTAGTCAAGATTTTGCTGACAAGTCCATGGATCTAATCTCGTCAATTTAGCGAAGAACGATTTAACAATCTGATGAATGATTTGTAGAAGCATAAAGCCCCATTACTTGAAATGGCTGTTGTAACAAAAGTGCACGCGGGTGATAACGGTCATGTTACAAAGTCTGTTCAACGTGGATAATTTTTTTAAAATCTTGAACCAGTTGTGGGCACAGGGGGGTCTGTGGGCCTCCCCCCCCCCCTCGAGTGGGGAAAAACAGAAAAAGGGCCAAAAGAAAGCAACGCCTTTGTAACTCCCCCCCCCCCCCCTACAGAGCTACAGTTTGAACCAAATCAAATGCGACAACTTCCTAAATCCTTTTGGGCAAGTCCAAGAAATCATGCAGGCTATCGATATGTCCCATATGGAACAAAAGTTTAACTGTTTTATTTAATTAAGATATCATGAATTTCTGTGTTTTTATTCAACTGTTCAATCAAGGAGAATACCCACAAGAACATTATGTCATTAGTCTTTGAGATGATTATGTAATTAAAGAAAACATGGCATTACATTAAGGACAAAAAGGAGACCTTTTCTTGGACATGTCTCTTTAATTAAAAAAAAAAGTTCAAATGAAAATATTTATTCACACAATTTTGTGTAAAATCGAATCATATTTAAAAAAAAAAGTGTTATAAGGCCGTTGAACTTTTAATAATTTTGAAAAGGTACCTTGAAATTTACTCAAACATGTCAAATTCACGCTCCTCTCCACTTCAATACTCCCGATGAATAATGTTTTTATTTCTACCGCTACACTATACAATGCAAGGTTATTGATTGACCAATAATACATGTAGTTGAAATTTGTACTTGATGTTATTTTCCGCATCATTGTACACGCTGAAATCAGATCAAGACTGCCCCACTTAACATCAAATTGATTTTGCAGAGAAATATGTTCTCTGGTAATATAATTCCCGCCTACAATCTAGGCTGACAGATAGATCATAGGGAAATACACCATTCAACTGTGTTTCGTACATGAACATGTACTGTACATGTACAGCCAAAGATGTGTATCTCTTAATTAGGGCTGTGCATTGGAGCCAGGTACCCGAGTACCAGGTACTCTGATGTCAGGAACCGGTTCCAGATTATGGGACCGGGTACCAGTTACCAACTTTACATATTACTAAGTAACTTCTCCGACCATGAAAAAGAAAGGTTGTGAATTTCATTTGTGGAGAATTTTCAGAATGAAAACCAGGCTACATGGAAAACCGAAACAGATTCACGTTGGTGACGCTTGTGAAAATGCAATTTACACCGTAAGCTATATGTTATTTAGCTACACTATCATGCTGTATTGACACACCGATGTGGTAGTATTATTGTGGGGACCTTTATGAACAATCTGTCCAGCAACTTCCGAGATTTACATTTTGGGGTTGGGTTTCTTTAACAGGTTCTCGGGTACACCCCTATTCTTAATAAGGCCAAATAAATATTTTTGAAGATGGCCGCCAGCTTTTTTTTTTAAATGGCCGTCACCTGGACTCAGGAAATGACATACCAGATATATGGGCTAGATGCAACAGACAAAGAGGCCAAAATGATGTCGCTGTTTAAAATTTATCCTTTTTTTTTCGTTTAAAAAAATTAATAAATAAAACGGAGACGGCTTCCAAAAAGGAATCGGGCGGGGACGCTAAACATGTTTGGTTTTGGCCTAACGTGTTTATTTCACAATATTCCTAACATTTTAAAGACAGTCCAAAATGCTGTGTTTATTTATAAAACTATAAATATAAGTATCGTTTTTGGTATGCGGTAACACCATGTGGTATTAAGTACTGCTCAGTCGCTCAGTGGATGTTTAGTTCTGATAAAAACTTGTCCTGCTTATTATCAACTTTCGCCGAGTACTTTTTAGTTCTGATAAGAACAGTCCTGCTTAGTTCTACAAGAACTTGTCTTTGGTCTCAACGTTTCGACTAGCCTGCTCTAGTCACCGTCAGGAGACTGAGGATCATGTGAACTTATAAATATAAGTTTACATGGTCTTGTGTGTCTGGCAGTCGAACAAAATATACATAAATTTGTATAACTTTGCATAAATTTGCATGAAATTTCCACTCTACAGGAAAGACTTTCAAAAAAGTTAAGAAAATATTTATTAACAAAGTGCTATCAGAAAAGGAATGATCAATTCTATACACAATCTTAATCCAAAAACCACTTTCCTTAATTCAGTACAGAAACCTTTAATATTAGTTTGATACGACAAGAAAGTAATTCCTCCATGATGGCGACAAATGAAAGCAAATAAACAAAAACAAACAAAACAGAATTTCATAATTTACAAACGAAACCAAAAAAAGTGCAAAGTCCTTTTCAAAAGGATCATCTTGTAAAGAAATGCAGTTGGAGGCAATACATAAAAACTATTTCATTCATTTACTTCAAGTTGATTGATTTCTTGCTTTTCTCCTTTATCACGATCGGTCACCATCTCTATACCTTCGTCAGGACAAAACTTATTTCAGATATCAAGCTCAATAATAAAACAAGGCATTTCTTCCTTTTTAATTAAATCTTTTACAACAAAGAAATTTTTTAGTCCAACAAAATCATCTGTCATCATCTTTCTGACAAATTACCGGCATCGCCCGATTCATTGCGACAATTTTTTGTCGCGTTTAGTCCTTGCCTGCTTTTAAGAATTGACAGCGCGTGATCGATATCGAGTTCCGAAACCTGCAAAAACATGAAAAATTACAACCGTTGGATTTTAAGTTAGTCTCGATGATGTTGCCTCTGTAGTTAGGAGGTACACCTACTTAGAGCATTAGATTATGTTGCTGTGCGGCAAAACTTGGAAGAAATGTGGGTACTTACCAGAGTGTGATCGTTCAGAAACGTACTGATATAGTACATGGGTATATTCTTCTCTGCTAACGGTTCAGAGATCTGAGCGGCTATACCACTCTCATCTGGGGAAATAAAGGAAAAATGTAACCAAAGAAATATTAATTTTCGATGATGGAAATACCTGACAGGCAATTATGTAAATGTAGAACATGACCAGTTTTTATGAATAATCCAAAAGACTAGAGGCTTGCATTTGTCATGGTCTTTGTAACAAACTTTAGGTGCATGGGGTGCAGAACCATTTTGACTTTAGCCCTGGAAGTAAAGGTCAAGCGACTTCATGTACACGACAAAAATGTTTATTGAGGCATGGTCTATCAGATAACAAAGAATGAGCATGATTCTTCGTTTTTTCATGAGTTACGGTTGAAACAAAAAGGTCACTTTTTTTTAAGTAAAATCACTTGTAATTTGATACCTGATGACGCTATCATGACATCACACTTGTATGCATACCTCTGTATCAGGATTAATGTTCATGCCAATTTTGAAGTTCATGCGTTTTTAAACAAAAGCTGCGGAGAATTATTGTCCAGAAAAGGAATACAAATTATTCAGAGAAATCTTAGCAATCTTCTGCATTTACTAGTGCCATGTAAGGACCACTATTCTATAAACAAGCTCACTCCTACTCCCACCCAAAAATATTCAGAAATTGCTTTTTAATCTTCTACACAGCAAAACTTAGTAAATAAACAAATCCTGATTATTAAACATGTCAAGGAAACAGACAGTTGACAGCGAGCGCTTACCGAACCCCAGCGGAAGGTTGCCGATCTTGATCATTCTCCAATATTCCTCTGCTCCGGTGCAAACGCTGCCGGCGGGAAATCTAGAAATGTAAAAATAAACAAAAGTTGACAAGGTGAGAAAATTCAGACGGCGGAGGTTTGATGCAGGAACAGAAATAAAATTGTGAAAAAGGCAAGAACGTGTTTTGCTCATGTTTTCTTGAATATCTCTTGAAGCTGGTCATCTTACGTCTGGTCGTTTCAAACTGTTTTACCCCAAACTGTCCAAAGAAGGTTTTTCACATACATTTCCAAAACAACGGAACTCGGTGGTGCATTTAACCAGAAGAATGCAATCAAGATATCAATAGAAAGCTTACGGCCCCTAGTTTATGATAAAACCATAATAATGCTCAAAGTTATAGTTTGGTTATACTCGGGGAACTGCCAGTAAAGTGAAATCTAGCCCCACAAATGTGGCCAATTTTATACTGGACTACCTCCGTAAATAAAGGCCACACTTGGAACATGTATCCGAAAATGAAGGACTTGGTCAAGTTTTGATTTTCATATTAAGACTTTGTCTGTAGTTTGTATGCTTTAGAAGTACACTCGCCCTCTTATAGTTATAGAAAGGAAGTTCGGCACTTTCCCAGGTTCCTTTGCACACCTTTGCATATCTAAATTCCAACATGAAATAACACCAAAAAAATAGACGTCTGAAACATGCTAGCCCCATAAATATTGCCAATTAACTGGACCTCCTCCGTAAATAAAGGCCACACTTCCACCATGTACAAAAACATGTCAAACTTTGTCAAATTTTGATTTTCACATTAAGGCTTAGTTTCAATGTAGTTTATTTTTGCTTTACTCACTCTCATTATAGGCTAATCAGAAAGTGCTGCCTTTTTCAGATGTCTAATTTTCGTGAAATTTCATGTTGAAATTTTGATACGCAAACATGTGCAAACGAATCAAGAAATTTAATGAAAAATAGACATCTGAAAAAGGCAGCACTTTCTGATTAGCCTATAATGAGGGTGAGCATGCTTCTAAAGCAAAAATAAACTACAAACTAAGCCTAAATTTGAAAATCAAAATTTGACAAAGTTCGACATGTTTTTGTACATGGTGGAAGTGTGGCCTTTATTTACGGAGGAAGTCCAGTAAATTGGCCACATTTATGGGGCTAGAAAAATGCCAGACTTCTTGTCTATTGCTATTAAGAGGGCGAGTGTGCTTCTAAAGCGTAAACAAACGACAAATATAGTTTAAATATGAAAATCAAAACTTGACAAAGTTCTACATTTTGGGGTACATGTTCCAAGTGTGGCCTTTATTAACGGAGGTAGTCCAGTAAATTGGCCACATTTATGGGGCTATTATGAGAAGTAAAAAAAAAACAGGGAAATCAGCAGATCCAAGGAAAAGTTGCATGCCTAAATCAAAAAGTAAAGTAAAATGAACGAGCATGGCTGCCATGGGGCACAGGGCACATGAATGCATGTAAAAGAATAACTTACATACGACACCAATAAGTTGGCAACTGAAGTTGGGTTACAATTCAAGCCATCGTAGCAGATCCAAAAGTAAAAGAAATCAAGCTCAGAGAGACATGCCTCTCCTACCACACCCAGTCCTAAATCCTCAGTGGGCAACATGTGCTCAGGGTTTTATACCACTACTGCTAGCCCAGTACTTTTCCACTGAATTAGAATGCAAGGTAAGAAATTTATGCAAATAATTAAGAGCAACAACTGCCTTAATCCAGTGACCTGCTTTTGGAGAGCCCCAACTAAGCCATGAATTGTACTAAATGTGCTCAATTGAATAAAAGGTCAGACTAGTAAAGGAACAATTGGCTTGGCCAGCTGGTGGAATTTCTAATGTACATGCCCACTCTGGTATGTCTAGTGAATGACTTTTCTGCTGGCAAGATTATCAATGGGACTACAAATTATTCCATAATCTGACAAATTAAAGTGATTTTCACTACAATATATATTAGGCCCCCCTGAAAAAAGAGTTCTGCTTCTGGTTTATACCCTACCTACTCTATTTTGACAGCCCCTACCCTTTTTTTGTTTTGGAGACAAATTAGGAAAAAACCCTGAAACTATCAATTACTACATTTTACCCTTGACTACATGCAGACAGCTCCATATGATCGTGCACAAACAAAATTGCAAAAAAATAAAACATTTCCCTACCTACCTACCCTATTTTCAAATGCCATGTTATGCCAATGATTATTTTCTTTTTTAAGCCTTACACACATCTGCCGATATGCCAACCATTATAGCCCCGCCTCCTTATGTTTTGACCAATCACAGTTGTCATTATGCCCGACATGCATGCAGAAATGTCCAACATGCATGACTCACATATCATGCACACGTTTGAAACATGCAGTAAAGTATGTTCAGAACTATTTCTATTTCGGAACGTGTGGTGCTACATCATTATTACCCCTGCTCACCGGGCCAATGAAACATTCCAAAGACAATCTCGGCTCCCTGGGGAGTATGCAGCTCAATGCTGCCATTTTGGTGCAAATCAGCTAAACTAAATCACAGTAACCATCTCTGCCCTCGCAGGTATCCATTTACTCCTGGGTGGGAGAGGCAATTTGTGAAAAGTGCGTTGCCCAAGGACACACGCACCATATCCCCAGGCTGGACTCAAACCCACAACCTGCAGAATTGACATATCGCGGTAGAATCGCGTCAATGCAGCTTGTGAAATATTGTCGAAATACATGATACACAAATGGACGCGAAACGCGCAAAATCTGAGACAAAGTTTAGTGTACAAAATGCCATAGGGTTGTCTAAGGGGCGTGGCTAACTTGCAAACAGCGATAGGTCAATTACTGGAAGACTTTGGATTCTATACCACACAAGAGCACGGAACTCTATATAAAATCCACTTTCCATATCTTTGAGGTACTTCCAACAACACACAGACAAACAAACAGTGCGAGTGACTTACAATGCTAACGATTCTGTGTCCACAACCAGTGATATCCGATCACTGATGATGGACAGCGATAAAAACCGCTCGTGCCCATCCTTCGGCGCAGGAAGAAAACTGAAAATGAAAAGAAAAATTTTTAATAACAAATAATGTCAAATTAAGAAATTTCATTTAGCATGAAGCTTATCGTGATGAAACTCTACGACTGTTACCTGTCTGAATAAAACATGAGTTGCAGCAGTGTGATGGCTATGTGTGACAGAAGTTCAGGCTGCAGACTCGTCATCAGGAAACGGTTGTCTGGACTTCGGAAGGAATGCACAATGGGTCTTGGTGATTCTGTGTTACAAAGGAAAGACCAAAAAGCTTTTGACATTAAAAAAAAGAGCCTATTTCAGTGGAAAGTGATTATGATTCGACTTATGACCGACTTGTGATTTGACCTGTAATTGGCTTGTGATGACTTGAGATTGACTTGTGACTGATAATGACGTGTCTTAAGACAACATTCTTACTTGGTTCTGTAGGCATCTGAAGAACTGCATCCTTTGATTCTTCTGACGCAACTGGAAACAACTCGCCCTCTGAATTCTCTCGGAATATTGCAAAGTGCGGCCGCAGACACTGCACAACCTGATCATATTGTGTATCCTTCACCTGGGGCAAAGGAACAATTCAAATCATAACTCCTAAACAGAAATTGCCAAATTCAGTGGAACAAAGGAAATTGAACCCTAAACCTCCAGATACTTTGTCTAAAACCCTCTCAAACTTACCAACATGCAGCACTTGCCAAAATGACAAGCCTGCTCAGTGTAGCAAAATCCATCAGGTCAAAAGTCCCAAGGCCAAACTGCCTCAGAGTGTGTGGTCACCGAATGCAGCAGGATACAACTGTGGCATTGTTCAATGGGATTAGCTCTCATTGTTTCAGACGAATTGGCCGTTTATGCACTGGTGTTGATGGCTAATGCAGCAAGGTCCCACAGACTTTTACACCTGATGCACTGTGTTGCATGTGGCAGAGTTAAGGTAAATGTACACTCACTACGGCCAAACCAAACTATGAGGCTAATGAAAGAGTCAGGTTGGAGCAGTGGTTACTGTCCTCGCCTTCCACCGAGGTGGCCCGGGTTCGATTCCGCTCCTGGTCCAAAGTGGATTGGGTTTCAGTCCCTACCTGATTCCGTGGGTTTCCCCCAGAATGTTCTTCTGGGGTTTTCCTCCCACCTCTAAACCTGTAATTTCTTCTCATTGTCTTCTCTCTAGACAGGTTTTTTTCAGGCTTACTAGCTACAGTGCCTGGAACGCTTTTGAGGGATCCTTGGTTACACGACCAGAAATAAATAAATTAAAATTTTAAAAAACTGCACCTACGAATATGAAATCTGTCTGATACGTGGACAGGCTGAAGATGGAAATGTTCTTGTCAGCGAGGAGCATGACGAGAGACTTGGTTGTCTTGGTGAGCCCAGCGTTGCCATCAGCGTCTGTGGGACTCGGTATGGCGTTAAGGACAAGCCACATTGTGGGCTGTACCATTAATTCAGTTCTACAGGGGAGCTCTGAGGGGAAATAAAACAGAGAAAATTTCAGGTTTTTGCCAATCCCAGAGGACCAACCTAGTGTTCGGTTTGTACCGATTTTAAGGCCCGTCTCAAATCATACATGGGACGAGTTCCAGACAAGTTGTGGGTAGAATCATTCACTTTGTCCGGAAGAAGCTCTGCATTTGTCCCGGACATGTTCCGGGGAAATTTTCATTGGCAACTGCTTGACTCACCAATACTGATAGCTTCATTGCGGGAAGATTGCAGGGAAGTTGCTCACAATCCTGCAACTTATACCACATACTAACACTCCAGTGTTTATTGTTATCACAGTTACTTTAATAGTGTCATCATTTTGTATAAGTGGCTTAAGCTGTGGTTTTTGCAGAGTCCGCTATATGTAAATTAGGTAGTTGCCCACTGGGTTGTAATAGGATTACAAAACCACACTGTAACGACTTTGTACATGGTCCTAGCTCTATGGTTCTATAGAGCAAAGAGCAAGTTCCTAGCCCTATGGTAATTCTTTGGGGATTCAGCTATAAAAGGGGTTAGATTTGGTATGTTATGGTTTATCAATGTGATGTGAGAGATGTCATCACAGGTCTGTATATAGTAGATTAGTTGAATAACATGAAGTCTGGAACTTCATTGAAACTGTGAGCCTTGAAGTGTTACACCTGTGGACATTTCACTTCAGTGTTATGTGATAATTGATTCTCCAAGACTGTGGCCTACAATCGCAGGGCTTGACGTCGGCCCGATCGCGCTACCCGGGATTGACCGACGAGTGGACTGAACTTAACCAAATTGACGCCGTAACCGATTAATATGGTCGCTATGCATAAGGTCTATAGCCATTCTGAATCAATTTGAGCTTTATAAAGTTTGTCTTGTCTTGATTCTCGATCGCCTCATGACACTCACCGCTGAAGCCCTGCTCGTCAACGATAAAGGAAAAATCGTCACAGGTTTCTGTGAAACTGAAAAACTTGCAGCTGTGAAAGAAACAAATTTACATGCACCAATAATTCAACTGTCAATTTTCATCAATGCTCACGGCTTAAGCCCGGTTCATACTTCTCGCGAAAGCATGTGCGAAGCGAAATTCATGTCGTCAACAATGGTGGACGCCCTTCGAATGTATTGTTGACGTTCACGTGAAGTATGAACCGGGCTTTATAACTGTAAAATACAAAATACTGGTGCTTGTACACAAAACATGTACAAGCAACGAAAACAGGAACAGATAATTTCAAGATGCGTACTGGAACGATGGGTACAAGGGTACACCCCAGTATGTGGACCAAAAATGTGTCCATCGAGTTCATGAATGAAAGTTCAAATTAGAGAGTTCTGCGCCCATGGATTTGGGGAATGCACCGCACCTCTGGCATGGACTTAAGGCTTCCAATTCTGAGCATTTTGGATGGTTGGGTCTGAATGGGCGCTATTTAGCCATGTTGTGGAGGGATCCTTTTTCAAAATGGCTACTTTTCCAGTTTGGGAAACATCATTCGTTTTAGGGGTGGTCTTCTTTGGGTGAGAATTTCTCCAAAAAGTCAATGGTCAACCCACGAAAAATTGAAAAGAAAATGAAAGCCACATGTTGATCATCATTTTTAGTCTGGACACCTGTGTGAGAGTTCTGAGTTTTTTTTAAAGATTTTGAAGTATGGGGACTTATCACTGGTGTCAATGAGATTTTTTACCCTGGGGTATGTGAACCCCTTATGCGCTTAAATAACTAGCACTGGGAGACGATATGTGTGTATTTCCAAATAATGGGCCTTATTCACAAGTCCGTCATATGGAATTGAAAGTGAAGTAAAAATCTTCATTTTTGAAACTTGCGAAGAAAAATGAAAGCAAGTATACTCATTAATTCAAGTCTGCTTCAATTTGTAATGAAACGTTCCCCAATGTTTTAAATACATTCAGGGAACTCAACAAAAATGGCCGGGTACTCTATACAGTTACCGGCCTGTCAATAGAGGGTGGTATATATATTTAGCAGTGACACATTTATTTCATCTCCTTGGTTTTTTTAAGTGTCAATAAATCAAGTTCAGATAACATAGTCTGAGTTCTTTGAAGTGTAGTGTCCAGTCACTTCAGAATTATGTTCTCTGCATAATTATTAACTAAACATTGAGAGGAACAAAATGTTCATTTGAAGCTCAAGTTGTGAAAGAGTTCTGTGATACGATTATGCTTGCGAAATTGCAACCATTCAGTATTTGGAAAGGCACTTTTAGATCTTTTCCTTTGTTTTTAGCAAACAAGAAGAAGTAATATCGCAGTCAAAAGTAGATTATTCTGCCACAGAATTATTATTTACCAGGATTATTCGGCCCTTAGGTGTACAATCACTTTCTTTTTTTTCCTTATTTTTTTTGTATTTCCAAGATGACTGTGTACTTGGCCCAGTTACTGGCCCGTCAATAGAGGGCAGTACATATATTTAACAGGGCACCATGTTCTAAAAAAAAAAAGATTATCCTACTGAATTTTCAATGTTTCCACAAAAATCTAAAAAATACTTTTTTCCAATTTTGGGTGTCTTCAACAGTCTACAAACTCTCAACTACAGACTGCTTGGAGTGACCAATAGTTTAAAGTTGCAACTTTGGGCAAGTTGGGCATAACAAATCCAGGGCCTACCATGTGTGTTGGTGCAACAGTGTCAGCCTTATCAGCGAATGCGAAAACAGGCCAATGTCTTTTTTCTGGATGGACGCGATGTGAAGTCGATGCGGCAATATGTGGAGTTCCATGCTGTCGATTTATACACCGCTGTCAAGAAAGTAGACATAGCACAATTTATGAATCAAATTAAAAAGACAAGATATGTGCAAAATGTAAGAAAATTGGAGGTAGCAAAAACGAACCCGGAGGGAATGAAAAAAAACTGGTGTATTTTTTACAAAGGCCTAAAGCAGATGATACTTGATAAATGTTATGAAACAAAATTTCAAACAAAACCTTAAAACGACAAACACATCATGTTGGGTATGACAAGCGAGTAATCTTGTGTGGGCAGTTAACGAGTAAAATGTTTTGTTTTTTCCTTTAGTATTTACTTAATATTCCCCACATTAATTAACCCACCAAAACCTGTGATTTTAGTGTGAAATACTTTGAAGTTTTGACCTAAATTAAATAAGTAGGACGAGGCCCCTAAATTGTGTTAAAACATATATAGTCCATTTTCCAGACCTGGAATGTCCTAGTACTAGTTAAATATCAAGGCTCTGGGCACGATTGTGATTGGTCAATGTAAGTCACTGCAAGCTTGAAATCGTGATCCTGATTGGTCAGTATTCAGGTATTGGCAGGCAACTGCCCATACCTGCATACAGTGTACATGTACATGACTGAACTGCAACTAGGCTAGGGTCGGGGTTCCGTAATAATTTAACAGTTCTGATATATTCTTTAGAAACTATTTAAAATATTCATTTCACACAAGACCTACCAGTGGTATGTATCACACAAGCTCCGAGTTATATGCACTGATGATGTACAATAAATCGACAACACAATTTTATGTTGACATTCAACACACACGTGTTTGGATGGTCAATGTCTCCACGATATCGACAGAGGGCGCTATTACACAAATACAGTCACGGAACTGGCATGAAACAATTCGGTCAATTCCAGACGATAAATCGAGAAATACCTGTTGTATTGAATTGAAATTTCGTCTAGAGATTGGTTATAATATATTACACATTTCACTCGAAACAAGTACGAAACAATAACCAAACGATGTAGTGATTTAAGCGCGAAAACTACAAGCCGAATTGAATTATCTTTCTATTTAAGAGGGCGCGCTACACAAATAACGGTTGCACCGCAATGAACTTTTGTCACCGCCAAGAAAAACCTGCCTACAAAAACAACCCCTTTTTTCCCGGACGATAACTCACAAAATTCCATCTGTATTTGATTGACACTTTGTCTATTGATTTGTGGTTACATATTACACATTTCTCTTGAATATTCAAAGAAATTGTCAAACAATAACAATAATAGAATCAAAAAAATGTAGTGTGTTTGGCGCGAAAAATACAGAGAATCCGAATTATCTTAAACTGTCATGCATCAAAAATAACACGCTCGTTTTCCGGACGATAACTCGAAAAATACTCAAGGTACCGAATTGAAATTTTATCTCGTGATTGGCCGTTACATCATACACATTTCTCCTGAATTTTGAGAGAATTCGTCCAACAGTACAGATTAATAGAACCCAAACAATGTAGTGTGTTAAGCGCGAAAATTAAAGTCGAATTAAAGCCAATATTCTTTCAAAAGAGGGCGCGCTTCACAAATAGTGGTCGCCACCATAAAGAACTTTTGTCACCACAGAGATAGTCCTGCCTACAAAAACAACACACTCGTTTTCCGGACGTTAACTCAAGAAATACGTTTTGTACGAAATTGAGATTTTGTCCAATGATTGCTTGTAATATATTATACATTTCTCCTCAATATTGGAAGAATTCGTCAAACAATAAAACCACAAAATGTAGTGTGTAAAACGCGAAAACTACAGCGAATCCGAATTATCGTAAACTGTCTTGGAACAAAAACAACACGCTCGTTTTCCGGACGATAACTAAAAAAAATACTCAAGGTACCGAATTGAAATTTCATCTCGTGATTGGTCGTTACATCATACACATTTCTCCTGAATTTTGAGAGAATTTATCCAACAGTACAGATAAAAGAACCCAAACAATGTAGTGTGTTAAGCGCGAAAATTAACGAGTCGAATAAAAGCCAGTATTCTGTCAAAAGAGGGCGCGCTTCACAAATAGTGGTCACCATGCCGCACCGTGACCACGGAGAAAGTCCTGCCTTAACACTTCTTTTTCGGACGATAACTCGAGAAAGACCTTTGGTATCAAATTGAAACTTCCTCTCGTGATTAGTCGTAGCATAAGACACATTTCTCTGGAATTTTGAGAGAATTTGTCCGACAGCACAAATAATAGAACCAAAACAATGTAGTGTGTTAAGCGCGAGAAATACAGCGAATCCGAATTATCGTAAAATTTCATAGTACAAAAAATAACACGCTCGTTTTCTAGGCGATAACGCAAGAAAGACCTTTGGTATCAAATTGGAAATTCGTCTCGTGATTAAGCATTTTATAATAAATATTTCCCTTGAATTACGAGAGGGAATTTGCCAAACAGCACAAATAATAGAACCAAAACAATGTAGTGTGTTAAGCGCAAGAAATACAGCGAATCCGAATTATCGTAAAATTTCATGGAACAAAAACAAAACAGACGATAACCCAAAAAATACTCATGGTATCAAATTGAAACTCTGTCTCATGATTAGTCGTTGCATAAAACACATTGCCATTGAATTTTAAGAGAATTCGTCCAACAACACAAACAATAGAACCAAAATAATGTCGTGTGTTAAGCGCGAAAAATAACGAGTCGAATTAAAGCCAATATTCTTTCAAAAGAGGGCGCGCTTCACAAATAGTGGTCGCCAGAACAATGTAGTGTGCATGTTAAGCGCGAAAAATAACGAGTCCAATTATAACCAATATTCTTTCAAAAGAGTTATAGGCCCCATTAATTTTTGAGATAGCATGTCACCTTGGACTATCGTTCCTGTGCAAAAGTGAGGCAAATGTTCTGTTTGGACTGCCACTGCAGCCCATCGCCAAGTTTTGCTACGTGTCGCGACACAAGACACTATTTAGGGAGAGAAAACAATATTTGTTTAAATCTTCTGTATATTTTGTCTTCTTTCCGTGACCAATCATCTGGCCAAAAATCAATTCAATGCTCCCATTAATTTTTGAGATAGCATGTCGTGGTGGACTATCGTTCCTGTGCAAAAGTGAGGCAAATGTTCTGTTTGGACTGCCACTGCAGCCCATCGCCAAGTATTGCTACGGGTCGCGACACAAGACACTGTTTAGGGAGAGAAAAACAATATTTCGTTTAAATCTTCTGTATATTTTGTCTTCTTTTCGTGACCAATCATCTGGCCAAAATTCAATTCCATGCTCCAATTAATTTTTGAGATAGCATGACCTCTTGCACTATCGTTCCTGTGCAAAAGTAAGGCAAATGTTCTATTTGGACTGCCACTGCAGCCCATCGCCAAGTTTTGCTACGTGTCGCGACACAAGACACTGTTTAGGGAGAGAAAAACAATATTTCGTTTAAATCTTCTGTATATTTTGTCTTCTTTTCGTGACCAATCATCTGGCCAAAATTCAATTCAATGCTCCAATTAATTTTTGAGATAGCATGTTCGCTAAGCGCGAAAAATAGTGAGTCGAATTAAAGTCAATGTTCTTTCACAAGAGGGCGCGCTTCACAATTAGTGGTCGCCAACGTAAAGAATTTTTGTCACCACGGAGAAAGTCCTGCCTACAAAAACAACTTTCTCGTTTTCCGGACGATAACTCAAGAAATACGTTTTGTACGGAATTGAAATTTTGTCAAATAATTGGTCATTACACATTATACATTTCTCTTGAATATCGAGAGAATTCGTCGAACAATAAGAATAATAGAACAAAAAATATTTAGTGTGTTTGGCGCGAAAAATACAGCGAATCCGAATTATCGTAAACTTTCATGGGACAAAAACATCATGCTCGTTTTCCAGAAGATAACCCCAGAAATTCTCATCGTATGGAATTGAAATTTCGTCTCATGATTGATCGTTACATTATACATTGCTCTTGACGATCAAGAGAATTCGTCAAACCATAGCGATAACAAAAATAGAAGCAAAATTGCGAATCCAAGTCGTAACTTTCCATGGAACAAAAACAACATGCTCGTTTCCGGACGATTACTCAGGAAAGACCTTTTGTATCAAATTGAAACCTCGTCTCGTGATTAAACGTTACACTATACACATTTCTCTTGAATTTTGAGAGAATTCGTCCAGCGCCAAAAATAACGCGTCGAATTATTAAAAAGCCGATTTTTTTCTTTCAAAAGAGGGCGCGCTTCACAAATAGTGGTCACCGGCCGTAAAGAACTTTTGTCACCACGGAGAAAGTCCTGCCTACCAAAACAACTCACTTGTTCCGGACGATCAAGTAATACGTTTTGAACGGAATTGAAATTTTGTCCAATGATTGGTCTTAATATATTATACATTTCTCTTGAGTATTGAGAGAATTCGTCAACCAACAACAATAATATAACCGAAACATTTGAGTGTGTTTGGCGCGAAACATACAGCGAATCGGAATTATCGTAAACTTTCGTGGAACAAAAACATCGCGCTCGTTTTCCGGACGATAACCCCAAAAATACTCATAGTATGGAATTGAAGTTTCGTCTCATGATTGGTCGTTACATCAACACATTTTGCCTGAAATTTGAGAGAATTCATCCAACAGTACAAATAATAGAACCGAAACAATGTAGTGTGTTAAGGGCGAAAAATAACGAGTCGAATTAAAGTCGATGTTCTTTCAAAAGAGGGCGCGCTTCACAAATAGTGGTCGACACCGTAAACAAATTTTGTCGCCACGGAGAAAACCCTGCCTAAAAAAATAATCCCCTTTTCCGGACAATAATAGAAAAAATACCAGCTGTATTTGATTATCATTTTTATCTATTAATTGGTGGTGACATAATACACATTTCTCTTGAACATCGAGAGAATTTGTCAAACAAGAATCGTAGTTCCATGGTTCTATTATGGGGCTACCAATGTACGGCTAGTGTGTTAAAATACACCGAATCCGTATATAGTCCAGTGTCATGGAAAATAACCATTAAAATGTTTTAAGACAACAGTTATTTCTTGAGTTATGGTCCAAAGAGCGAGTTTGTCGAAGGTTTCTCTATTTTCGTTAAAGCGGCAGCTATATTCACCGGCGCGGCACTGTTAGTTTGTGTCTTGGTAGCGCTAGCCCGTTAAGTGCTCAACTTTTTTTTCTTGAATTTTACCCTTTGTCTTTGAAACAACATAAGCAATCAACGGACGAAATTCTAATGTCATGCAACAGATATTTCGTGAGTTATTGGCTCCACAACGAGTGCGATTTTGATAAATGATATTTTGCATGCATGGCTATACTTGACCTGTAGAGGGCGCACATCCAAAACTACGGTCTCAACTTTTCACGCCGATGTCGGACGCGCTGTTGTTTTGGATACATACACTTTTTTGACCAGCGATATTTGACCCACCATTCTTCATGATATTTAAGAAGCTTCTTTCAGACATAACAGGTAATCAACGACAACATTGTAATGATAATTTAAATGATTATGTTTTTTTCACAAACATGACAAAGCGTGTACTGAGTTCGAATTAAATATTTCCCGCTGAAAACACTCTATTTTTGGATCTTATCAACTTAAATGGTTGATAACACTGATTGTTAAAACTAACGGGCTACTTTGCGACATTACAAGCATTAAAGTTGTCCGTGATTTGGGGGACAAAGCTGTCCGGGGACTCAGTTCGGGAACTCGCCCGCTCGCGGAAGGCATTGTTTACGTTTTTGCAGACAAAACCTGACCATGGAGAAATAAAACACTCTAGTTAAGACTCACCTCAAAAGACAAATTAGTTATTAAGTTTGAAAGAAAATAGACTTCAATTCAACTTGTATTCTTCACAGTAATTGAGTAATTGTCCGGAAACGAGTGTACCGCTGTTTTTTTAAAAGTTATTTACGGTGGCGACCACTATTTGTGAAGCGCGCCCTCTTTTGAAAGAATATTGGCTTCAATTCGACTTCAATTTTTTCGCGCTTAACGCACTACATTGTTTTGGTTCTATTATTTGTATTGTTGGACGAATTCTCTCAAAATTCACAAGAAATGTGTTTGATGTAATGACCAATCACGAGACAAAATTTCAATTTGATACCAAGAGTGTTTTTTTAGTTATCGTCCGGAAAACAAGTGTGTTATTTTTGTTCCATGAAAGTTTACGATGATTCGGATTCGCTGTATTTGTTCACGCTTAACACTTCACTTCGTTTGTTTCTATTATTGTTATTGTTTTACGAATTCTCCCGAGATTCAAAGGAAATGTAGAGTATATTACGATCAATCATTGGACAAAATTTCAATTCAATACAAAATGTATTTCTTGAGTTATCGTCCGGAAAACGAGTGTGCTGTTTTTGTAGGCAGGACTTTCTCCGTGGTGACAAAAGTTGTTGTGCCGACCACTATTTGTGAAGCGCGCCCTCTTTTGAAAGAATATTGGCTCAATTCGACTTAGTTAGTTTTCGCGCATAATACACGACAATGTTTTGGTTCTATTATTTGTGTTGTTGGACGAATTCTCTCAAAATTCACAAGAAATGTGTTTGATGTAATGACCAATAATAAGACGAAATTTTAATTCGATACCATGAGTATATTTTTAGTTATCGTGCGGAAAACGAGTGTGTTGTTTTTCTTTCCATGAAAGTTGACCAATATTTCGGATGCGCTGTATTTTTTTGCGCTTAATATACTTCATTTTTTTTGGAAGGGGGCCCATTATTGTTATTGTTTGACAAATTCTCTCTATATTCAAGAAATGTATAATACTTTACGACCAATCATTGGACAAAATATCAATTAACTATCGTTCCTGTGCAAAAGTGAGGCAAATGTTCTGTTTGGACTGCCACTGCAGCCCATCGCCAAGTTGTTCTCCGTGTCGCGACACAAGACACTGTTTAGGGAGAGAAAAACAATATTTTGTTTAAATCTTCTGTCTAGTTTGTCTTCTTTTCATGACCAATCATCTGGCTACAAATCAATTCAATGCTCTAAATAATTTTTTGAGATAGCGTGTAGACGTGGACTATCGTTCCTGTGCAAAAGTGAGGCAAATGTTCTGTTTGGACTGCCACTGCAGCCCATCGCCAAGTTGTTCTCCGTGTCGCGACACAAGACACTGTTTAGGGAGAGAAAAACAATATTTCGTTTAAATCTACTGTCTAGTTTGTCTTCTTTTCATGAACAAGCATCTGGCAACAATTCAATTCAATGCTGCAATTTATTTTTGAGATAGCTTGTAGACGTGGACTATCGTTCCTAACACACTACATTGTTTGTATTATCGGACAAATTCTCTCAAAATTCACAAGAAATGTGTTTGATGTAATGACCAATCACAAGACGAAATTTTAATTTGATACCAAGAGTTTTTTTGAGTTATCGTCCGGAAAACGAGTATGTTGTTTTTGTTACATGAAGGTTGACTATAATTCGGATTCCCTGTATTTTTTTTCGCGCTAAATACACTACATTTTTGGGGGTTCTATTATTGTTATTGGTATACGAATTCTCTCGATATTCAAGAGAAATGTAGAGAATATTACGATCAATCAGTTTACAAAATTTCAATTCACTACAAAATGTAGTTTCTTTAGTTATCTTCCGGAAAACGCGTGTGCTGTTTTTGTTGGCAGGACTTTCTCCGTACTGTGACAAAAGTTCTTGGGCCGACCACTATTTGTTAAGCGCGCCCTCTTTTGAAAGAATATTGGCAAAATTCGACTTGTTATTTTTCGCGCACAACACACTACATTATTTGGGTTCTATTATTTGAATTGTTGGACGAAATCCCTCGAAATTCTGGAGAAATGTGTATTATGAAACGACTAATCACGAGACGAAATTTCAATTTGATACCATTTATATTTCTAAACGAGTGTGTTGTTTGTCTTTCCATGAAAGTTGACCAGTAATTCGGATTCGCTGTATTTTTCGCGCTTAACATACTTCATTTTTGGGGGTTCTATTATTGTTATTGGTTGACGAATTCTCTTGATATTCAAGAGAAATGTATTATATATTACGACCAACCATAAGACAAAATATCAAATCCGTACAAAATATATTTACTGAGTTATCGTTCGGAAAACGAGTGTGCTGTTTTTTTACGCAGGTTTTTTTCTCCGTGGTGACGAAAAGAAAATTAACGGTGGCGACCACTATTTGTGTAGCGCGCCCTCTGTTGAAAAAAATATTGGCTTCAATTCGACTTCAATTTTTTCGCGCGTAACACACTACATTGTTTTGGTTCTATTATTTCTATGGTTCAACGAATTCTCTCCTAATTCAGAAGAAATGTGTATTATGTAACGACCAATCACGAGGCGGAATTTCAGTTAGATACAAAATGTGGTTTTTTTTAGTTATCGTTCCATGAAAGCTAGTTGACTATAATTCAAATGCGCTGTATTTTTCGCGCTTGACACGTTACATTTTCTGTGTTGTATTATTGTTAGTGCTTGACGAATTCTCTCGATATTAAAAAAAAATGTAAAATATATTACGACCAATCATTTGACAAAATTTCAATTCCGTGCAAAATGTATTTCTTGAGTTATCGTCCGGAAAACGAGTGTGTTGTTTTTGTAGGCAGGTTTTCTCCCTGGCGACAAAAGTGCTTTAAGGTGGCGACCACTATTTGTGAAGCGCGCCCTCTTTTGAAAGAATATTAACTTAAATTCGAGTTGTTATTTTCGCGCTTAACACACGACATTGTTTTGGTTCTATTATTTGTGTTTTTAGACGAATCCTCTCAACATTCAGAGGCAATGTGTATTATGTAACGACCAATCGAGAGACGAAATTTCAATTCGATACCGTGAGTATTTTTTGAGTTATCGTCCGCAAAACGAGTGTGTTGTTTTCAAGTTGTTCCATGAAAATTTACATGCAAATTCTGATCGTATTTTTTCGCACTTTATTCAACCATAAACAACACGCCCGTTGCCCAAATGTTGTACGATATTGACATTTTGTCTGTTGATTACTTGTGAAGCTTTAAAAACGGCGTTTGAATAACAAGCAAAGTTAACTTTGTTGAACCGTTAGTTTGGACGTGCGCCCTCTCAAGACCACTTACGGCCAGCCATGCATGCAAAATAAATACAGTCTGTCAATAGAGGTCGCCCTTGCGAACACCGCTAACACACTGCTGCCATTCATGCTATTTGGGGTTTTTAAGTGAACATTCGTACACCCCTTTGGTACAGAAAAACCCGAAAAACTACAAAATCTGAACTCGACGTGTCAATCGCACAGGTGAGTTTTGAAGATCAGTAGTTACTTTATACGTCTGTAATGTGTTTTAAGATTTATCTGAAATAAAAGAAGCGATTTTTTGGAGATGAATTTCGGTAGACAAGTTTGCAGTTTTGCCCTGCCCCTTCCATGCAGCTTCAATTGTGCACACTTTAATACTGGATAGATGCCTTTTCATCTGAGTGAAACATTATGTAAAGAAGTAACTTTGTTGAAAACTGTTGTCTGTTGAAAACACGTCCAGCTCCACACCCCAAACTATTAAGTTGGTGTGATGTTTCCTGATAGGAGTTTTGAAAACTAGGCCTAGACCATGCAGATTCAATTAGTAGGCGCCCCAGCCCCTTAACTTGTTTTTATTAAATTCAAATTTGAAGTTTATGAACAATTTGTTACTTTGATGCATATGGGGCCAAGACAGGCTGTCATGGCTTTGCAATGCAATTGTGTGAGCACTATTTCTTGTGAGTAACTTGTGTGTAAAAATAAAATTCTTCAAAACCTTATTTTTTGTTTGCTTCCATTTTCCGCATTGTCATTTTGAAGGGTTTCAATTGGAGGTGAAGTGACCAACTGCCAGCCATGTTTCACTTCAAGAAGAAAGACCGCGACTCTAAGAAGGAGTCCAAGAAAGAGAAGAAGCAGGAAAAGCACAGCATCAAGCAGAAGGAGCGCCACAAGGACAAGTCAATGACAGAGGAGGAGTTAAGCCGATTGGATGAAATCAAACGTGGGCTGTTCCCCGGCCGAAAGATCAGCCTCACCAGGCGCCAACCCCAGGTTGATCGGACCGACGGGTATCACGCGCCGGGGGTCGAGATCCGTAACAGCGAATCCAATTACAGTATGGAGTTTACCAGTGGAAGCGACGAGCAAAGCGCCAGCTCGGTCCGTAGTAGTATGGAGTTTCCCGTCAACCAACAAGTAGATGAGGATGGTGATAAGGCGGTAGACGTCAACGGCAAAACTGAGACAACAATTACGGTGTCAGAAACCCCGCCTCTTGTTAAAAAAGGCTCTGGATCTAAAAAGAGTATTCTAAAAGGGAAATCTAGTTATGGATTGCCAGATGTTTCTTCCGGGACGGTTTCAAGTAAACTTGACGACACGGGTGTACTCGCGGACAACACTGCATACAATGAACTCATCGCGGAGAAGGCTCTGCAGGCTGAATCTCAATTTGGTGAGTTTGTCTTTGAGCCGGGTGCCAGTAGCCCCGGTCCAGGGGAAAAGACGTTCGACATGGATTTACCGCTTCCGGATCTCGTCGTGCCAAAGCCGCCAAGGAAACGCGACGTCATGCTTCACCGACAGCCAAACGGCGGTTTCGGGTTCACGCTCCGACGCTGCATCATTGAGGAGCGCAGCGGGCCGGGCGGGGGTATAACCCGACGCACCGTTCACTTTGCCGAACCCAGCTCTACGCAAAAAGACAACTCGTCTGGTTTACTGCCGGGAGATCGCCTCGTCGAGGTCAACAACGAAAACGTGGAGTCCACGCCACGAGACGACATCATCGGTAAAATCCGTGGCTCCGCGGATTCGGTCTCGTTGAAAGTCCAACCGATTCCGGAATTGATTGAGTTGAGCCATCGCCACGGAGTGGACGGATCGGAGATGTATCTGGAAGATCAGATCTTGAAAACGGGATCGTTGGCGCAGAGCTCAAGTATACGAATCGAAAGAGGCAGGGTGAGTAAAATTCTCTTGAACTTTTCACTAAAAAAATCTGACTAGCATGAACAAAGACATTGACAGTTGGGGAACCCCCCAGCAAATGGATAGATAGTTCAGTTGGTAGAGCACCGGAACTGCAATCCGGAGGTTGCAGGTTCAATCCCTACTTCTGTCAATTTCTGTGTTCAACCTTTTTTGAAAGTTTTACATAATACTTTTTTGCATCTAAATTTTTGATTTTTTGATCAATTTGAAAACAGTGTTTTGTTTTGCCATTTTACAAATAGATTTTCACCCAAGTTGTTAATGGAAAATGCTATTGAAACCTCATTATTTTAAATCTGATAACAATATAATATGTTGCTTTTACAAGCCACTTTTAATGTTTCATTTGCAGTTTCATGTTCTTTACGTTGGCTTTGGATGGTGACAACATTCTTTGCAAAATTTGAACAAACTGAAATTTTATGTTTTTGGATCCTTCAGCCCCTTGTTCAATTGTGCATACACCCTAAGCTGTAAAATCTCTTTTCTGGACACTGAGTGCTGTTCTTTTTTTGTGTGTTTAAATCCGAATCTTTTAAAATAAATAATTTCAGTCTCAACATCCAACACAACACCTAAAGAAAGCTGTGCATATTGACACATGTATACACATGTACATGTATAATCTACACTGTCACTGTACAGTATACATGTACATGTACATGTACATGTACATGTAGTTCCTTTGTACATGTATGGGATTCTGTTACACTTTCGTGTACAGTGTACATGTATGTACATGTACATGTATATGTACATGTACATGTGTTGTGTACCTGTACAGTATTTTGTACATGTACATGTACTATATCCGCAGTGTACATACAATGTACGTGCCTGTTCAGCAGTATGAAGGCGTCATAATTGTTCGGAAACCACTCAACCATTCTTGCCCGCAAAACCACAACAATAACCTAACATAACCTTTACCTGAATCAGCATTTTTTGAGGAATGCCCTTCCTAACCATTGAATAAATTTCACTAGAAAAGCGATGATAAGTGCCTTGAAGTATGTTCATGACAAGACGGAGGCGTTAACTTTCAGTGGTTGAAAAGCGAGTATGTTTACGAGTCATTGAGCACAGGAATATAAACCTGTGAAATCGTAGCCTTGTGTATTGAAACTTTTTAGTTGGACGATAAAACGGACAGAAGGCTATAAATAATGCATTAGGGTGAAAATCTTAGGTTATCCTCAAAACTGTTGTTTGAAATTGAAAATGCCTTAATTTTTTTTCGTGAGGTTACAAAAAATGCCGTGCTAAAATAACAACAGTCTGTTCCGTGGTTTAATGTTTCTCTTTAAAAATTTGTTTATTTTGAGGAAGATATTTTGTGCAGAAATACACTATTTTATATTGTAGGAAATAGAGAAATCATTATTTATTCACAATTTTTATAATCAGTAGTCGTGAAATCTTATTGATGCCTGGGCAATTGGAAGTCATGAATTATTCATAATTTCACACTATTACCTCATGAATAATTAATTGTACCTTATGTTTACGTATTGCATGTGTGGGTACCCAGCAGTCTAATGGGGAAAAGTCATGATTTGTTTCCACATTTTTTACAGTCAGTCCACATGAAAACTTATTCATGAAAGGGCAATTGGAGAAGTCATTAATAATTCATAATTTAACAAGATCACTTCATGCATATTTCATTGTCACCTCATAAATTATTCATGACCGTCATGAATATTTCTAGCACCATAACCTTATTAAAAATCTCATTGGACCCCAATTTGGAATTTAAATGTCCAGCCTTGTTGACACTATAAAGTTTCATTGTCCAAATCAAAATAAATCCCTTTAAACACGCCATTGAACAATGGAAATGCAAGCTCATAGTTCAACTGAATCAAAGAATCCATTGTATTCAATAAAACCTGAGCCATAGAAAAAAAGCATCAAATTTCTTCTGTCTATATAAATTTGTTTTCTCTTCAAAAAAGTTTTTTTTTGAGCAATATAAAGTTATTCACTTTTGAATGAGACGTTGACCTGAAAATTTGGCCCACTTTTTGTTATAGAATTGTTAGTATTTGTTACTTTAAGAATTTGGAATAACTTGCGGCCCAACAATAATTCTGTTCTCACAGGATAGGCTGGTTCCCGCTCCACAATTAGTATCAATTATGTACCGACAGGGAACCAGTCTGCTAGTAAGGCGGATCTGTTTGCGCCCAAAACAACAACTCTTTTTATTGAACAGAGGGTTACAGACATCAATTAAAAAAAAGAGTTTTATAGTTGGAATAACATATACAAGTTGAACATTTATTAAGTGAACAAGAAATGGATTGGTTTATTAAAGAGCACAGGGAAACCAACTTTACTACCGGTATTAAGTTTAGACTTGCAAATTTCCTGCTTTAAAGTTGACAAAATGGTTGACTTTGGATTTTGAACCGTGGACCAAGCTTAGTCATAATTTTTTTCACTCAATTTCCTTGTAACATTTGTTTGGTGTGAACACAAAGTGTCGGATATCAAACAAAAAGTTTAAATTTGAAGGATGTTTGCAAGTTTGGTATCTAGCATTCTTATCTTTGAAATGTTTGACAATTTTTTTTCATATCCAGCATATTGTGCAAAGGCTAGAATAAAGGGATAGGCATAAATAATCATTAAAAAGATTCACCCTCAGTTTTTTGAATTGGAGCAAAATGTAGCAAAAATATTGTACTGAACATTTGAAAATATAGTGTTTTGTTACAGAGAAGAAAAAAATATTTTATTTGTTGGAATATTTGCTAGTCACAGGTGACCTTGGAAAATAGTTATCTTCAAAAATTATTACTTTATAAGTATTTACTTTCTAATTTTTTTTCTCAAGACATGAGAATCCTACATCTAACAATTTGGAATATATTGCTGTTTTTTGTAGAAAAGAAACTTACTGTTTCCTCTGGACTCTTCTTGAATAACTTGAAATAAATTCCTTTTCTAACTTTCTTTTTCTAATTTTTTTTTTAGAAATACAAAAGTTAGTTGCTTTTGAATGAGACATAATTGACCCGAAAAATTGGGCCCACGTTTTGTTATTTAATAAATTACTTTACAAATTTCGAATAAGTTGCAGCCCAACAATATTTTTGATCTTTAAAAATGGGCATAGTACAAATGTGATATATCGGGACTTTTGCTAAATATTGTAGTTGTACACGTGATGTTGCCTCACTTTCCAAGATATAACCTTGTTTGTCTTTGACTGGTCACATTTTTTTTTTTTTTATCACAGTTGCGCGCAAGGACAGGAAACATATCCAGATTTATGACCCAGCCTATTGGAGCATGTGCCGTGTGATTTCTAATTCTCTGTCTTTTTCACTGTCTGGCCGCGATCATCTGCCACAGAGTGCAATACTTGGGATGTTGCCAAGATTTCAACCTCTGTGTCATGCAAAGGATCTTAAGGTTTCAACGTTACTTTCATCAGACAGATAAAAGTGCAGACTGACTGACACGACTAGAATACATTTTTTTACGTTTCAAAACTGGCAATTACCACCCCAGTTAAGTAGTTTTATATTTCTGGTCACTCAGCAACGAGAATTTAGAAAGAGAATTTAGAAATTTAACAAGACTTTTTCAGCCTTGTTGTAGCATCAAGACTTGCGGGATATCATTATTGGAGTCTAAGTTTGCAAAACATTCTTCCAATGGAAATATTTCCACAAATATATAAAACTGTACAAGTACGTGTTTAGTACCGGTACACGTGTAAGTATGCACTTTGCCGAATGACAAATGTCTCACAACATAGATGGTACAGATTGTGCAAAAGTATGTAACATGTCAGTATTTGTTTACATTATGTTGAACTCGTTGCAATGAAAAGTACTGTAGGCCCACATGTACTTGGAAACATGGACAGTGGCCCAATTCCTAACCACAGAATTCCGCACTTACGATCATCATTCTGTGCTTACAGCTCTAGCAAAATTTGTTTTGGTGCTAGCCCTGTAAGCACGGAATCCTTAGTTACGGGATGTACGCATTTGCAGAAGCTACAGTAAGTAGGGATTTTTTCGCTTACAGTAAGCGAAGCCATGAAATGGAGTTCTGGTTAGCGCTGCCAATGTTCCTAAGACAGGATGGATTCATCTTGTTCATAGCGACCTCTTCTGCCCAGGACAGGCTGGGTCAGGGACGGGCTGTAGAGAATAAAAAACAAATCCAATCTTGTGCCAATTAAGACTAACTAAAACCTTACATACACATGTACATGTACATGTACTGCAGTTCCATTGGCATGCATACATGTACGTACCCATACATGTACATTGTACGTACAATGACACATTATTATGTGCATATAAGCCCAGTTACGTGGAGTTGAATTACTGAACTGAAAACCCAGCATTGTGTGCATGTTTGTTTGTTGTATTAGCCCTTCTATTCATATTGAATTTGCATTCCTTCTTGGGAGCCGGGCTGTCAACTGGCCTAACATTCCATGCAGGATAAGATCAACGGAATCCAGCTCAATCAGTTCTATTCAGGAAGGAATAACAATTCTATGCCTTCCTTCCTCTTTTGTCAAGGTTGAAGAACCCTAAATCTTGCCATGTCATGAGCCAGAAGATTTTTGAGGAGATAGTGGCAAAATGTTTTGCATCTTTACCCTGTGGACCATGTTACATAATTGTTTACAAATTGGGTGTTGTGGTCACGTGATACCAATTTTCAGCAAAACTGTCCTCTTCTGCACTGTTTTTTAAACCCTCCTTTTGTTTGATCAGTCACAGACAGTCAAAAATGCAATTCTGTTCCCCTGCCATGCCTTTAAATTTACACTGGGTAGTCACTAGCAGTCAGATCATATCCTGCAGGCACTGTGACAGTCAAATTCCATCAACAGCCAAAAGCAGAAGACTGGTAGGCTTGTCAATCTCCTACAGTCAAAGTATAGCATTTCATAACAATCACAGCCAGTCAATCCTGCTTTTTGAAGGCAGGGAGCTCTTAACTGTTAAAAACAGTCACTTGATTTATTGTAACTGCTGGGCTGGCCTTGATGAAATTTCCAACCAGAGAGGGACAAAGACATCCTACAAATCCTCCAAAAATACTCTTTGCAAAGTGGAGGATTTTGCAGGATTGAGGCTTTGGCAAAAATGTGTGGCTGATTTTGCAGGATGCACTGTGTCAAGGTCTTGGGCCGGACCTTGTGTTGTTTATGCTCAGCCATGCATACATTTAGGTCTAGATTATACTTGAAATCCTCCACACTGCTCCAGGATGTTACTGGCTCTGCATCAACATCCTGCAGTGGTCCAAGGACCACATTCAAGAAAAAACGGAGGACTTTGCAGGATTGAGGCTGTATGCAATTTTTACATGGAGGCATTTGGAGGATTTTGCAGGATTGAGGTTGCATCCCAGCAAAATGCCTAGAGAGTTAGAGTTAATGAATTTATTACAAAACGCACCTCAAAGGTGGATGCCGAATATGCAGTCAATCTACGTGTATATTGTTTCCTTGTCATAATACATTCAGACATTTCTACATCTGTGCCCACTCATGCAAGGTTTTCATTGACTGTACTCTGGACCAATTCCAGCGAAATTAATTGAAAATAAGGTCAGAAGTCCATTCCATAGCTATTCATTTCACCTGCACAGCAGTGTGTCCTGATTGTGAGATGCTTGTAAGCCATCTGGCCCATTATGAACTAGGAGTAGCCTCTCACAGCAGGAGGCAGACATGCTAGACTGAGAGATATCAAAACTAGTCACGCCCAAGTCTACAAATCCTTCCACATATTTCACTGAACAGTTGCAGGAATTTGCTTTGAAAACGGTTGATAAATCAGGGATTTTTCTCATTCAGGATATTTATGCTGCTGAAATTTCTGGGCTTGCAGATGCTGTACGGTACATTTTTAGACTTGGCTAGTCTCTTTGCGAGAGATCAAGCAATGCTGATTGAAAGAAGAAGGTTTGAAAAGCAATCATGTAGGCTGTACTTATAGTGGGGGTTTCTTTTCTTTGAATTTTGAGCCGACTTTTTTGAGTTTCGAGTTGATTTTGAGTTTCGAGTGGACTTTTCGAGTGTCAAGCTCCTAGTTGAATTTTCATTTTTCGATTTAACTTTTCAAGTTTCAAAAGTCATCTATTTTGAGGGGTTGAAATTTGAAAATAGCACGGGGAGGAAGATGCTCTAAGTATGACTGTCACTGTTGAAATCACAGATAGCTGAACCTGTTGTATTATTGTCTTTGAGCTGAGAACTACATGTACATGTACAATGGAGAAATATAATGGTAATGTAAATTGTAACAACTCGCCTTTAACCACTGTGCCTGTACACTGCATCTTTCCTTGAATCCACACACAATTCTTGTCACAACCGATCAGGATTGACGGAGTGTTTTATAGCCTGACCCCCTGTTACCTCTCTCGACCAAAACTCTTGATTCAAGTGACAGATCACCCAAAACGCACCTGGCGAAACTCCAAATGTACCCAACATTACCAGCCTCAAAGCTCATCAGAGCCAATATTTTGAACTATAAGCTACAGATCTCACTGCTAGGGTGACGAGAGTCGTTATTTTTAGTCAGACCCCCTGCTCTGACCCAAGTCAAGATTCTCCACAATTGCTTCCCTAGCAACACGCCTGCTTCGGCTTCCAAATTTATCCCAAACCTGATTGTCTTAAAGTTCATCCGTGAGTCTGTGGTGAGATCTCACTCTGCGTTCTGAGGGCAAGCAGCATGTGGTATCTTGCTATCAGCGTAGGAATTTGCAGCCTTCCCTTTTGGTCACTCCGTTCATAACCTTCGCATTCATCCCAGAACTATGCGACTGCATCTTGTGTAAGCATCTCGACTGCTGAAGTAACATCAGTTCCGCACTTACATGTAGGAGATACTGTATCCATTTCAACCGCATAGTCTTCAAGACTTAGGAATTCTCCTCCGGCTATCGAAGTCTCAAATGTGTCTCCACCACAGTTTCCTGGACTGTAACTATGGAAACCACATCCCAAAAGACAATCCAAGACTTGAACTATGGAGATGCTTGCTTCAATTCATCTTCATTTACATGACACTTTGTGATTGCGAAACCCTGACAAGTGCATTAGCGAGCGTGTCTGGGATGGCATACAAATGTATGCATCTACATCTTCATTGATGACCTATATTTTACGTGTACATGTGGACGATCATTCAGCAGTTGAGCAATTGATGTTTCTGATGATCAGGCCATTTCTCTCAAGAACCGAGTCCTGACATTATGAAAAATCATTATGCAGACGTCCAACGATGTTGAAATACGAGAACCGAACTCCAAATGACTTTACCTAGCTCTGCGGAGAATACTTGATGCCGATTTTGACCCATGTAGCACTAGTCTGACCTTTTAGGCTTTAATCAGACCTTTGAACAAGGGTCGTTGAGGTCGTTGACCTCACTGGCAGCCATGGCAACCAAGAAGTCAGCTGTTGTTGTTTTCTTGAATTCGGGAGCCAGAAAGTTAAGTGGATTAGATCTGAGTGATATTAGTCGATTTGTTTTTTTACGAGCTGCACTAGTTTTATAGCATTGCAGAGAAAATGAGGTTTGCATTAACATGTAATTGAATGTATATTTCAAAGAATAAAATGCTGAAAAGGTCTACTGAAAGAAGGAAATCGAAGGTGAATTTTTTTTAACAGTAATTTGATTTTGAGTGGCACATTTGAAAAGCTACAGTGTTACAGAGTTAGAGTGAGTTTCAGTTTCGAATTTGAACATTTGTTTCAGTTATAGTTTCAAAAGTAACGTGTACATTATACGCAGCACAAATTGTACTGTTCTTGTACAAGACCGCGTTGTATTGTAGTTCGTATTCGTGTATTTCTTTCAGTTAATACATGTACCGTACATGTATGAGCTGTTCTACAGTGACTTGCTTGTTCATTTTAAACGCTGAGCAGCAAACTCTTCAAACTGAGCTTGACTTTATTCTTTGCTTCCATCTATGGAGAGTTTACTTGAGGAGATGTTGAGGAGAAGAAGTCGTTCTTTGGTGGTATGTTAAAAGTGTCTCATGGATAATATTATTTATGCCCTTCCTTGTAGAATTCACACTGGTTATCAGTGTGTAATAGTCAGTGGCAGAAATGGTCCTTCGCTGTTGGCCATGTCTTATTTTGAACATTGAGGGGGTGGTTTTTCTTATATAGCCGAAAACGTGACGAAAGTATGAGAAGGGTCTTAAAGAGTGTTCGAATTGTCTTGATTTTTTTTGTCCTTGACCACAGTATGTAAAGGGTTGCAAAAACTGTTGTTGGATAATAATTTGTCAAATTCTAAATTTTTTTTTTTAACACAGGCCAAGTCGGACGCCCAGTTGGACTCCGAGAAGGCGTGGCTAGGAGCAGAGAGGGTGTGGCTACTACACAAGGGAGGCTTCACCGCCGCCCAGCTGCTGAACGCTGAGGGGATCGTTCCATTATCCGAGGGGCGGATCAGGGTCAAGTTGGCACACAGCGACGATGCGCTGGAAGTGGATGAAGAAGATGTCGAGAAGGTTAGCGTGAAGTTATTTCATTTCCAAAACTTCCAGTTTTGAGTTGAGTTCATGGATCAGTATCCATCATAAGACCTCAAGAGTCCATCACAAGTTATTTTGATGAAAGCTTTCCTTTCTTTTTGTTCATCCGGTCATCCTCATTGTGACTGGACATGTGACTTGACTTGTGATTTACCCCTGACAGGATTTGTGATGGACTAATCCATCAGACTTAGTCAAAATGTTTTATTAGTTTTGAGACATTAAAGATTGATGAAATAAGGTGGAATCGGGTGATAAAATTGGTCAAAACTTAAACCAGGATTGTTGTAAAACAGAGACACTTTCCTCTTGCTGTAACATGAAAATGAATAAAACGGCTGCAAACTGCTTACCGACCAAATTGACCTGAAATATACAAAATCAACAGAATTAGCGGACCTAACGTTTCAGTCTTTAGCAGGACCTTCATTCAAAGGCAAAATGACAGTGGTGCAGCAATGAACAAGTAGGGCTCACACAAGTATGTAAAGGCTGACCAATCCACAGCAAGTTTCAACTCGATCGGACTTGTACTTTTGTAGATAAAGGGCCTCAAAACATTACAGGATTGTTGTAAAACAAACTTTCTTCACGTGATAAACATCAAGTTTTGGTTAAGAATTGTTTAATTGAAATCACAGTGCTTATCAAAACTTTTAAATCTCTGTTTTTATGATCTCAGGCCAACCCTCCCCAGTATGATCGAGCGGAAGACCTAGCCTCGCTCCTGCACCTGAACGAGTCCGGGGTACTACACACCCTACGACAGCGCTACGGCGCCAGTCTAATCCATACCTACGCCGGCCGCAGTCTGGTCGTCATTAATCCCATGCACCAACTCTCCGTCTATTCAGACAAGGTAAGATAGCGAAAACAAAAGAAATGGATAATCTATGTTTGCTTATTTAGTGCGTGACTCATGCAATGTACCATGGCACATGTACATGAAGAATGAAACACATAGCAGAAATAATTTACAGAATTATTTGGATAACGAGAAACTAGACAAGGGCGAATGCGAGCAGATCCGTCAAAGTCAACAAACACTCCACAATAACATTTGTTCTTCCTGTTTCAATTCCTCTTTTAGTTTATACTCACAACTTGTGATGAGCGCTTGTAACGTTTGTCTGGTCTACTTTCTGACTGATTGCTTGGCGAATATTTTCGACAACAATTTATAACAGAACAAAAAATGATTGATTCTCATTAACTTTAATGTCAGTTTAAAAAACAATCCTCTTCCAATGTTCAAAACAGCTGTCAAAACAAACTCTTTTTCAAACCAATCTTGAATTCATCTCTGACATGAGTGTAAAACGCATCATCCTTCAACGCTCAAAATTTCCTTTTTTGGACATAAATATTTGACATACTACAGCCAGCTCTCTGAAGCATAGTGTAAAATGCACTGCGGCACACATGTTCATGTGATTCTATAAGTTTAGGGTCCAAAATGTAATATTTTTCCGGTCCCTGTTACCTTGGTACTTTATAGTTTGCCATTCAAGTAACATTAAGAATGACTTCAAACTAATTTCATATTTGTTGGGTAGGTAGTTTGCTATTCATAATCACTCTTGGAGGATGACTGCATTAAGGAATGCATCAAAATTATAAAATCATGGATGTCAGACGTAACAGAGACAGGAAAACAGTGGACCCCAAATTTACAGACTGATCCATTCTAGGCACTATATACTCCATTATACATTCCTTTAGATGGGCTATTAAAGGTAAACATTGTATGCATGCTGACATGTAAACATGCACAATATTTGTGGATTTGTACTTGTACATTTTTGTACCATCATAAATGAGTCAATGCTATGCCAATCCCCCACTGACAAATGTACACAACCAGCTTACAGCAATGTTATGAATGCTGGCAGGCCAGATATATGTCTCTATCACACACAGCTGTCAGTTCATATTTTTCTCCCCCCAGATGACCTTGAAATGAGGATTAAAGGTCCACGCCTTTTTGGTACCATCATAAATGAGTCAACACAATGGATTTTAATTCATGATCATTACTGATCACATTTGCATATGTAACATGTGGCATTTGCATACATTTGTATGTGAACATTTGCATACATGTTTGCATATAAATGTGTATGTTTTTATATGGGTACACATTTGCATCATACGTATATACATGATATTTGCATATTTAAATGACATTTGCATATTGTGGACATTGGTGTGTCAGTGAAAACAACCCACATGTGATGTTAATAGACCTTATCTGTTGCAGTTGTCTCTGAGAGTGTTTGTATTTAGTATATTTAAATCTGAAAAAAAGTGAGATTTGACACTGTAATCTACCCATTGTCTATGCCAGTTATTACACTTTTAAGACCTTCCCTCCCTCAGAAAGACCATGCAAACCTTAAAAAAAATTAACTGCTGCAATTTAGTGCTTTCCATATCTGGTTACAGCTGATTACTTCTCTGTAATTAACTTCTAAGTCAGTAGATAAAATAATAATGAAATTTATTTAGAAATCAAATATGTATGTATCGTTTAGGCTTGTTGTATGCAGCACTTGAGTTACCCTGAAGCCGCTTGAAACTGAAAGAAAAAAAAAGAACTTGAAACTCATACAAGCTTCAGGGTACCAGACCTGCAAAGATGGCTGCCCCATACCACGGACCATTAGGCCTACTAAAGTTCTGTAATCGTAGCAAACCAGCCCATTTCCAGCGCAAGTCATATTAGAAAGTCATAGAACCCCCCTTTCAGCATTGTACCAACTAAAGTTCTAATAATGCCACGTTTTCTCTCTCGCTACCCCTCCCGTGTTCCCCTCCACCCCTCCCCGTGACCCTTGACCTTATGACCTTGACCTTGACCTTGACCTTTTAACCTTTGACCCCTGCTTTGCCGCTTCTATGGGATAAACAGCATGCCACAGCAGTAAGTAGCCCCTCCCATATGCTGAATATTCATGAGTGTGTGATTGTGATGTAACATTTACATGCCATTAACACTTTTCTCATTTCAAATTTTTTTTTCATTTAGCGTTACTGGATGTATTGTACAGTGTATTTAATCTTCACACTTACATGCACAAAAACAAGGCCAGGGAAGCCTAGGAAAGCTGGTCCCAGAGTGCACAAAATTCAGAATGTCCATTCACTGGAAGTCTTTTCATGCATCTGGTCTGCACAGTGGGCCGGATAATTTAGCCCATTCATTGGCATTACGGGGTAGTCCTATACAATAGCACTGCCCGACTCACACATGACAGTCGGTCGGTCAGTGAGTCAGTCAGCCCATAGAGTACACTTGGCCCTCTGAGATCAGCACAAAATTGTTTATGCTTCATTTTAATTTGCACAATTAATTATTTGTGAGTATGTAATGTATGGTATTCATGTATCTGCACTGTTTTTTTTCCAGGTATTTTACGTCTAACTTACTTTTGTTTGATCGGTGCAATTATGTAACGATGCTAACCTTTAAATATCCTGCATAATTAGATCTGAATTTTAATCAGGTCGAATAGCGCCCTCTGGTGCATGCACAATTCCATTAAAGATTTCCACACAACTGAATGCATTCTGTATAAGATGAAGCACTTGTGTCATTATGGTAAACACACATGAAAGTAGAACAGTTGTATCAACTAAAAACTACATATGCATGTAAATGTCATCTGTCTGCCGTTTTTAAATTTTTTTTATTCATTTAAACATCGTAAACGGGTAGTGTAAAGTTCAACAATGCAAGCCTAGGGAGACTTTCCGATAGCACTCTCATGGAAAGAAACAAAGTCGTACATGTACATGTACAAATTGGTGTTGTTGAGACATGATATGTGTGCATGACGTGCATCCGCTTAGTTTTTGTTTTATTGGTCGTCGGCTGAAGTTGAAGTCGTTATTAAATGAAGCCGCACTGGGTGTTGGACTGAAGATGATTTGTTTATGCTGAAGATTGGCGCTAACCTTATTTGCGTGTGCATAATTTCCGCTCATTCGTGGTGGTTGTGGGGTGGGATTTATTGATAAGATTGCGTGCGGCCAGCGGCGTTGGGTTGATTGAGAAGTGTTCGTGGAAATCGTTCTTATACCAGATACTATGATATTAAGTTTGTCTACTTTATTCCTGAGGGATTGTATAATTGAGATTTAGTGTGTATGTGGGGAAAAATAACAAGAGTGAATGACAAAGTTGAATTGCCCACTTTTTCTTTCTAGGAAAATGACTGAAAAAGTTTGTTTTTTTTCCCCCTGATTTTTGATAGAGAAATCCTGTTTCAGCTTTCAAAGCAACCCCTTTGTGTGAAAAATCAATTATTTACCGGGTTTGTTTGTACCCAAAAAAATTAATATTATGAAGTCTTGTAAGAGCTACATGTAATTCCGTTGCAGAATTTTTTAATTAATGGACAGTTTTGTTGTAATGGTTTCAAATTGCATGATATGCATGATGAAACATATATTTTTTTTGTAAGATTATACATTTTAACTATGGAAAAAGACCCTACATGTACTAGGATATAAATGTCAGGGTCTGAAACTTTTTATTATATTTTGTTAATGTTAGATTCCAAATGGAAATTGATTACAGAACAAGAATATCACTAATGGCTGATACTATATTCAATTTTGCTTTTAGTCAGCAATTCAAATTAATCTTTCATATTTTTCCAATTCCTCCAATTTTCAGTCATTTTCTTAAAATTCTGCCTGACAAGTTCATCTTTCATGCTTATATTTTTTTCTTCCAGTTCCTTTAATTTCATTCACACTTCCTAAATCCTACCTGTACATTCTTGTCATGCCTGACGACTTCATCAGATTTGGCCCAATGTCAACAGGTTTTTTTTCTGGAAATTGCGGAAACGGTCAAATGTCAAGGATTTTTGTATACAATAGCGGGAGTTTTTATTGTAATTCCCCATCGTGAGTCTATTGTCCGTCTGTCACTTTGGGAGTTATAAAGGACAACTAGAGGCTTATGCCAATAAAAAGGGTTGGAGGTCGTGCGTGGACCCGCACACGTACTACCCAATACCAAAAAAAAAACACTGAAAAAGTTTGAAGAAAAATCCCGAACTGTCACAGTTAACTGTAAGCGTGAACTTTGCAGTCTCAGTTATTAGGTCAAATAAAAAGAACGAAGTTGTGTTTCATCCAACCAAGCGTTTACAAGGGCCCTTTATTATAATACAAAAATCACTTTGCCTGTATCTGTTACAATTCTTTGCACCAATTCTCTGGCACATTTTCCCTTGAGAAATTCTGTGTGCATGATTAGTTTCATCACCAAGCGTGTTCTTGAAACAAAGGAAACACCTGTGTTTAGTTGACCCTGCAGTTGTACGATTGTCCACGTTTGTCAAGCCTACCGGATACATACATGCATATGCCAAATATACCTAACTCCAATAATCATACATCTACATGTATCGTAGTCAGTGGTCAATGATAGTTCAAAAATGAAAATACATTTATAGCTGAGTTTCAAAGACACCATAAAATATATTTCACACTCAAATATTTTGTGCAAATATCCAATTTTGGATTCTACCCAAACAATGGGAAATGCTTTTTAGGTTTTGAAGTATATTGAAAAGTCATTCAGTTTTGGCAGAAGAGGTTGTAAAAATACTGTATTCATTTCATGTGGACTGTTTCTTTTAAGCACTGAAGCCTAAGGGAGTTTTCACAGAGAATCATATGTCAGGTTTTTCACAGTGTACTTGTCGGAAATGTTTTTTAGCATGTCTGCACGTCCAAAGGAAGTGACGTTCAGTGTTACCTTCACGTCAAACTTTTTTCCCTGTGCCATTAAGATCCCTTACGCACACTGTACATGATAAAGTTCTTCAATGTATATTGCCATATCTAAGGTGCAAATTTGCATATTCATGAGCATAAAAGCAATGTCATAAAGGCAGACGTCTCAATCTTGCAGCTGCTTCGATCAGTATCAAAATCAAAATTGATACAAATTTGAGGGTTTTGTAAAACTCAGATCTTTGTCTTGTGGTTTTGGGAGGCAATGATTTAAACATGATCTAGACATGATAGTCAGCCATTGAGCAAACTGCATGCCCAAATTTCTTCAGTACAATGTATGCTGCAGTTGTGGTTCAAAATTTTGTACAGATAATCCTTAAACTGTAGAGTGTAAGCAGAAAGTGACATCACAGCAACAGCGCCCTCAGTTGTCAAGTATAGCAAGGACATCTTAAATCTTGGGAAGTACACTTTGAAGGAATTTACCCTCCCCTAAAAAAGTGTTTCATTTATATGTAAAGTATGCTTTATAGGTACATGAGTATTGGCACAAAGTATTTTTTTAAAATTGTTTGCGCCTCTTTAAGTTTTCCACACTATGTGTATGCCACCCGCAAGAGTGCAGCATAATACGGCACGGCAGCAAAACTGAAGCTATTTTGATTAGCGTGAGTCACCGGTGGGCCTGTTTATGGATCGCCAAAAATAGTCAGGAGCCCAGAGATGGATTTTGGTGACAGAGTAGGGGCTTACCCCTAACTCTGTGCCTCACAGGAAGATCAGATCTCGCTCGCTTGTTTGTGGGGTAGGGGAAAGGAAAGGGTTGCAGGATATTTCGGGGGTAGGCAGCGTCAGAATTACGGCTAGGTATTACACACATGTATATGGGAAGTGGCTGCAGCGGCTTGCATAGGTGCATGTGTAATAGTGAGCCTTAGCGGAGTAATTTAGACATGGCTAATATGCAACGATGTCACTTTTGGAGTGTAAACGGACACATATATATCCAAGAATAGTCTGAGTAAAAAAAAAAGATTTCTTGTCCGACTTTTCTGAAGAAAAAAAGGAGGCGGGCAAATTTTTAAAACAAATTTCGAGATGGTGGATTTTCCAAAATAGCGAATGGATTCTTCAATTTTCTCGACTATTTTGCTAGCAATGCATAATTGTGTCCAACTTAGGAGCTATGACCCTTTATACTTTTGTTGGAAACAAATACAAAGACAATATATTGACAATCTATGTGTGCAAAATCTATTGCCAAAGTGTAGATTTAGAAGAAGAAAATAAAAGAAGGCGGCCGGGGAAAAAGGAAGCAGGCGAGGACAAGAAACTGGTGTATTTTTTTTTATTGGTCTGGACTCGATTGACATGTTGCTACAGTTAAAGTTTTGCAAAGTTAATTTTTAGATTGAAATAAAATTACTAAATTGCTGCAAAGAACAGGATTTTTCTAGCATATTTCTACCCAGGAAATCACTCAATAAAATGGCCTACAATTCCCACAAAGGATGAATATAGAGTCTGTGCACAAATGCAAAATAGCAGCGACCTAATTTCATCTCAAAGAACTTTTGTTGGAAATGTTTACATTATGTTCTTCACAACCACAGAAATGTGCCAACTTCTGAATTTTAAGAGTCGTTTCAAGAGTGACCTACAAAAATGCCGATTTGTATTATAATGTAGGATTGTACAGTGTTGTTAAGATCTCGTGTAATCTTATCGCTAACCCTTTAAACATGTTTGTAAAATGTATTCATCACGAACAGTACAACACTGAACGTATTCTTACGTTGTGCATGCTACACATTATGCTTATTATAATCCAGCAAACGTACATGATATTAATGGTCCTAATAAATATGACTTGAGGCTACGTATATACTAATAAAATAATCATGTTGCAACATTCGCCGCATGCTTTAAATACTAATTTTCCATCAATTTGCCACCGAGCCACTGACTTCTGTCTTTTGGATGGCAAATTGTTTGATTCATGCCAAGGCTTGTAGTACTTCCTATAGCCCAATGTCATACAGGAAATTCATCAATGTTATCAGATAAAGCCCAAAGTTGACCTTGAGTTGACCTCAGTGCGACCTGAGGTCAGGAAGGATGCATTTCTTAATCACGGATTTAATTTTACACGTGCTATAGTGTCATTGAAATCGAGTTACATGTAGTATTAAGCATATTTGCCATCAATATACTTTTATATTGAGAATGGAGTTCACTTGTTACTACCCCTGATCAGCATGATTATACGCGGAAACCTTAAATGCCTTGGCAGGCTAGGGGCCTAGAAGGTGACTGGTCACGAATGATGTCCTTTCCAGGCCACCATACAACTTCATAATAATAAACCCTGCCCTCACAGTCACAGGTATACTTTCTCCAGGGTAGAGAGTAGCGATTGGAGTAAAGTGTCTTACTCAAGAACACAAGGATCCCCTGTATTCAAACCCACATTCATATGATGCAGTGCCACTGTACAACCTTCCACTGTCCTGGATAGAGAATAGCAATTGCAGTAAAGTGTTTTGCCTAAGAACACTGGGACCATGATCCCTAGCTGTTTTTAAACCCATATTTGTAAGACGCAGCACCACTGTACAACCTCTCAAATAACAAACTCATGCCCTCGCATATCCCCATTCTCTCCTGGATAGAGAATTGCAATTGCAGTAAAGTGTCTTGCCCAAGAACACCGAATCCATGATGCACTGTGCATTAACCCTAAGAACACTTTTGTGTGAGTCACTTCTGCCACTTTAATCCTTGATCCTTTGAAGAATGTCTAGTTCGTTAACCTCCCTGTGTGACTAACGAGTCTTATGGCTGGATGTGATTAATTACTGACTACCTGTTTTCATTAACACCCGGGTAAGAATTTGGTTTGTGTTTTCAGTGGACTACAAGTTAACGAAACTTGGCAGGGAATAAAACTTGATTAATTGTGTGATACTGGTTGGAAGGGCGGCACGGGATCTCTGCACTTTATTCAGTGGGGGGGGGGGGGGGGATCAAAAATCAGAAGTTTAAACAGTTCAGTTCGACAGGTATAGATCCTTCAACGACATTATTTTAAAAATCATTTTACTGCACAAGATTTTTCTTAACTTTAAACATTAATCCTAACCCTCCAAGATCCTTCAAAATTCACCAGGAGATTTCTGGAGGATTTTGAAGGATTGAGGAAGGTACGATACATCACAGCAACTATTACTTTACATGGGGTTTGGTGCCACTTGAAACTTGGTAGGTACAAAGAGTGTGCCATTGGTTCCTACACAGTGGGGGATTTTGGAGGATTCAGGAAGTTTACTAGCAAAATTCTTTTGGGGTTAGAGTTTATGATCTCATTAGTCTCTGTACAGCCCCACATTCCTTGCAGTGGTTGTTGTTTTAGAAATCAGGAAAGTTTCTAGCAAAAAAATGCCGATTGAGTTCAGGTTTTAAAACGCTGCGCATTGTTCATCATCTATAAACAGCCATTTCAACAGCATCTTAGAGACATAACATAAAAAAACAACGTACGAATGTCATTCCCAACAATTGCTGGAAGCTTTGTTACTTTATGTTTCATATTTGCTTGGAAAAGTTCCTTTAAAGCTTTATAAACCTAATAAAAGCAACACAAGTTGGCAACAGTAATGTTACATTTTATATGCCATATGCTCACATTGCTTTCTTCACAATGTGACAAATTTATTCCTCGATCACAACACTCTTTTCCTCAATTTATGAAAACATCCATACTAATCTACAGTTCATGCTATAATTTTTTTTGACAATGTGTTACCAAAAACACTATCTACTTCGTAAAATTGTATTCCTGTAATTAACACAAAAACTCTGGAAAGCGTTCATACTTCATGCGAATGAGACGCAAATTTGACGTTGCAAATCATTCGCTGCGAAATTTGCCCTAGTTGAAATGTGTCTAACTTTTGCGATAAATCGCAGCGTGAAAACTTGCCACAATGTTACAATTTACATTTACGTGTGCTTTGCGCCGAGGCTGAACCGGCCTTGAAAGTGTCAAAATTTACATTGAGGTACGATTTATCCGAAACTAACGAAACAATCCCACAATTCCTTGCCAGGTCATCCAGCTCTTCAAGGGATGCAAGCAGGAGGACATGCCACCCCACATCTACGCAACGGCGCAGACCGCGTATCGTAACATGCTAGCGACCAGGCTGGACCAATCGGTGGTCTTCATGGGGCGTAGCGGCGGGGGCAAGTCGTGGAACGCGAGACACACGTTGCAGTATCTGACACAGGTTGCCGGGACGATTAATAACATGGTGACGGGTGAGAATGGAACATTTTGGATTTTTCATGCTTTTCCGAACAAGTGAGGGCGCTGTTTCTGTAATGTCATTTCAGGAAGACACTGTTCAGTTTATGGCTTTCTGTTCAAATTGTGAACCCTAAAAAAAATTGCTCATTAAAAACATCTGTGAGAAACGTTTTCTCACTGCACTGCCATGTACTGACACCACAACAAATCACCAAAGAACAGAAAATTTACAACAGCAACATGTCCAAAATTCGGGTAACTTTTTGTGCTGAAATTGCTATAACATTGAGGTTTCTGCCTGAAATGGCATCACACTTTTGCTCATGAATATGGAAATTTACTTTAGCATAAAAAACAAAAAAGGCACCAAAATACCCTGGAAAATGGCAAAACAAAAATTGAAAATAAAGTTAAATTGGACACAAAGGTGCATTTTCAAGGACTGCATTAACAAAATTACATTGCATGGGCCCTTTAAAATTGAATATTTGGGATTGTTTTTCTCAACAGTTGACAAGATCCAAGCTGTAGCGACCCTGGTCGATGCCTTTGGTAGCGCCCGGACTGTCCAGAACACCAGCGCGACTCGCTGCTCACAGATCCTCTCCTTAGACTTTGACCACATGGGACAGATCGCTGCCGGCTCTCTCCAGGTAAAACAGGAAACTAGCACCAGCTTTTTCTTCCTCAGACAGACTGGTTCGGTAAACAAAATCTCCTATAAAAAAAAATCTTTTCTCTCAAAATCTGTTAAGGGTTTCTTGACTGTGAAACCAATACAGACAGGAACTGGAATAAAAATGTTTCAATTAGAAGTCCAGAAGATTTGGTTTTAATAATCGTTTTGCAAACAAATCCTGAGCACAGACAGAGTTGCTTAATTAATATGGTTTCACAGCTTGTGGCTTCCCTGCTTTTTCACTTTAAACTCATCAACTTGAAAAACTCTGTTTTCTGCTTGTCATTAAATTGACACTAGTTAAAAAATGAATAAGAAAAAAGGCAAACATTCCTTTTAAAAACATTATAAACGTGAACAAAACAGATTCAGTTCTGGTTTCATTCTGAAACTTTTTCATGTTCACTTTACAGATTTTAGTCCTTGAGAAATATCGTGTCGTCCGTCGTCCAGCAAGTGAGAGGTCCTTCAACATCTTCTATAGTCTGATGGGTGGAGCGGACGAGGCAACAGCGTAAGTCAATCACAAGCCAATCACAATTCAAACACAAGTCATCCACAAGTTATCATAAGTAAATCATAGGTCAGTCACTGGTCAATTCACAAGTATGGTGCTCTGTTGTCTCCGACAGCTTTCTTACAAATTGAATCTATTTTGAAGATATCCTTTAAAACTGATTTTCATATACTCATTTTTTAATCTGTAGCAAAGAATTGTTTCTGAACCATTTGGCGCCAGACAATGTCTACATAACTCCCCTTCAAAGGGTAAGTTCTTACTCGAAACTATTCCTCTCGTTTCTGTACCATAAATTCCTAAAGAATTTTTAGGAGCTTTCCTAAATCCTTCAAAATTCTCAAACGTGCAGAAATCCAATGGCACAATGTACTTAACAAGTTTCAAGGATCATCAAATCCCATGTAAAGTAATACTAGCTGGACTCTACCTTCCTCAATCCTACAAAATCCTCCAAATCCTCCTGGTGGATTTTGATGGATCTGCAGTTCAGAAGATATTGAGACATTTTAGAAAGAATAAGTAATCCTTTTGTGGCATTTATATTGATATTTTTACACTACTTGCATATTCATGAACCAAATGCACTTCTTTCATTGGTCGATGTTTCAATGTTTCTAGTCTGAAGATAAACAGCCAACGTCGACAGCTTGGAGCAAAGTCCTCCATGCCTGTAACGTCTTGGGTTTCTCCAGCGATCACTGCAAAGCATTATGGTGTGTCTTGGCGGCCATCATTCATCTGGGTGCGGCAGGGGCAACAAAAGGTACTTGAATAAAAACGAGGCTGGATAGCTCAGTTGGTAGAGGTCTGAAATGGCAATCTGGAGGTGGCAGGTACCATTCAACTCCTGCTTCAGTCACTTTCTTGGTTTAACTTTGAAAACATTTTTATAATGCACCTAATCAGTTTCCCTTTGTGGTTAGAAAACTGTTAAACGTGTCAATTTTTTATCAGGTTTTTTTTTTTTTTTTTTGGAATTTCGTTTTTGCCCCCAGGTTCCGGTAGCAGCAAAGCCCAATTCCGCAAACCCACAGAGGCCCAGAAAGCTGCCCATCTCCTAGGCACCACGATCGAAGAGCTCGCCAAGAACACCTTCAGCCCTCGTCTGGCCAGCGGTGCGTCCCGCAGCAGCCTCAGACCGGTGGTCAACGAACCCATGACCGAACAGGGTGCCACACCCCGCGACGCACTGGAGGGCATGATGGTGGGGCTGTACGGAGAGCTAGTCAATGCGGTGGTGTCCCTGATTAACAAGTGAGTGTAATTCCGTGTTAAAATAAGGTGGGCACCCCTGCTTGCTGAAATCGAACAGATTTTGGCATGGGAGCATTAGTCTTCATAACAGTCACACATGTTTTTGTAAACGTTCTTCAACTGCGTGTGCGCTAGTATCGCTATGTGTGCAGCTCTGTAGCTAGTGTAGGACTTTTTTCAAAGTGAATTGTAACAGACATTTTATGCGGCGGCAACCTTTTGTCAACAGTTTCGCTCCATATTCAATGCTTCAAATACGTTTAAAAAACCGCTGCCACGTCAGATGTATACAAACAGGTTTTCCAATGTTTTTACCACTACACGTGGATGCAAATTTGACGTCATGAAAAATTCGCTGCAGAATTCGCCGCAATTGAAATGTGTTCAAATTTTGCAAATTTGCAGCGGGAAAACTTGCTGTGACGTCACAATTGTTTTTCGCATTCGCATTCGCATTTGCGCCGAGTATGAACTGACTTTAAATGTAAGATATAATGTGGATTTTCTGCAGGTAAAAAATGTAAAACATAAACTTTGCATAATCTTGCAGATTGTTACCTTAAATCTCTTCCAACTTAATTGCAAAAACATTGAATTTTACTTATCCTCATAATCGAAATATAAAAAAATTACAAATTACTTTTTACTTTTTCATTAAGGTCCCTGTCAAGTTCCTATCGAACGATGTCGTCCATCTTGGTGGTCGATGTCCCAGGATTCCAAAACCCCACGGCCTTCGGTCAGCAGGGCGGGGCCTCGTTCCACGATCTCTGCATGAACTACGCGCAGGAGCGCCTGCAGTTACTATTCCATGACTCCATGTTCACCACCCAGCAGGACAAGTATGCACAGGTCAGGACAACGCGTAGTTGGTGTTTTTTTGACCTAAGCAATATCAAATGTAATACAATGTAATACAATGCAATACAATGTAATACAATGCAATACAATGTGATACAATGTAATACAATGCAATACAATGCAATACAATGTATTACAATGCAATACAATGTAATACAATGTAATACAATGTAATACAATGCAATACAATGCAATACAATGTAATACAATGCAATACAATGTAATACAATGTAATACAAGTACTAATGGGTTAATTTTGTCTTGTTTGTTCCTGTTCCAGGAGAATATTGACTGTCATTTTGAGCAGGCGGAGTCCTCACCGGAACCCATGGTGAACCTCATTGATAAACAACAGGGATTGGTAAGAACATCAAGAAATAAATTACAATTAAAGGGAAAAAAATGAAGTTTTGATCTTTTATTGTTGAAACCACTTTAGACTGTTGTTTATTAGTTGTGCCAAACCACAAATCTCATTTAAATTTGAATGCATGTGTGTATTCTCTGGTCCTCACTCAGCTGGATAGCTTCAAAGCATTTAGCATTCCATGGACAGCTGTCAAAATGGGTTATTTTAGTAAAACATGATTAACTTCTGATAGCAATAATCAATTTTAGTATTTTTTTCAGATGAGTAGAAGAACATACTCATTTAATACATGCTTCATTGGCGTATCAAACATAATTACTTTTTATGGGAAAGAATCATTAATCCCGGTCACTTTCGTTTTGTCTCACACTGTTGTGAAACTACATGTATGTTTTGAGGCAAAGTGTACAGAAATTTGAGTCCAACTCTCACCAACAGAATCATTTTTGTCCCTAAGCAAGTTACTTTACAACAATTTCCCTTAAACAGCATCGTAATGCACATTCAGCAGTTAGCCTTGGTTTCAAGCAGTATATATTTCCATCCCCACACAGATGCGATCTTCCAATATGGACCTGAGGGATGTTGATCAGAAGGGGCTACTGTGGCTGCTGGATGAGGAGTCTATATTCCCAGGAGCCTCGGACGATACTTTCATGGAGAGAATCTACATCCACTACGGCCACCAAGCTAGCAAAAGTAAGATAATCTATGATCACCTGTACTACATTGTATTACATTGTACTAGAGTGTATTACATTGTACTACATTGTATTACATTGTACTACATTGTATAACATTGTATTACATTGTATAACATTGTATTACATTGTATTACTTTATATTTCATTTTATGTATTCCCTGATCAATCCCTTAAAACATACATTGAATATTTTGCTGACTGGAGTGTTTTTCTCTTTCTTGGTCATCTTCAGAGGACAGTCTTCTACGAGGCTGCAAGGAGAAGAACCACTTCATCTTGAATCATTTCCAGAACACGACACCGATCCAGTACAATGCCACGGGCTGGCTGAAAGTCTGTAGAGAACACCCCGTGGTCCGTATGGCGATAGTGGTCCTACAGGAATCACAAAAGTAAGCTTCCAATTTGACAAGATTACTCTTTTTCAGTTTTGAATGGAAAAGTTGAAATGTCTACTTTGCAAGTAATATTTTCTACTTTAATGTTTAAGACTATTTAAGACCGCAGATGTGAAGAAAATATGGATGTCAAAGAATAAATGGTACAGTTTGACTATAAGATTGTTGTTGAAGGTGGTTGATGTGTGTGTAGAAGGTAAGAGGTCCTGGATTTGAGTACCACCGAGCAAGCTTGCGAAGATTTTTCCTACATGCTTCTCAAAATGTACCTAGAATAAATAGTGCTTGTAAAATAATGTTGGTCAAAGTCAAACTTCTTACTAGTTAATCCAAGTTAATTAAAATACATATTACCTTTACTTCAGGAACAAGATCAGCAATTTGTTGGTCAGTTTAGTTGGCTCCCTTTACATTAATCAAAGCTAATCCACAGACAATTACTTTAATCCAAGTTAATCCAGAGTTAAACCACAGATGTATTATCCTCTATACAAGAACACAACCAGCAGGCAGTTTGTTTGAATAATTGGCTCCCTCCAATTAATCCAGTTAATCCAAGTTAATCTAAGGTTATCCAAGTTAATCCAAGTATTTATTATCCTAACTACAGGACCAACATCAGCGGCTTGTTTGTGAGTCTAGCCGGTTCCCTCCCCAGTACGATGGTTGGCTCCGTTGCTGGCATAGAGGGCAGCTCATCACTACGGAGAGCGTCCAGCATCCGCCGGGCGTGGTCCAGCGGCACGGCAGCCATCAAACGGAAATCCGTCTGCCTGCAAGTCAAATTCCAAGTGGTGAGTTGCTCGGAGTCAATGGCGCCCCCTATTTTGACAATTCCAGCAACTCTTATCTAAATAAAAGTAGGTTTACACACAGCAAAGGACTGGAACGGGATTTGAACCTTCAACTCCCGGAGCGCTGTACCAAGGTTCTACTTAGCACTCCACATAGCCATAAGCCTTGACGACCATTTTCGATGACTTGTGGTCACCTGACCAAAGGTCATGATCTTATTGGTCAGTGAGATTTTGATTGACAGGCAGGAAGAGTCTCCAATGGATGGTTCTGGCCATAAGCCCTGCCCACCGTTCTACAGTCCTTGAGATCACCTGACCAAATGCCATGATCTGATTGGTCAACTAGCACTGTTTGATTGACAGGCAGGAGGGGTATCCCAAATGGGCTGTTCTAGGCATGGCCATATGCTCCACCCGCTATTGTACAGTTTTCAAGGTGTTTGTGATCACCTGAGCAAATGTCATGATCTGATTGGCCAATAGGCACTTTTTGATTGACAGGCTTGGATTGTCTCCCAAATGGACAATTCCTGGCTTGGCCATAAGCCCGCCTACATTGTACATTTCTCAACGGGCTTGTGATCACCTGACCTAATGTCATGATCCGATTGGTCAATACGCACTGTTTGATTGCAGGAAAGGTCCATTGATTCAAATTCCAATTCTTATTACAGGATGGTATCATGGAATCTCTACGCCGTACCCGTTTGCATTTTGTCCACTGCCTCTTACCCCAAGTCAACGCCGGCCTGTGCGAGCTCAAGAACCTAGGGGCAAAGTCTCCGACCTCCCCCACGCCAACCTCTGACGGGCTGATCGATGTTCCCTACTTGAGGAATCAAATCAGAGGATTGGAGATCTTGGAGTTGGCCAAGCTACACAAATACGGTACATGTGTTCCCCAGCTTTTCATTACGAGTCCATCACAGGTCACAAGTGATGGATTCGACTTCAATACTACTAATATGTTTGATTTGATTCTTTGTAAAATATCTGTAAGGAAAATTAATGATATTATTTTTCTGGTTTTTCCTGATAACAGGTTTTCCAGAGAGTATGTTGTTCAACGAGTTCCGTCGCAGATTTGAGTTATTGGCCCCGGCCAATGCAAAGGTCTCTGAACCTGTATTGGACGAGAGAAAGGTAACCGCTGAATCATCCGCCTTTTGAGTTTTTGTTCAAATTGTGTACTTCAAAGAAAAACAACAGCAAAATCACACATGAAAATCCTCCAACTGCCTTCATGTAAAAATTGCATACAGCCTCAATCCTGCAAAATCATCCGTGATTTCTTGAATGTGGTCCTTGGAGGGGTGACCACTGCCTCAATCCTGCAAAACCCTCCAGCAACACAATATGTTGAGGCAGAGCCAGTGACATCCTGGAGCAGTGCGGAGGATTTCAAGTATAATCTAGGCCTAAATTTATACACGGCTGAGCATAAACGATATAAGGTCCGGCCCAAGACCTTGACACAGTGCATCCTCCAAAATCAGCCATTTTTGCCATATAGCCTCAATCCTGCAAAATCTTCCATTTGGCAAAGAGCATTTGGGAGGATTTGGGAAGGTTAGGGCTACTTTTTCTATTTCCTATTTATCCGAGTAATGTTTTCAATTCAGTCCTTGTTTCTTGTGTGTAATTTCTAACTTGGGTTTGTGTAATTCATGGAATATAAATTTCTATTTTATGTAGTAAGTCAGTGAAATGGGAAAATCATTTTGACAGGAAATGAGATTCTTGGAAAATATTTACATTGAAAAGTAAATTCTTCCCCGTCAGATGTGCATGTTAAGCAGAAGGAATACAGTTTTGTTTTTTTAAGTTGTTTTATTTATTATTATTGAGGCCTCTTTTTAACAATTACATTTTTTGATTCCCTAGGCCATTGAGGAACTCGTGAAGCACTGTGATCTAGATTCTTCTATGTACAGACTGGGACTAAGTCAGGTGAGTTAATATTCTCATAATGTTTGTAACATGGTCTGTCCAAAACCAGACGCTTCATTGTAGATATTTCATTGATTTTCAGTTTTTGTAAAGTTGTGATCCCAAATATTTCTAAAATATAATGTGAAAGTTTCTGACCATACGTTTGCCTAGAATGGTAATTTTGTGGATGATTTGTAGAGGTGTAACAGTGTGAGAACTGCATCTCTCTTTTGAGTAATTTAAATCCTGAAATTTGTCGATTTTCAACAGTATTATTTTTCAAAGGAAAGTGCACTTTTCAAAAATTGAATCCTAACTGTAAAGGGAAAGATCTAAATTTGAACAATATTTTTTTTTTTAATCTGATTTTGATCAGCTACCACAGAGAGTTGGAATTGACGCAGCACATTTAAATTTTAGAATGTTCAATCAAAAATTTGATCACCTATCATTAATTAAACACTCACTGAATAGTCAGTGGATTTTAAACAGAAAAGACGACAGTTCAACAGCAATACAAAAATTTAATTTCCAAATCGTTGACCATTATTGGACTTTCAACTTGGATTGGGCAAATTTCAGACTTTGAAAAGTATTATTTGTCAGAAGGGAATAAACATGCAACAAATTTTAAATGTTTGTGCCTTGAAATTTGCTCATCATACACATATAGCTGTAATGTACTTATTTTTGTTGTTGTCAAAGGCTGCCATTGTGTATTCGTAAAGTAATTCATTGTCAAATTTGATCTGTAATAAATGTGATAAAAACTATGATTTGTTTGTAAAACTTCAGTGAAAGTTTTGAATAAATGACAAGAGATTTGTGTGTTTTGTGTGTGTAAAGCTGCCTAGCTGAACAGTGGACAGTGGTTTAAAAAGACCTTCAAGCAACTACTTTCAAGCATTTGTTTATTTACATACATACCTTTCAACTTATCGTTCTGACTCACACTACTAAAAATTGAATTGCCAAAATCAACACCCATGTTTGAAAGAATTCAGTCCCATAAAATGACTGTTACTTTAAGTTTATTCAATAACAGAGAAGCCATTTTACTGCACCGGAAATGACAATCCAGTTACGAGTTGTGGCCCCCTCTAGAAGTTATTTCCAAATTTATGATGCAGAACAGGCTTTTTTATTGGTCGTTATTTTTGCAAGTTCTCTGAATCACAAGTTACTTTTTTCTTCAGTTTATCTTGTGGTTTTTAGATACCATGCACAGTTTTTAGTTTTTGGGGCGTAAAAATGCTTGAAGTTTGTATTATTGGTTTTTTTGCAAGTTTTTTGTTAATTTTATTTCATGCTATAGGGTCTTTAATAGCTGTTACCCTTTCAAAAATGTTATTGCTATACTTAAAATTTTAGCTATGTTTGCGGTCATGAATATTTTTGCGGTCATGATTATTCTTGCCATGGAGACGCATGCTTCTCCCTAGGGCTTCTGAGTCTAATTGGACTTTTTTCTATTTTAAGCAATCTTGTCATTTCATAGTGAACAGCACACGTAAACTGTCCTCTGTTTATTGTCAAAGAACGCCACAGGCCAGTGCACTCAGCCACACAAAACACGGAGAAAAACCAGCTGACATTATGATTAAATAAGACCCCTGTTGCTATGACAACCAGTCCCATTCAATGCCCAAATGCCTTCGTTGCAAGGCTTCAACTTGCCTGGCTCAGAGAGTAACAAATACTGCATGAGACAGTATCAGTATATCTTATGTGTATCGGCACATTATGCTAAAGAAATTACTACTATAATAGACCATGTGCGGACGTTATTGACATGTTCAATTACAACAGGAGAGATTTTGTGAAGCACCAGTCTACCGTGAAGCACCAGTCTACTGGAAAATGATGTCGTTTCGTGTGACTGGTTCAAGATTATGTATACATTATGTATACATGTACAGAGTGCATGTTGGTGTTGACAGTTTGACCAGCGGGACCGATAACTGTGGAAAATTACGTGCAGCAGATGGTTGGCCGTACATCACTAAATGATGCAGAGTTGAATGGATAATTCTTGACTAGCATTGTTCATCACCTGTTGTGGACGCTTCGGATAAACTCACGGATGGAAAAAGAACTCTGAAGTCGTGTAGTGTGGTCCAACAGCAATTGTTGAATGTCATGAATATTTTGTCCTGCTGGGATGACGCACTTTGATGGACCAGTATTAAAGCAACCGTGAACTTTGACCTTGGCACTGATCCAGAAATGCTTCCACCTGTGACTGACCAATCAGATTTTAGTTTACTGAATGAGAAGAGCCTAGCTTTTTGAGGAGTTTCACAGATTATTAAAAACGCGGAGCAAGGAAGCATTTGCAGTGGAAGACCATTTGTTGATGTGCTTATGCCAGCTGACCACATGTTTTTATTGGGTTTCAGAGATAAACAAGTCACAACCTTGTATTTTATCTCAGGATTTTGCTAAATGTAGGACCTGTGACATAATCTGTTTGCAATTCTCTAGTGATGGGAATTCACTACACGTGAAATGTTATAACACCTGAATCTATTGTAATAGTCGTGTAGGGCTTTTGTGTTTATTTGTAACTCTTCCTTAAATTTCCTGCGTCTGGATGCACTTGAAGTTCACGGGAGCAAAATGCAATTCTGCAACTACAAGTAGTTTTCCGTGAAGTGATCCTCTTTTGAAGTGTTATTTCTCACATCTCTTGGAATCAAGGCAAATTCTGTAGGTCTTGTACATGTACCTGTACTTCAGTGTATTGAACACATTATGGTAGAGTGCATCAGCATCAGTGAAACAGGCTACCTGCACATGAACATGGACTAATAGAAATCTCAAGAAACCTTCTCACTGTGGCCACCATCCAACTTTATCATCCAGGAATCATACAAAGTATGGGGTGAGCACCTCTCTATAGTGGCCGCTCGTCTTGTGTCTTTCTTGCTTTATGCAGAGTACATTGAGAATACTTTTAAGTGCACCGATCTTATCTTCAGAAGTAGCCAGCGCTGGACCCGCGGCTTTTAGTGATGCCATTTGCATCACCGATTCATCAACTGACGATCTTCATCTTGCGGACAATCAAACTCCGTCATCTTTGATGGCTAAAAGAACCAATCACTTTTGCTACCCCCGAGGGATTGACGTTTCGTTCGCATTATGCACCGGTTTCCTGTATTGCGGGTAGTATACGAAGGGATTGAAAATATTTTTGTTCACAATCACGGTCAGTCACATATCATTATGCGTCCGAGTCGAGCGAGCAGCTGTATTTCGTACACAGATGATTTACTGTAGTAAGGCTAGCAATCTGATGTGGCATTAGGATATCTGTCAGTAACGCATGTTAACTGTCAATGATGCTTGTTGTATAAAACTACGTGGGATATCAAACGTCAAATGTTTATTCTGAGTTGGTGGAATGATAATGCAGTGTACTCTACAGGCTGGTATCATCTCGTATCTGTGCTGTACTCGATCGTTATTGTTGATGCATATTTAATGAAATCTTTGCATTTGTGGAGGACTGTCTTTATTGAAGATGACACTGATGAGGACAGTAAATTCAGCAGATTTTATTGCCATTCAAGGATTAAAAGTCTTGTGTTAAAGAATTGTTTCTGCATATTCATGAGTGATGTTGTTGAAGGTTCTGCATATTCATAATTGATGCTGTTGATGGCCCTGCATGTTCATGACTGAAGTTGTTAATGCTCTGCATATTTATGACTGATAGTGTTGATTGCTCTGCATATTCATGATCATTGTTGTTGATGACTGCATATTCATAACTGTCGTTTAGGTGTTATCTCTGCAATGTGTGCCATGGTGTAAAGATTCATACATATTTATGAGGATGGAGTTGGATATTATTGAGGATGGAGCTGGATATTATTGATTTGATTCTGACTGAACTTCATGCATATTCATGACAACTGTCTGTGACTAACAGGTTATCAAGTATTGATTGAAGGTTGCAATATCAAAACACTCTTTGCAGGGAGCATTCATGCATATTCATGATGGCTGCCAGTGGAGGAAGAAGTAAAACACATCGATTGGAACCCTCAGGTTACATGACTGTACTTGTAAAATGTCTCATGAATATTCATGAGGAGTCTATGTTATTGATTTGATTGGTGGATCTATTGTTGGTCACGAATATGTCAGTGTTTGCTGTGGTGTTGAGTAGAGAGGACGTCAAACTGAGGGTGGCCCGATACGAACCACACCAAGATCAGCCAAGTGGGCAGGTGGGTTATGCATATGTAGATTGCCATACATATATTTGCATAAATACATAATTTAATTTTGCGGTCATATAGAACAGTGAACGTTAATAGATCAAAGTTGAAAGTGATGGGTGTTTAAAGTACATTTTTGATGCATGCTCACTTTCATGTTACAGTAAATTACAGTAAACATTAAAAAGAAAGCACACAGCAGATTTTTATGAATACTGGAATATACACATTTTTCAATGGATAATTTTTTCATGAGACGTCTTTGTTCATAAACACAGATTCTGTACCAAAAAATTATGTTGCTTGCATGTATCACACTGAAGAGTTCTCTTGTAAAAAATATTGGGTAAAAAATGCTAAATTTTGGTTGCTATAGTAAGTCTAAACTGATACTTTAACATTCATATTAATTTTTCCAAACATAACTTACAATACACACAGTAATTTTCTTTATCTACAAATTCCATTCATACATAAAAGATTAATTAAATACCTGAAAGAGTCAGGTAACTGCGTTCTGCCTGTTTGTTTGTCAATGGAGGTGTTGGGTTACCAGATTTGTACCCTGGGGTTTGGTTGCTAGGATACGACCAAGGATTCTTGATGTAATGAGATGATGAATTACGTTTCCTGTTCATTTATTTGTTCTTTGATGTGTGATATGCGATTATAGGTTGGCTTAACCCTTGAGATATTTTGAGTGCAGATTGTCTCTTTGAAAATTGTCCGGATGATGATTTTGATTACAAAATACGGTACATGTAATTAAAAAATTTGACTAATTTAAAATCAGCCCTCTGGGAACTTATAGTGGATGCTTCATAATTACACAAGTCTCCAGTTGTAAAAAAAAAGAAGGTATTATTTCCTGGGTGAAACGTAAGAAACGTGCCGTTACATGTATTTCAGCAGGCCGTTTTGCATTCAAACTTTGCATTCAAAAGAATGAGAATATACTACAAGAACTGGTTGGCATTAGCTTACATGTTTTTGAGGCACTATAAAAAAAAGTTGCAAAAGATAATAAGACATTTATTCAAGTAATTTATTTTTCAGTAATTTGAAATAATTCAAACTTACGATATTTAGAAAATAACGTCACCACAAAATTTACTAAAATATTTTGAATAAATGGTGGTTTAATACAGTACATGTAGTACATATTACATGTACATGTATAAAACTTGGGTTTTCAAACCAGAGTTGAAACTGAATTCTGGCTTAATATGCCAATACTTTCTTATCATCAGTAGTTTAAATAGACACAAAGTAAATAATAAGACTGATTACTGCTCTTTTATTTACCCTCCTCAACTATATACTCCACCTATAAATCTCCTTTGCAAATTCCAACGCCTGTATTGATGTCATTATACCACACCTGACAAAACATGTAACATGTTCTAATCTCTCATATATCCCCATTCATATACAGTGGTAGCTGAGAAGGTAAAGATGCCAGCCAGTCAATACATCTTGGGATTGATTACTATTAACATAACAAAGGAGAGGTGATTAGCATAACAATAGATGGTGTAAATATTAGGCTCAGTGGCTTACTAGTAATTCAATTTTGAGCCACTGGACAAGACGCTTGAAAGATGTGTACAGCGTGAAGGATGCTACTGACCGCAAGTGAAATTGTCTATCAGTACTATCAATAAGCAGCATGTGTTGAGGAGTACATGTAATTGTCAATAGAATTGCTAGAAGATGTACGTTATTTAATAAGTATGTAGTTTTACTACATGTAAGTATATTATTTATTGGAAAAAAAGCTGTGGTGTAATAGGTGTGTACCTTTTTTATCCACGTTTCAATATTCCAAATGTGAAGTTTGAGCATTCTTCTGACGTGTACGTCCTTAATGAAAAATGTATTATTTTATCTTTTTTGAGATGTGTTTGATGCCAGAGTTAAAATTTTTATATTAGGTTTTGCCCTTTGCGAACGTCTTTTTATTTTATTTTATAAAACTGTATACTCAGTGTTATGCGAGGGCTTGCAAGAAGAAAGTCACCAGCTATACTTGGGTGGGATTCGAACCCACGACCTTTTGCTTACTAGTGCAGATGTCTTACCACTCGACCACCGAGCTTACGGGATCGGTTGGGTGGTTCAAATCTGATGTACATGCACATGTACACAGCAGCGGGTACCGCATTTAACTATTCATAAATTGGAATTAGGTTTTGCCCTTCACCAACGTTTAAACACTGTATACTCAGTGTGTTGCCTCCCAAGTAAAAGTTGGAAAAATTCCCTTCGGTGGGATTCGAACCCACGACCTTCTGCTTACTTGTGCAGACGTCTTACCACCCGACCACTGAAAGTGAAGTTTGATTCTGCGAAGAACCAGATCTGTTAAGTTCCCGATTTTGCTTTGTACGCACTGCATTGTTTTGGTGTATTTCAAGTTATTATTTTTTTTCTTCAGATTTTCTTCAAACCCGGTGCCCTGGTCAAGGTAGAGGACCAACGGGATGAGAGATTGTCTAAGACGATAACAGAATTCCAGGCTTACTGCCGAGGATACGTTGCTAGGCAACAGTTCAAACAACTCAAGGTAAAAAAAAAGATCACATTTTCTTATTTTTCACTGATGTAGTTTTTTCCTCACAAATCTATTTCTCTCTCGACAAACCATTCCAAAAGGATAAAAGACTTCAATTTTTCACAATTCTAGTTCAAATGAGAAAACCATTGCAAAGTTGCTAAAATTGAATCAAATAATATAAGTAATTGAAACTAGTTTACTCTTTAATGCTGATTTTAGTAGCAAAATTGTCAAGTTCATTTTTAGATTAATTGAATTGAAAAACAAAACCTATGTATTTACACATTTAAAAATTTATTTTTTGAAAAAGTGTTTTCAAAAAATTAATATGTTTACATACTTACAGGTCTATTGGGCATTTGCATGCAGTCATTCTATCTTTTATTAGAATTTTTTTTTTAATTTTTGCAACATTTGTTTGGGCTGAGTCACAAGTATTAATTTAGTTTTGTGGTTTCTTTTGTTGACGATTCATAACCATATTTCTGCGTTTATGATGCTTGAATCATTTCGGATTAACTTGATTAGTTGGTTTTTATCTGATTAGAGACATTTGTCATCAAACAGTCATTCCGATTATTCACAATCATTCTGGTTACAGAATAAATAATTTATGTAAACACAGCTAGATTTATAATGCTTTTGCTATGAAACACCACATCAAATCATTTTTTTTTAAATACAGTTTATGTCGATTTTCTGTCTCCCTTTTTAACTTCAAATAATATCAGTTTACAATCTACAAGCTTTGTCCTTCCCAAACCTCACAAATTTAATCTAAAATTCTTTGGCTAAAGCCATCAATGTCATTCGCATTTAGAAATGTCACTTGTATGTCTCGCCGAAAAACCGAAGCTAATCATGCTCCCATAACCTAAACCTAATAACATTATCCAGCGAATCGTGCATTGGATAAAAAAAGCTTGTGTAATTATTTGCAAGCCAGGGCCTCAAATTTTAATATGAGTGAGACAGAATTCCTGCCCAGCAAGGTTATTCAATAACTTCTCCGAGATCGAACCCACCATTATCTGGTTAGGCATTTGTCGGGCAATTTCGTGCAGGACGCTGTTGTGATGATGCACGGCGCACTTGCACTTAGGGTTCACCGTGACAGATAACAGCATTGTAATTTGACATGGTTGGACATGTACATACAAATCTTTTTAGTTCACTGAGCTGTAGTTCAGTTATTGCTGCAGTAAAATTGCAGAGATCAATTTTTCGACATCCTCGTTTACGGCCAGCACTTCGACTTCAGTGAACATGGCATTACTAAACCATTGTTTGTCTCAAATGCTGTTTATATACCGACTCTAAATTAAGCAATCATTAATTCTTGAATTTTAAAGCTTAAAGGTAAGTAACCTTGTGCTTTGATTTCGGAGAGAATTTAATATGTGTGGTTAGAATGACCCTAAGCTATCTTCCCGGCAAGTTTCGGGAAATTTCATTTTTTAGTCCAAACTTATAGAAAAAATGCAAGGGGTTATCCTTACATTTTTGGCTGAAAATTGAATTTTCTCCAAAATAATCAGAAATACCTTCTAATGCATGATGATTATATTTCAGTATTCAAACACTCAAAATGTGCAAATATTGGCAAAATATCTTTGAAAATGCGTAGGGTGTTATTGTGCTCTGCTACAGTTATTGTGCATTTTTGTTTAAAGAAATTTCCCAACGATTCAATTTCCAACAGATCAAGCATCTCGCAATCACTGCCGTGCAACGCAATGTCCGCAAGTTCCTCGCCGTCCGGACCTGGCCGTGGTGGCGACTCGTTACCAAGGTGATGCCGTTGCTGGACGTTCACAGAACCGAGGAGGAACTCAAAATGAAAGATGTAAGTGCATATTTTCAAAACCCTAACTTTTAAATTACGTGAACTGTTCCATCTATTTGTTTTGGCTGATAAGCTTTAAAATACAAAAATAACTTGGTAGGTATTAGTATAGCAAATGATATCTTGTAAACAGTCTTGAGTCCAAATCGTGAGCCAAAATTAAAATTTAGGTACCGGATACTCCCAGATCAGTTAATTTTGAAAAAAAAAAATATTGTTAAAGCAATACTCATAATTCTCCATCTCCCGTGATTTTGTACATAAAGCTACTTTTTAACTGTAAGAACTTTTAAGCAAAAGTTTACTAGAAAGACATTTCCATTGCTTTCATGTTTTTTAATGTAATTATTAATACGATAATCAGCTGAAGATATGTTTCCTGACTCCATTACATTCAACATATCATTCAATTGTTTACGCCCATATGTGAGCTTTTCATTTCAATATATTGATCGTTTCATGTAAAATACTTTAATGAAAAGAGAAAGGTTTGTTTTCTAAATCATTGTAGCATGAGCTGACAGAGTTGCGGATCCGAGGGGAAAAGTTGGAGAAGGAGCGAAATCTTCTGAAGCACAACCACGACAAGATGGAGGCGAGGGTAAGTCACAAAAGAAAATTGTTGTCTACGGCACGGTTTCAGTTTGTTTATTGGTGGACTCAAGAACCATGTTTAGTGGCTGGGCTCTATCTTCCTCAATCCCTTCAAGTATTCCTTATATTTCCTACTTTTTCCTACTTTCTTTTCTTGAAATTCCTACTATTTCCTACTTTTTTGTCCCACAAGTCTGAATCTGAGATGTATCAGGTGAAAATAACACATGAAAAACAGCAAAGTTAGTGTGCTCACCGTTACAGTAGTTTCGCCATCGCCTTTTTAATGTCTAGAATTAAATGGAGGTGCCGGGCGCAAGTCTGTCACCCTTTACTCTTTTAGTATTTTCAATATTGGGTGTTGACCATCACCAATGTATTTTATATCAACACTGTATACTCAGTGTTGTACCGAGTGATTGTGTGAAAAAAATCACACACTACTCAGATGGGACTCGAACCCACGACCTCCTGCTTACTAGTGCAGACGTCTTACCACTCAACCACCGAGCTTGCTCGCCGGGGTCAGCTGGCTGGTTCGAATCTGATATAGCAGCGGGTACCACAACCAAACTTTTCATACGATTTCGTATTGGCAAACGCCACCTTTATTTAGTTGCGCTGACTTCAACATATAAACAAAAGGAAAACAAAAACAGTGGTGTCAGTAGATGCTGCAATTGCACAGCTCCTCAAAAAAATAAATTTGTATCTTATTTCCTTGTCAGTGGTGAAGTTGGAGTACACCCTCTGTAGGCAGAACTGAACACATGGTTCTAAAAATAGACCAGCCCCATAATATGGATAACATCTATCCCTCTCTCTGCAAACCAGAACTTCCCCCTCTTCCCCCCCCCACCCCGCGTCCCCTGCCACATGCCAGTGTCTAGCCCTTGCCCCTTCCTGTTGCAAGCCCCTAAGATGTGTAATGCTTCTATATTTAGACTTTTAAGGAGCTATCTATGAAACTGTCATTTCAATCTTTGAGTAACTCTGCACATGATTCAGGCTTTATGTAAGTTGTACGTTCTTTTTACTCAAGTTTCCTTGGATTTATTTTGCAAACCTCATAGCTAGGAACATAAGCTTTCCTCACATCAGGTAAATGTCTCGTGCTTTTATTATTTAATAACGATACCATCAAAATTTGGAAATTTAAACAGTCTTGCACAGCTCAGAATGCCCTTGTACATGTATGCTTGTCTTTTTCACTAGCAAGTTGTGTTCATTATGTATTTCTGATTAATGCCTGTTTGTTTGAATTCTCAAAAAGAGGAAATTTGTGTGTTTTTTCCAAGCTTTGTGGAATCACAGTTTTTAACAACTGCATTAAATATATTGGTATAAATTGTCCTTTTTGTTTCTATCCTAGTTGGCAGAAATGAGTGCTGATCTCGCTGAGGAACACACGACGGCCAACCATGCCTCAGAAATGCTGGAAAGAGAAACGGCAGAAAGGCTACGACTTGAGAAGGAACTCAAAGACTTAAAGGTATGCGGACGGCTAAACTTTTGCCAAAAATCTTTATAACGCAAGAACTGAAATTCAATGGCCCCATTTTCCCTTACGCATCTTTTACAATTGGGCTCTAGCTTTGATCAACATAATATTAGCACCATAAACTCAGGTCTGACCGAGAGCTTCCAAGAACAGAATCAACAAGCTTGCTCAGGTTGGATTCACACCCACGACCTCTTTCATACTAGTGCAGACATCTTACCCACTCAACCAATAATATTGCCAGGGTTGGCTGGTAGGTTCGAATGTGAAATGGCAGAATCTGAGGAATTTTGTTTTCTCTTTTTTAACAGGTTGCTCATGGGAATCTTCAGCGCAAGGCGGAGAAACTCGACATGGAGGTGATGGAATCCAGAATGATGCGCTCCTCCTACATGGACGGAGACATGGGCAGCAGCGATGAGGAAGAAGGTAAAAGAATAGGCGGGGCTTAGACCTGGAAGGGGAGGGGTTAACTTAAGGGTGTGGCATGAGTGGACTTAGTACAGAGTAATATATCGTAATCCTGTGACATAAGGTAAGAAATGGGTGGGGCTGAGACTTGAAAAGGGGAGGAGCTTATACATGTACCTAAAAGGGGAGGGGCATCAGGGGTGAGGAGTTGATGCAGTTCAGAATAATAAGACCCTACAAAGTGAAGGGAGCTGATGGAGACATTGGAAGCAGTGACAAGGAATCAGATTTAGAAAATAGGCGGAGCTTAGACCTGAAAAGGGGAGGGGTTAGACTTGGAATGGGGAGGGGCCATCATTAGAAAGAAAAAATATTGGAGGCGGCTATGAGGGAGGAGGTCTGTTCGAAAATAAATTTGATATAATGAATAAAATCAATTTAATTTTTGAAAAATAGATTCAATCTACCGAACCAAGTATGAGCAGGCAAGACGCGAGATTGAGCTGACCAAGAAACGGCTGAAGCAGGAACACGAGGAGGAGATAGAAAGCATGAAGGCTGCCAAGAAGGCTCAGGATAGACGGGTAAGACAGAAAAAAAAATTGTAAATAAATATAGGAACGAGTAAACTGCAAAAATAGACCAATTTCTTAACAAATTTCATATCATTTGTGACTGTTACATAAATTTGCAAAGCAATTTTTTTCGGCTTAGTATCTTCATGAAATTAGGCCGTGAAGTGGGACATCTATAAGAAGGTTAAGAAAAAGGGCTCCTTTCTGGTCAAAGCTTGATAAGAAACTCTCATTTTGCCTCCAAGATGGCAGAGGCCATGGAAGAAGTCGAAGAGGAGCGAAAACAGGTCGGTGGCCTGAAGCGCAAAGTGCAGAAACTGATAGGCGAGGCGCAGGATACCAGACTACACCTGGAGTCCCAACAGGCGAGGAACTCGGAACTGGAAAAGAAGCAGAGAAAGTAAGTGGAAATTTAACAAAATGGTTAATTCAAATTTTAAGAAAAATTCAGCGCGACTTTGGACTGCCAGTTTAAAATTGGTTTAAGAATCTGAGAGTGAGACACAGCTAGTAATTTTATATGTGGCATTCGTAGGTTTGACACGGAGCTGCACAAAGTTCAGCAGGATCTCCACACAGACCATCTGGCTAAGGACAAATTGCAACGGGAGAAGGAAGCCTTAGAGAGCGAAAATTACGTCCTCCGACAGCAGATGGAGGTAAGAAAGAAAACGAATTTACAATTTTTCTAAAAATCCTGAAAGATATCTGTGTATATTTGTGTAGCAGGGATGTAGTGACGTTCGTCACAAGTCCATCACAAGTCCAGTCACAAGTCACAGTGGATGAACAATAACAAAGGAATGCCTTTGTCAAAGCTCATTTGAATAGCTTGTGAGTTGATTTGGGACTAGAGGTCTTGTGATGAACTTGCAGGGTCTTAACAAGGATTTGTGATGGACTCGACTACATCCCTGTCTTGTCATTTTAGAGAAAAATGAAGGATTGTTTCAGGTAAAGCCCAGAAGGTCGATTTGTTCGGGGAGAAAAAACAATTTAATTGTGGTGCACCTGGTGGGAATCGAACCTTGGTCACCCAAGCTGGAACGTTTGAGTTTTCAACTATGACAATGTGACTGCCAACCCACTCAGAGTGAATTCCGATTACTCATTTAAGTTTTTGAAAATTTCTAATCTGCTTCTTCGCAAAGATACCTTAACAAAAGAATTATGTCTTTGTCCATTTTGTCATCTAGAATTTGTTTGTTTCTCGTCTAGAATTTGTTTGTGTATTTGTTTGTTTTTGTGGTATATGTGATATTGTATGATGAATCATCAATAAGGTGATCAGGTACTGTTTAAATAGCTACTCTATATTTCTGCCACAAGGTTATTTATGTCAAAATGAGGTATTTTTCACATTTTGTAGGGTGTGAATATGGTTTTCAATGTGGCCACTGTGCCTCATCATCAACACTAAAAATCACTACAAACAGAAGTACTTCTTTGTTATGTTCTAGGTCTAGAATTTTTTATAATATTTTGTTTGTGTTGATGTCTAAAAACCGGCTAAAGTTTCAGAACCTTACAACTCACAAAACAGATTTGTTACATGGTGCAAACGTCAATTGAATCTTATAAATGATCATTGATAAGATCAAGTATTGTATTAGTAGGTACTTCACATTTCTTCAACAATCAGGAGTTACACAGAGATATTTTTCCAAAACATTTTCCTAAAGGATATGCGATCAGACGTCAGCATCAAAGAGAGCCGTATGGAGGAGCTCCGGTGCGAGATGAACGACCTGTCCTCTCACGGCAGCAAAGAGGTCATGGAGGTAGCCGCCATCAAGCGACAGAAGCGGGAACTGGAAGCCAAGATTGATGATCAAGAGGAAGAGCTGGACGATCAAGCCGGGAAGATCTTACAACTCGAGCAGACCAAGCTCAGACTGGAGATGCAGCTGGAGAAGCAGAAACAGGCGTCTCAGAAGGATCTGGAAGTTAAAGATGAAGAGGTGGAGTCGGCGAGGAGCACTTTCCAGAACAGGGTAAGAGTTTGGAGAGGCAGTAATGCCATTTTCAGGGTTTGAGAGGTGAAGAGGTTTAAGAAGCTGGAGCAGTCAAGCTGAGACTGGAGATTCAACTGGAGAAGCAGAAACAGGCATTGCAGAGGGAGCTGGTAGCTAAAGATGTAGAGGTGCAGTCTATTAGGAGCGCCTTCCAGAACAGGGTCAAAGTTTCAAGAGGCAGTAGTGTCACTGTTAGAGTTTAACATGATTGAGGAAAGCATGGTCTGGATGTCTAGCTTAAGAAAGGAAGCAAATATTAGGATGATAGCCTAGACTCCCTGTTGTCTCTTTCAGCTGAAACAGCTCGAGAACCAGATAGAGGAAGACTACAAGGAGCGTCAGTCGCTCATGAGGCAGAAACGAGACCTGGAACACAAGCTGGCAGACCTGCAGGAGCACCCGCGGACGGCCGACAAGGATGTGGAGAGACGGCTCAAGAAGGACCTGAAGAAGACCAAGGCTCTGCTGAACGACGCTCAGATCATGCTGGAGAGGCAGAAGGCTTCCGCACCAAGCAGCTCCAAGATCAAACAACTGAAGAACGAGGTTAGTAGATACTTGGATCTTTTAATCCTTCTGGTGATTCTTTCCTCTGTCTTTCCTATTTGTACCCACTTCTTTTCTCTGTTGAATCAGCTACTGGATCCCCAACAAGCTAGTACTAAACCCAAAAGCATACCCTGCTTATGCAGAATAGATAAACTTATTAAGCCAGCCCCCTGATGTTTTTACCAATCACGACCCTCATCAATCGTGACAAGCGTGTACTTGTGTAGAACATGCACGTCTGGAACGTGCAGTGTGCTATTGGAGAGACGCATGTGTTGTTGTCCAAGTGTGCAGTGGGCGGAGCCTAACAATCTGTCGATTGAGACGCCAAGCCCAATGTAAAGTAAAAGTGGCAGACCCCTAGAGTATTCCAGTCTTCAAAATCAAGGATAAAAGCCCAGTGTCGTTATTCGCGATTTTTTGAGGGTTAGGAAAATGTTGATGAACTCTTTAATGAATGTGCTTGTTGTTAATCCCATTAGCTTGAGGACTCCCAGTATGCAACCATGGCTGCGGTGAAGGCGCGGCAAAGCATGGAGAATGAGCTGTCAGAGCTACAGAGCCAGCTGGACGATGTCAGCAGGGGTAAAGCAGAGGTATACAACCTAAAACTTCTGTAAACCTTATGTATTTGCACTCTCTCAGCAAAGTTCTGAAACACATTCTGAAACTCTTTGTGCCACGTTAGTCAGTGTGACCTGTACTTCAAGGCATTTATCCCAAATGTAACGAATCATTATCAAAAGGCTTACTTTGATTACAGATCGTACTGGTACTAAAAACCCCGTGAAATTATTCGGTCTGGCTTGCTGTCTTAGGAAGAAATCAAGAAATATAGGTGATTTCCTATAATCAGTCAGTTATCTGATCGTTGAAAATAAAGAGTGCTTTCATGTATTTATTTTGTGTTATTTTACCAGGGTAGACCCTGAACTGTTCTCCCTGGGGGCCCTGGATTACATAAAGACATGATATAATAATGACAAAAAATGACATTTTGCTATCGGCGAATCATGTTTCGTGATCGAAAGGTTGTGCATGGTTTTTCTTTGTGTTTGGGGTTTTTTTTCTTCAAAAAGTGTAATATCCACTGAGCTGAAAGTTCAACCATTCTTCTTTAGATTTTTAGTGGTGTATAATATCGGAACCGAACAAAATGCATGAAAAGCAAATGATCCTGTATGCCTTTAAGACACTGCAGTGACTCTATTAGTCATTTGTCAACGTTTGCTGTTGAGACTTCCCTTCAAAAAGTAGATTTTTTTTTATTTTTTTTATTTTTAGGCGGAGGAGAAGATCTCGCAACTGAATCGTGAGATGAACGACGTCCAGACCAGGCATGAGGACCAGGAAGAAGACTTCAATGACCTCCTCAAGAAACACAAGGCATTAGTGCTACAGGTAAGGAGAATTGGAATGTCCACATTTCTCCAACAATTTAAAGACCTTCAATAACCCTGACACTGAGAGTAATACCACAAGGAAGTCCTTTTTTGGGGGTTCACAATTTGAACAGAAAACCCCTAAACTGAACAGTCTCTTCCTGAAATGACATCACAGCAACAGCGCCCTCAGTTGTCAGGAAAAGCATGGACAAATTTTAAATGTTTAAAATAGTTCACATTATAATAAAATTAACCAAAAAGAGATGTCAAATAGTTTTCATACATTTAAAAAGGAGTAGTAAAATTGCATTAAATATGTTCCAAAGTAAAATCCATGTTACGGGCCCTTTAAATTTACATTACAATATAGACCTTCATTATTTTAATTTCTGTTTCCGTATTTCCTCTTCTGTTTTAAAACACAGCCTCTTTCCTTTTGCTTAATTTTATCGATTCTTCAGAGTAGTTTTTGCCTTTGAGAAAAGCAGTTGTAAGGTACAAACTTTTTTCTTTTTCTGTATTTTTTTTTTTTTTTTACAGAGTTCCAACGACCAAGCTAAGGTCGTTGACCACGTCTCACAAATCAGCGATCTGATGCAAGCCAAACACGAATTGGATGAAAAGGTTGGTTTTCTCCGGGAAAACTCCCTCAATTTTGTCTGTGTTTACTCAACACACAGTGTTGTTGGACATCTGTGTTTACTCAGACAGTGTGCCTGCTCTTTCTGTTTAATATTATGGAGATGAAAGTGGATTTGCCCTTTACAGATTGATGTATTCGTTCAATTTGGTGGTGTTTGTTCAAAAGCTTGGCTTGCGGGCTGTTGTTGATGACAGTAGATTGCAGTGTGTGCTTCTTGTATATGTACCTCCTCAATGGTTAGAAAGGGAGAGTTGGGGGAGACCACTGGAAGGGACATTTTGTGCACATGCGTTACACATGGCCAAACACCCAGGCTTGATCTGATACACGGTACCCTGTGGAGACATGTGAATCATAGCGAACAAAAGATTGTATACGTCGCCACAGGGCAATTTCTATAGATGAATACATCTCCACAAAGTTGTCACGAAAAAAATATATGTTTTTTTACTCAAAAACTAGGTGTGTTGATCTGTCGCTAAGTGAAGTATTTTATGTAAGGGATATTAAGTGCGAATTTCAGCCCAGGATATTAATTCTGGTCAAAATAGGAGCATTTTGAAACTAGTTTTCATACTCAAAATTTTAGTACACGAGAACAAAGAAATGACTCCACAAGGATACACATTTCAGTATGAAAGTTCTGTAACTGTGGGGACTACACACGTGTTGTCCCATGGTACTATGGGGATGGAAGACGCTATGGGGACAGCAGAGAGTCCCCATAAGTTGGTCCTAATTTCCCTATAAACCTTAAAAACTTCCCCATAACGCGGTGACTGCCTGGCTACGCAGCCTTACACACAGATACTTATGGGAAAACCTTTGTTTCCCATCTTTTGAAATCTCAAACTCTATGGCATTTTCCTTATGTTGTACAATTTACGCTCCAGTGCACACCCCGGAGTATAGAAACATATGAGGTTTTGGCAAGAAATATCGTACAAATACTGTTGAAATGACTCTTGTGAATCAGTATTTGTGGTGTTAGGCTGTATATCAGAAGTTGGCTGGAAAAGTTGGCCTTTTGCGAAAATCGAAATTTTCAGCAAAAATAATACGGGCGTGAAGTGGTTAACCCTATTTTCAGTTTTCGTTTTGCCATTTTCAAGGGTATTTTGGTGCCCTTTTTGGTTTTTATGCAAATTTCCATATTCATGTGCAAAAGTGTGATGTCATTTACGGCAGAAACCTCAATGTTGCAGCTTTTTCAGCACCAAAAGTTGCCAGACTATTTCGCTGTCGTAAAGTTTCTTTTCTTTGGTGATTCGTTGTTGTGTCAGCACATTGCAGTAAGTCAGTGAGCAAACTCCAAAATATTTTCTATCAACAAATTTTTGGATTCTCAATTTGAACCAAAAAAAACCCCTGAACTGAACAGTGTCTTCCTGGAATGCAACACAGCAACACAGCAACAGCGCCCTCAGTTGTCCGGAAAAGCATGGACAATTTTTAAATGTTCAAAGAAGTGCGCTTTTCAATAAAATTAACCAGAAAGGGATGTCAAATAGTCAAATATTTTTAATACACTTCACGGACCCTTAAATAGTGTGCTGCATTCAAGCGAATGTCATGTGCATTGTTAAATTTGAGCGTCTTAAAACTTGACTAAATAATATACAATTCCAAAACGGCACTAATGTGGGGCACACAGCAACACAGAAAATTTGGAGGGCCCTCCAGGCAATAACAATTTCATAAATAATAGAAATAAGAAATATACAGGCAAAGAATATGGGGCATGGCTTTAAGAAAACACGTTAGAACAACAAAAATTACCTTCATGTTGTAAATATGAGGCAGAGACCAGTACCAGAAGGAAGATGCTGGGGGCTGGAGTCACTGGCACAAGCAGCACAAATCAAAGAAATTGAAGCCAAATAAATATAAAGAGGGGAGATAAATTAAAGAACAAAATCACAGAGACTTATCTGTAACACAACAAACTCAAAAGCCCTCTGATGTTCCCTCGACTGCTGGACAGCAAAATGACCACACCCAACCTCCAGCACTACCCTTTTATACATGGTCTCTGCCCTACTTCAGTGAATATGAAAAGGAACTATGTACCCCCAAAAGAAACTTTGCATAATTAATTATGCTGGCCTGCTAGGCCAGGCAGGCCTGGCCAGGATTAGAATTCCAAGTAACCAAGGGGTTATTGTTGTACAGTTGAGCTGGACTGAACTTAAAATATTTTGGCCACTAGAAAATATAATTAAGTTAACCCAGGCACAGCATTTTTGTAACAATATTTTTTCAAAATTGGGGGAGTTTTAACTCAGGTAATTCATTGACACTGTTTGTGATGTATACTTGCACATGTATACAGGGTGACCCAAAAAAATGCAATCCTGAAATATTTTCTTTTTGTTTCTTCAAAAACTTGATCTATGAATTAATATGTTATGGATATAAGATTAAAGCTGAGATTTTTTTTCTTTCAAATACTGAAAAAAATCATGAAAGCAGCACATTTGGTTGCTGAGAAAATGCCAATTATGTAACACAACTCCTTTTTTGGTCCATTCCAATGGCATTACCACAGTTAAGGGTTTACACTTTATTATGTCCTAATCCTTACAAACAACATGGCGCATATATGACAAGAGTACAAATGAATTTGATGGAAAAACCTTTTATTTTCCACCTGAACAGGTATCTTATCCTTTTTAGTTCCATTTTTAACCTTTTCAGCATGAAATATGTGAAAATATTAATGAAATTGTACAAATGAAAGACAATTGAAATGAATGTTTCTTAGCTGTGGTAATGCCATTGGAATGGACTAAAAAGACTTTGTGTTACATACTTGGCTTTTTCTCAGCAACCCAATGTGCTGTTTTCATGATTATTTTCAGTATTTGAAAGAAAACACTCTCAGCTTTAATCTGATATCCAAAACAGAAAAATTCACATAAAAACATAAAAATTCAGGCAAATGTTTCAGGGTTGCATTTTTTTTTTGGGGGGGGGGGGGGGGCCTCTACAACTTTGCGCTGAATGTGGAGGGTATAGACCTTTATCATGCTGCCACCATTTCTCCTTCACATTCCCTGTACCAGTAACAGTATTGAGTGATAATGTTTTGTATGCAAAAAGGAACCAGACTATTTTCCCTTCCAGCCTCACTTTGGTTACGTTGAGTTGAATGGGAAAAAAAATCAAGATAGCCGCAACATGATAATTGTCTATTGACACAAGTTCTACCCATTTGGCCAGAAAAAAAATAGTTCTGCTTCCGATTACATGACTTTCGAAAATAGGGTAGGTACAGGGTAGGTAGGGAATTTTTATTTTTTTTTCCAATTTTTTTTGTGTACAATCATATGGAGGCGTCTGCGTGTAGTCAAGGGTAAAAGGTATAAAGTGATGGTTTTGGGTGTTTTTTTTCCTCATTTTTCCAATAAAAAAATTAGGGTAGGAGCTGTCAGAATAGGGTAGGTAGGGAAACCGGAAGCAGAACTATTTTTTTTTTAGCCTTATTTATGTTAGCGTAGACAGCTATGCCTTACTCTAGCATCTCTTAAGTCAGACGCTATAAATTAAATGCTTTGTCAACATTCACTGTATACATTCATTAATTACAAAAACACTATAAGCCAAACAATTTTTCATTTCAGCTAACACAAGCCGAGTGCTGCCCGTACTTTGCCACGGAAAGATCCCATGCGTGAAGCGTGGTTTTGCCTAGGTTTACCTTTCAGGAGTCGCGTGTACTTTTAGACGACGTTCACACTGAGAGTATCCGATCGATAAAAGGCTGTGATTCCTTGTTCACTCGTCACCGTGGTAACAGAGTGTCATCCTCACTTCTCCCCTCTCCAACGTCCCCACCGTGTCTGGCGTGAGTCAACAGACCCCAGTTCCCTGGCACTTTCCGCTCTGTTCTGTTGACCGAGGACTCTCTGGACGGGCATTACCAAGTTTACCGAGTTTAATACCAATTGACAGTGTCAACGGACGCTGTATGACGACCACACTGCCTTATTTCCGGCCTCAAACAAGTGCCCAAAAAGAACTCAACGGTCATTTACATCGTCCAATTACACGCAAGATTTGCACCGTCTGTTGAGATTTGGGTTTTGTAAGAAAGAGGGCACTTACCTTTTTAGGGTCTGCGGGTGCTTAAAGTGGAAAAATTGAGATAATATTTACACAATGTTCATCAGCTAAGGAAACTGACAAGGTACATGCACATAATGATAAATTTGAACAAAGAAATTGACTGGTTATGCATCCTCTCTGCTATTTCCCAGGTTTGCAGCATTGCTAATGTTGCGAGCATCTTGACTTAGGGCGTGATCCCTGCCTATATGGTATACAGGGTTAAAGCTTCTGACTAGCACCCTTGAAAAAAGACATTGACAAAATGGGAACCACCAACATAGGGCTGGATAGCTCAGTTGGCAGAGCTCTGAAACTGTAATCCGGAGGTCGCGGGTTCAAATGCAACTCCAGTATACACCTGTATAAATAAGCTTATCATGTAGAACATTTTGTACCTTTAATTCCGTTTTCTTTATTGAGCAAGGGAAGAATCCTGTTTACATGCAGAGGTTGAACTTCAAACAAAATGTTTGATTAGATTTGTTCAACACCCTGCCATCGTCAATCTCAACGACAGAGTTGACGAAGATATGAATGCAAGGTTTAATTAAATTAAACTGCCTGCTGAAACAGCAAGGTTTTATCAAATTCTTGGCAGTATGGTTCATAGCCTGGAAGTTGCAAAAACAGAGGGAAAAACAAGGATTGTTTTGACTTCTTAAAACCCTTTTTTAGAAACACCAATTAATGACGACGTTGCCTGTGGGTTTTACAGGCCTCTTGGAATTGTACAGTGCGATTGATTTTCTTTAGTTCGTCATGCAATTTGCTTAATCTGAAGTGATGACTATAGATGTCAACAGTACATATTCCCTTTCCAAGTTTGAAGAAGGCAAAGAGGGGAATGTAATAAGAGTAAGCTTATTGGAAAATCCTCTTTCGTTACTTCGTGTAGTACTACTGTATTAAATTGAACGTCTGCATTAGCAACATGATTAGTTGTTATGCATACTTCTTATTAAAAGATAAGAACAATTTTGTTGCTTTTCATCACAAAACCAAACGATCCTATGTATCTTTTATTTTCTCCCTCCCCCTTTCAGGTTTCGGAGCTTCAGGGCAAGATGGAATTCATGACGTCGACCACGGTGGACCGAACCCAGCTGACGAGATTGGAAGGCAAAGCCCGAGATCTGGAATCCAGGCTGGCACTGGAGAAGACCACCCGACAGAAATTTGAGGTATGGACGGAGGAAAGGGTCAAAGGTCAAGAAAAAAGGGGGTGGAGTCTTGAGCAATGGATGGGAGGGTGTTATGGCTTTACATGTATTCTGCAGGGTTGGGATGAGCAATTCATGCCTAGGAAAACAGGCATTGCAACCCTACAAACTGAGCTGGGATCCCCAATTCCACAGGCAATATTCCCATTCAAATAAAGTGTCTTGCCCAAGGACATAAGCACTGCGATGCACAGACTACACTCACCCCCCCCCCCAAAAAAAAAACCCCACTAAAACCTGCAGACATTCCCAAAGGAACATTTGTATCATTCCAACTTTTGAGTGATTCTCTGACAAAATCATCTGACTTCTCCCTGCCTCCTCCTATAGAACCAAGCGGAGAAACTCAAAGAGAACATAGACAAGATGAGCACGGAGCACGACAACCGGAGCTACAAGGATCAGAAAATGCAAGAAACTAACCGGCGATTGCAGCGGGAATTACGGGAACTGAAGGACGAACAAACGGACCTACAACGCAAGGAGACAGAAGGAACCAAGAAGAAACTAGAACTGGTAAGTCCAGATTCTGTGTCATGAATAACAGTGTTGTTGCTTAGTTGGAAAAGTTGACTGGAATTTGTGGTATGGAATGCGTACACAACTACCCCCTCAACGGTTTTGAGAGAGTAAGGCTGGACTTTTTGGTGGGGCATGGGTGGCACAGCGAGTAAAGCCCTCGCCTCTCACCACTGTGGTTTTGTTCGATTCCTGGCCCGGCTCATGTGTGAGTAGAGTTGTTCGTTGCTTCTCTCCTGTGCTACGAGGGTTTTTCTCCGGGTTCTCCGGTTTTCCTCTGAAAAAATTCAACACTTTCAATCTCTGCTGGTGCTCCGTGATAAGACATGGGTCATGTGGCAGCTGCCTAAGGCACCTTTACAAAATGTACTGCTTGACCTTGTTGTAGCTGCGTCCTTCGCAATTCAGCTTCTGCCGTGAGTAAAGATGATTAGCCCCCATATTTATATTATTTACCCTAGAACACATTGCCACCGTGTGCTTGGTACTCACGCAAGGATGATACAGGGTTTTACACGTAAAGAATACAATATAGCATGCCATATGCGTGCAAAGCAGTAAATGTAAACCACAAATGCAAACCAAACATGCAATGTGCCATTCCCAAGAAGCTCAGATGAAATCTAAATATTTGGACAACAAAAAAGTCCATGTTTGTGCAATTTTTTGCATCATTTTGGAAAGTTGTTTATTCGCTGGCATAGTCGTGACGTCACTCAGACGTGAACTCGGTGCAACCATGACTGGTGGTTCACGCAAACTGCAACGGCCCAACACTTCGGTTTCGTTATTGCTGTTGTGAATCCGTAATTTGGCTTGATTCTCCTCTTTGAAGCAAAAATAAGCACACTTTGGTTGTAACTGGTGTGGTGACAATCTGCTGAAAGGTATTGAACCGTTTTGAGGTGCTCATCTGTGAAAATGTTCCAGAAAAGTAGGATGTAAGATTGCTGTGTGTGATCGTGTGTGTTAAATGTACGTGAAATTTGTCGTCACAAAATGCATGTGAACCATTGTTGAGGAATTGAGCTTAACCTGGGAAGGAGGTGACGTCACACTTTCTCAGCTGAACTATGAGATTTGATTTTCAAAAATTGTTTTATTAAGTGTGTTAAAAGCACAAAGGTTGAAAATTCTTTTTGTCTGCAGCCAAAATGGACATAGTAGTTTTGACCACTTTTCAACTTTTTGAGACATCAGCCCGTAACTTTGAGAAAGTTGTGGGTTTTTTTTGGTTCTTTATTTCTGCTATACATGTGTATATCTACTCAGTGCAAAACAGTCGCTTTCCTTTTGAAGCTGAAATACGTAGCAGTTGCCTTATTTTGCTGTAATGTCATTCATACACTCTAATTCAGCCCACCATTGAGGTCTTCATGCATTGGAAAAAATTAAAATCACTCCAGTTGTTGCCAACTTGTTCTCATTACATTTCAAGGGCAACCCATATAAGAAATCTTACGGTGATGTTTTCTGCTCCCCCAAAAATCCAGCACACAATGAAACTTGTGCTCCTTTATGAACGACCCAAATAAGAGAATACTTTTCCTTTTATAGCATCTGAATTCATTTCTGAAGCAAGCCCTGTGGTTACCAGAGCGGACATGCGTTCGCTGGTTTGTTGCAAATTACTCTCATTGTTCAACGAAAAAAGGCAAATACATGACACCGATTCCGGATGATGAATTTTCTATTTTTACAAATTGGTCATTTTCAGGATGTAATTTTCGCTGCCATACTTTTCTGCATTTCGTTTGAGGGCATGTTGAATGAATGTGCTGAAAGTGTCCAAGGTTTTATTACACTATTTTCACTAATTTTACCTTGAACAAATAGGTCAGGTCTATTAAATTATACAGGAGCATTTTTTAGGAGGATGTTTTGATGACTGCTTTTCATCAATTTTAACCTAAAAATAATAAATTTCTTTAATGCTAAGAAATAAAGACCATTTGAGGGTCTCCATACCAAAAAACGACATAAAAGTAAGTTACATTAAAAATATGTAGTACTTTTTAGTTTCTCGGGAAAAACTCACTCAATTTTGTCTGTGTTTACTCATACACAGTGTGTCGGATGTCTGTGTTTACTTGTCATTTGATCATTTGACGTAAACAATTTTTTTCGTATTTTGAATATGTTATCCATAAATGATATATCCTGCATGTGCTACAGAAATAGCGCCCTCTAACAGCTTGCAAGTGCCATGGGCCTTTGAAACCCATGAAATAAATTCATACACGTAGGCCTATTAAGAAGAAAAGACTTTTGAAAAAATGTTTTTTGTTTGTTAGGGCCTTTAGTGCCAGTTACTTTCATGGCTTCAACCAATCAGGGGGTTTGATGTTTGTGTTGTCAAGCAGTTGCACTAGCCTTATGTAACAAGGGGTGTGATTGGTTCTTTGCCCATTCAACACCAGCTGTGATTGGTTCTTAATGTATAAACAAGGTCCGTCACTCATTCCTAGTATCAGTATCTGTTGTCCAGCTATCAATTTTGATATTTCAATTCCTGCAATTGTCACTCAATGAGTTGAAACCTCCACAGCGAATATACCTTTAATTTCTACCGTGCCAAGTTCCCCCATTGCCTCTCAAATGTCAGCCGCTCGGCTGGATGCATTTTGCCCATTATTTGTTTGCTCATGTGCGTGTCATGGAATGCTCTCCCTTTATTAAGCCTCGGTCGGCTATCCGCCTTTCCCAAGCCCTCGTTTGAGCGTTGTTTGGCGACTCATTTACTATCAATAAGCCATGGCCGTCACGGGAATATCAATAAGTTTTGAAAGCTCAAAATTATTTGACGGAAGTCACGTATTGTTATTCTAGACGCTTCTCCTTTTTGGAGATGCGGTGTTTTTTTACTGATGTTTGTAAGTGGAGATTGAGTGTGAATTTAAGTGATTTTCGTTTTGTTTTTAGTAATTCTGTAAGAGTATTGAACCAGTCAGGAAGTCAATAATGTTGGGGTTGTGTTCCGTGCCCTTGAATGTGAAGCCATTAATTGAATCGTAGAACCGTGAATGCGATGACGGAATTTTTTTCTTTTCATGTCTCGGTGCTGTGCGACAGCTGTGATAATATCAATAGGACATTGATTTTTGTTTTACCAGACCGCTGTTGTTTTTTTGTAAATAGATGGACATTTTCTAACCTAGGAGAAAAAGAAAGAAAAAAACTAGAGATTTGATTTCTTATTAAAATAAAATAGGCCTACAAAATCATAGCTTCGTACTGATTGTCTGAGAGTTATGGTACAAAAGTTGTCAGATTGCACTAAAATGAGTAAAGCAGGGTGAGATTTGTCAGGATTTGTTTCTGATTTCAGGATTTCTAAAGTCCTTTTTGAAATCTGAAATTAGTGACATTTTACCATTAAGGTCTCTCAACCTATCAAGTTTTATTTTAAACTGTCTAGGTAAATACATGTATGTATATTATAGACTCTATGTTGCTTGGGGCCCTCGGTGATACCACAAACCCTCTTCCGGTTATTTCATGGATTTTTTATTTCTCCCAATCTCACCCCTGAGGCATACATTGTATCTAACTCTTCAACATCCTCTTCATACATCAGTTTTTAAACTGGATACACATCACACTAACTTGCACTGCATTAGGATCAGCTAAATTTGATTTTGAAAATCTTTTTCAGTTTTGTTTCGGGGTTAATGTTAGAGAATTCTTATTCCTGTGGGGTCACAACAAAAAGGGAAGTTACATACAAGTACATTGTAAATTTTTGTCGATATTTGTGTGTCTAAGTTTTTTTTTGGCTTTCCCTGTGTATAACATTTTGGGTAAATGTTTACACCCCAGGTTTATTGTCTCTTTGGGAGAGCAGTTTTACCAAGAACCCGCCATGGCATTTTTGAGATGTAATTTATGCCTGTCTGCCCACATGTTTACCTAGCCACTTTAATATATCGGAGTTCAGGGTTTGAAAATAATCACCAGAACTTTTCCTTTCGTTTTCTCTGAAGAATCACTGTTCTGATCCTTTATCAGGTGTTTTATCTTTTTTAACATTTTTTTTCAATCAGTTGTTTCCAAAGTTTATCGAGATTTTTTAAAAATGCCACATCCTGACCGCACGCCTGCAAATTCTGTCACACCCCTGTTACATCTGTCGCACCCTTGCCCCAACCCTGCCACGCCACACCCATGCCACACCCATGCCACCTTATCACATCTCAGCCACTCCCCTGCCACACCTTCCGTTGTTCACTGGCAAGAACCTTCCAACATTTGCAGAATCTTGGAATCTAACATGGGTCATTCTATAAATTTAGGGTCCAAAGTGTGACATTTTTCCTGTCCCTGTTACCTTGGTACTTTGTAATTTGCTATTCAAGTATCATAAAGAATGACTTCAAACAAATGTTTATTTGTTTGGTAGGTAGTTTGCTATTCATAATCACTCTTGGAGGACGACTGCATTAAGGAATGCATCAGAATTATAAAATCATGGATGTGTTGTAGCAGGGACAGGAAAAAAGTGGACCCAAAATTTTAGAATGATCCAGTAGAATGATTGATGATCTTATCCAATATCTGCTAAAACCCGAGCCCTGATCTAACATGTAAAGTACTCTTCTCTACAACCTAAACTTCTTCATTGTCCCATTCTTCCATTAACGGTAGTGATTTATCAGCTCCCCTATTCCTTCCATACACTTCACCGTGGATAAACAAACGCGTCTGACACTTGCTCCCCTAGTTTAGTCACGTAGCTCACGCGAGGGTCGGCTAGGCCCGGCCTGATACGAAAACACTGCGGAAATTAATGGGATGACTCGTCCAGTATACCGTGAATCCTAACGCGCATTTGTTAAAAGCCCCCTTGAAAAAAAAATTCATTCTTGTCATGTAGAGAAAACAAGGGGTGGGTCATAGTGTTCAAGGATGCATTTCGAGAAGTCAAGAAGTATTTCAAGTTTGTGTCATGGTCTTTTGTGTTGAAAGTGAAAGACCGCATACATGTGGATTGCTGCCTT